TCAGTATAATTAATGAATTATTAATCCAATTTTATGTTGTGCACAGCCTATTTATTTATACATAAATTACTACTTGCACCATTGACTTTTCCTATGCAAACAGATGTTCTTTTTGCGCTTGTTAATTAATACCCGCCTGAATGTCATCCAAATGGGTCATTTTTAAGTAAACAGAAAATTGTAAAGACGAAATGCGCCACCGATCGATATCAATCAATATTTTGATCATCATTGTGATAGTACACCAACGAGCATTTTATTTTATTTGAGATAAAATATTGCATTACTAACATTGATAAGGAAATAATTAATACTGCTTTTCAATTTATAGAAGAAATTTTTTAGAGACAAATTATACGAATAATTAGCATCAGTAAATATTTCGAATTAGCTTACACTCTCGAAATGCATGTGTGATTAATGCAAGCATATTTAGCAGCTATCACTGATATTATCAAATTTAACTCTTTTTTTAAAGAAAAAATATATTATCAATGTTTTATGAAGTTTAATGGATGATATCACGAAATTTATCCAAAGAAAAGGAAATAAAAAGTAAAAAAAAAATGGAATGGAAGAGGAAAAAAAGAGTAGGAAGAAAGGTTCATTGGGCTTTCTTAGCAATTCAGTCTTATTAGACATTCATTCTTGTTAAATAGTAAACAACAAAATGATAAGAGTGAAATTGAGGTGAAAGCATTTCCATGAATCCTTATTATTCTTGTTTTGGTCAGCATTTGGTGATGTCAACCTTCGGACTTTTTCTCTTTCCTTACTTTGTGAGAAGTAAATTTGAAGTGAAATGCGATGAATCGATTTTTCTTCTTTTGCGCTTTTTTCTTCACAATAATATTTTTAAGACTTATTTTTTTCATTTTTTTTTTTGACCTTAATATTAATGATTTAATGAGAAATTAGAAAAGTTAAATTTATTTTTGCTCAATTATTAAATGAATGATAATAATATATTAATATTAATGATTATTTTATTTAACAAAATTAAATCAAATATAATTGTTAAAATTTTTTAAAAACAAGAAAAAAGGCAAAAACGCTTGCTATTTTACAAATTCTTGAAAAAAATTAAGAAAAAAAAAAAAAAAAAAAACTAATTTTGAATAATTATTAAAAATTATACGAATAAATTTTTTTGATTGAAAAAAAATATATCTGTAAGCTTGTAAATACTAGAAAATTCCACTATGCATTTCATAAGTGTATATTAACACGTGGAGATAACGGAAGATGACTCATACACGTTACATAATGACGTACGTATAACATAGTTCTGTCATTTACGCTTGCATACATTTTTATAAATATGTGCAGTATTCATCTTCTTTAGACCACTAAATTTCACTTTTTTTTGATGGAATAAAATTCTCTAAGTTTGATGAGAGTTTTAGATAGATAAATGAATAAGAAAGAAAAGAAGAAAATGAATGAAATGAAACTCAGAAATATTTTTCTAATTTTTGAATTCTTTTTTTTATTTTTGATCTGTCACTCAAAAATTTATCCAATTTTTCAAATTCTAATTGCATTAAGCGGGTGGAAAAAGATGAAAAAATTTTCTATCTTCTGCTTGCTTTTTGTTTTGTTTTTTAATCGTTAAAATTTTATTTAAAGAATGTTAAACTGAAATTTTTAATTTAGGAATGAAATAACACAGAATTATTTTAATTACTATTTAATTATCATCCGTATTACATAATCATTTCCAATTATTAAATTAATATTTGTATTATTCAATATGCAATGCCAATTTGTAATTTAATAAATCTGTTTTTTTTTTTTTATAATTACAAAGATTTTTCCTTTTTTTTTTTAGTTTTTATAAAAACATTCAAGATTTTCTAATATCAATGAGTGAAGGGATGTTATGTTGTGTATTCTGGAAATTAATACAATCTTTCCGATTTCTAACCGAAATTTTATCGAATATTTATTTTAGCAGAAAAAAGATTAAATTAAATGAAATATTGGTTTTACCATCAACACTTCAACACTTTAATAGCATCATTGCATAGTAGTAAGGAAGTCTCGACGGGATTCTTCATAGTTCTTTTTTCTTTCTTTTAACTTAACTGTCGTTGATTCAAATTTACATATATATTTATTTGCTAATCTCTGATGCGCTTCTTTTTTTTTTAGTTTAAGCTTTAATTCTGAAATATCTAATCCATTAATTATCCTTGCAAAGGATCTATAAATTTTCTTCTTTCAAAAATTATACCGAAATTTTCAATGGAATCAGTGATCGTTTCTCACGGAAAATTTCGAATAAATAATCTACAATTAAAAATTTGAGTTAATTATTTTTTTTTTAAACATATATTTTTCAAGAATCTTAGATTTTTTTATCAAAAAATTAAAAAATTTTGTTCGAATTTTTTAGAAATCTTGAAATTTTAACTTTTTGAGCAATATTTTTAATTTCTGATAAAGAGATAAAATATCTGAATTGGACTGATCTCTTCCCTGATCTTTGCTCGGGTTATCTACCTGCTATTTAGTGTCAACTGACTCTTTTTTTTTTTGTAAACTATGATTTTAGAAATGTTAAAAAATTGTATCATTTTTAAGTAGAAAATCCCTTAATGGCGATTTTCCGTTTTTTTTTACTTTCGTTTTAATTGCGCGCCCTCAATTAGTGATAGTAAGCGATCAAACGAATAATTTCATCAATGAAAACGGTAAAAGTTTCATAAATTTGTTAAAATTTTTATTTATTGTTTTTATGTCACTTTGCTTTTAAGTACATATATTATTTTTAAATATATTTTTAATTATCAAATATTGAATCAGTGCAAAAAAATGGAAACTACGCATTGTAATAAGAATAAAATTTGTTGTCAAATATCTTTCCAAAACTTCAGAAAAGAGCCAAAAAAAAGCTAATTATTCATTTGGCTAGGCCAAATGTTATTCAACAAAAACTAACAAATAGATGTGGACATAGCAGTTAACAATAGAAGCCAAATTTAGGAATTGTTAATTTTGCTATTATTTATTATCAATTATTCAAGCTTGAAATGATAAACTTTTTAATGAATATATATTGTTTTCGTATATTGATTATTCCAGCTGTCATAGTTTAGCTCAAATAAACAAACTTGGCTTAATTTTCAATTCTACAAGAAGTTTTTTTCAAATTTGCCTAATCTTATTCATTTAATCATTTATCATTAATGTGCTATATATTTGCTATCAGTAAAATAGCATTAATCATTTTGTTAAAGATAGTGCTATTGATTGATTTTGAAATAAACTTAATTTTTATATCTAATATTAATATTACCTAATTACTACACATATTATAATAAAATATTACCAATCAATTATTTGATATATTAACTTCTGAAAAAAATTTTAGCTGAAATGAAATAAAAGTAGCATTGTTAAATAAAAGTAATTTGAGATGAAAATACAGGTGAAAAGTGATGATGACAGGTAAAGTGTGGTAATGGTAATGATTGGTAGTGTCTTTATAAGAGATATCTCTCTCAGAATGTTTGCGTAAGCAAAGCTTTTCCTCCGATACTATTGGTATCAGTGTTGAATGATGGTACATTAGGGCAATAAATTTGTGTATTTTTGTTTGTTTTGGCTGCTACTAATAGAAATAATAGTATGTGATGAATTTATTTTGTTAATTCTTTTAATTTTCATTTCATTTCTAATTAGACTTACTGTAAATTTTGAATTTTTTTTTTAATCTAAACATTAACATTCCATTCTTTCTATAGTAATAATTTCCATCAATTGTACCATCCATTATCACAAATTGTAATAATTACTGATCACTTGTCAGTTCATTATTCCAACTATGATCATCTAATCACTTTAGCAGTTCATTATCACAAATTACAATAATTATCTGATCATTTGTCAGTGTGTTATTTCGACTATGATCATCTGGTAGATTACTCGACTAAATTCCTTATCCTGTACTACTTACCACATTTATCAGTTCGAGATCATTTATCAATTCTCTATTCAAGTTACGATCACTTTATCACTTATAATTCAATAATGCAAACCATTTTACAGCTTAGCATTTAAATGCGCAAAGATAAAATGAAATGATCAGATGATCCTCTTTTATTGATCATATTTGAAATATTTCATTTGCTATTTGCTTCAAGCCTAATCTAAAATTAAACTGTACAGGTAGAATTATAATAATTCACTTTTGCAAAGGTAAGCTAATATATTAAAAAGTGATTTATACTATATTATCCATTTTTATAGGAGCTATTTTCACTTATATTTCTTTAAATTTTGGCGCATTTGTTCTTTTTTTTTATGATTATTGATTATTTTTTTGTTAAAAGAGAAAAAATGCTATTCAGAGACTATTTTTTGTCCTTATTGCAATTTCCCGATAGAGTAACGACTATAGTTCTATTTCAAACATCGATAATTTCCGGAAATACGACATATTCTATTTGTATACTAACTTTAGCTCATATATAGTCTCTGTCTCCTCTAACTAAGTTACTACTAACTTTTTATATGGCCAGTAGCTAACTAAGTATGTTTAAGTTTAAGCTAAAACATGACCGATATATCTCAGCAACTAATAATGTTAGAATCATCGATAATAATTTCCTTTGTGCTCCGCCCCGCGCGCCCATATAATGGATAAAATAAATCCCACCTACAATTTTATTTACCTTTTTCTAGATTTCCGTTCATCATTCGACCAGTTTGACAAGGAAGAGCAAAAAAAAAAAAAAAGGAAGAGGAACCAATTCCGCAGTATCATCATTTTATCATTCCGTCAACAAATTCCGCCAGCAAACTTTTTTATCCAAGAAATTCCAATTTGCTTATATTTATAAAAGTCAACTTTTCATTTATTTGCCTACTTACCATATTCCGCATTTGTCACAACTGCCAAAAGTGCCTGGCCAAATATCATATTAGCACTGTTCACTATTTCATGCTAATTATTATTTAACAATGTTTGACTTTGATAGCATATTATCATCGTCATGCTAAAAGCTAAATTATTGATTTTATTCCTAATTTTATTGTTGGTACAATCGAAATCGGCGATAACGCCATCATCGTCAAAACCACCATCAACAGTAGCAACAACAACAACGACAACTGATCCTGGTTAGTTCCCTTTTTCGTTTTTTTGAATTTGAATTATTTTTAATTCATTAGATTCTCCATAACTGTAGTTTGTCAAATTGTTTCTTGCATTTAGAAATTTAACATTATCAAAATTTAAGTCATTAATGTAAAAATAAGCTGAAATTAGATATTTATTATTTCATTAGTTATAAAATTTATATTATTCCTATTTAAGTTTTATAATGTTCGATTTTATATGAGAATCGTAATGTTATATAGCTTTTCGTCATGTTCTGGTCATTTATTATAGAGTTAGTTAGACAAATTCAATTATTGCTAATCTTCGATTTCATGATATAATCGAACCGTCGAGAGTTTAATCATGAATTCAATTAATTTGGTAATTGATCATTACCATGTTATTCTCTCTATTCCCCTTTTAATCATTACTCTTTTGATGATTAATTAAAGTGTTTAGTTAGGGAGAGGGATTAATTCCCATAAGAGCATTTAATTATGTAAAATACTAACATCTAATTTTCAAATATTAAATTTTTGCTAACTAGAAATTTTCAAATTTCATGCTGTATAAAATTAAATTGCTAATTAAATTAACTATTAAATTAACCAAATATCATGTAATTTCATTAATTTCAAATTATTTAACAGCATATTGTCAAAGGTTATAACTATCTTGTTTAGTTTGTTCCAGTCTAATTAATTTTAATATATTTTAGTTTTTATAGTTTACATATTTTATATTTTAACAAATACTTTAATTTCATATATTTGTAGTAGTGAAATTTTTGATTTTTTTTTTATTTTAGTGTTTCAGTTTCTCTCTTTTTTTTTCTTTGTTTTGTAAAATTCTTTTGTACCATCGCTCTCCTTTTCATTTTTCCACATATTTTGAATGATAAATGCTTTTATGTCATTGTGATTCCTTACTTATTGCTTACTGATAACAGATAATATCAGTGACCTATCGGTGAATAGTTTTTATTACGATAAAGTTAACTGATGGATGAGTTTTCATCGAGATAAATATTACGATAAAAAATGGATGAGAGCAATCAGATAATCTATTTCCTTTTCTTTGTGGAAAGAAAAAAAAATTATGAATAAAATAGTTTTTCCTATACTAAATTTACGTTAGTTACGCTACGTCTATATTTGAAATAAATAAGCTTTATGCTGATAATATATAGAAATTGACGTTATCACTTGAGTCTGATAATTGTTAACTGATAAAAGACGTAATGTGTATATTTGGCATGCATATAAGCAGTATTCGGATAAGGTAATCAAATTAGAATAGACGAACTGATAAGTGATAGAGTAAAACTTTTTTACGAAAAATACGGAATAAAACCGGAAATTGTACATCCGATTCAATTTTTTAATTAGATAATAGATACTTTAGACTTTTTTATCTATTCAGTTTTATCTTTATCGTTATCAATTTTAAAAATGGATGCATTCTTACAAATGTTTCTTACTCATTCATCGCTTACCATAGAACTGGAAAGTAGTTGATTTAAATTTGCATAAATTTAGATTCAGAAATATGATCTGTTAAGAGAGGGATAACTTGTATCATTGTCATTGTCTAGGGAAATAGTGATGAATTGAGAAGGGAGATGATATGACAGTAGCTTCTCTCTTCTAAAATCAAACAAATCAAGAAGAAAGAGAGAAGAAGAAATTATAATATTAAATCAAACAAATTCTTAAAATTTGATGAGAAGTAATGATTTGAGAAGAAATTTGCATATTATTATAGTTTTACGGACAGGTTAAAGGAACGATAAAGAGGGGAAAAGATAGAAAGGAGAGAGAGAGAGAGAGAGAGAGAGGATGCTTAAAGATGGGAATTCATTCACAGTTTCATATTTCCCAGCATTATCTATGCTTCTGATCAAAGAAGGGAAGATGAGTCTGGAAATGGAAATATTTGATGATTCTTGTTGAAATGATTAGCAATGAATGACTAAAATAATTACTGAGGGAAATTAAATTGATTAATACTACTGATAACATTCACTGTTATCATTAATCGTTTGCAGTAATAGTCGAGATTTTACAATAAACAAAAGAGTAGATGAATAAAATGAAACATTGGAAAAAAGTTGATAATTTTATCATTGGCTCTTATTTGATACTATTTTTCAAAATTTGAATTTGCTAAACAGAATTGAAAATACTTTAAAGAGATGAAAATTTTGCAAAACTAATAGTTTAACGAAATTTAAATCAATTTTCTCTTCTTTTTTTGTTATTAAAATTCATTATGCTATTTTGTCCCATACAGTTAGTTGTCACTTCTGAAATATTTTAGTATTAAAAATTATCGATTTGGCTTCTTTCTTCAGAAAAAAAGCAATGTTTTATGAATAAGAGGAAAGTTGCAGATAAGATGAAAAGATTGAAAATATTAAATGCTATATATAGAAATGATATGAAAGTGATAAGAGAAGCATGGATGATGATATCTGTTATCATTTAATGTTATCATTCAAGGATAGATTATTATTATCATCATATTTATGAAAGTGGCAAATAATTCAAGGAAGCAAAAAAAAAAAAGTGTATATTCAATATTGTGCGATGAAAAATTTTCCATTTTCAAATAAGCCAGTATTTCTATTGGCAATTTAAGCTTTTTTAAATGGAATTGAGCCTTGGCTCTACTTCTGGTAGGAATGAATCTCTTGGCTAACACACTACATTCTCTCTTATTTCCCGTTTTAGCTTTAAGAAAATAAATATTGTACTTAGAGTAATTCCAATTTTATTGTTTGAAAAAAAAAAAATTTTTTTTTCCCTTTCTGCCAACTTTTTTGGATAAATTTAAAAAAAACAAAAAGCAAAACGAAATTAAGCAGTTTGATAACTAAATAGAATCATTTATTGGCACACATTTTTCTTTATATAATAAATTTTACACATTTCAAAGAGTATTAATTATTTTTTATTGAAAATATTTCCATATTTCATAATTTATGTTTAGTTCAGTTTAAACATTTTATACGGAAATTCTTCTCCGTGTTAGAAACAATAATTAATTAAATTTTAAATTATTTTTGCGTCGTCATTATGATTTATTGAAATTTTTAAATTCAAAAGTATGAAGGAGCAAAACTAAGAAAGAAAGAAATGTGACAAAAAAAGCAGAATTTTCATGCAAATTGAAAATGAATAAAAATTTCTCTTCAATAATATTATTCATTTTATGAAAAATAATATAATAAAAGTTGCGTGATTCACTCATTTACTCATTCATTCATTCTTTCATTCATTCATTCATTCATTCATTCAATCATTCATTCCAGGAATATATAATTTAATACTTATTTAAATGAATGAATGATTAAAAGCTTTTCATTAGATCTTAAGCTTATTAAAATTCATCAGTGTTAGGTTATTTCCGCTTTTGTCTTTGTATATGTGATATAGTTAAATTAGAAGAGAAATAAATGAAAAGTAGAGAATTAAATGTAAAGGATAAAGCTTGAAAATTTCCCATGAAATTTTATCCATTTTATAATAATTGAAATAAATTTCTATATTATGAAGTGAATGAATAATACTAAAGCTATTCTATGTTTTTTAAAAATTTCTCCTTTGTCAATTCTTAATTTATTGTTTCAAAAAATGAATTCCTTTCATTTTCTTTCAAACTAAATTGAAACATTATCATATGTAAATATGATAATGATAGCTAATTATAATGCAAAGTTCTCCTATAATTACTGCTGCTAATTAAACGATACAATCTTAAATTTTTTAAAAAAGGAAAAAAAGAGAAAAATGAATTGAAATTTTTCATTGAAAATTTCATAATGTAAAAATGATTAATAATGAATTAATTTAAACGAAGCATTGAAAAGAAAACTTTTAATACTTTTCTCACTTAATAATTTGTTTATATTTTTATAAATCAAATAAATCATTTCATTGTGTTACAAAAGAATTTAATAGGTCAAATTGCGCCAATAATACAAAAAAAAAAAGAAAAAAGGAAATGCTATCATAAAGAATTATTATCAAATCATTATCAAAAGTATAAAATGATAATAACAATTTTAACAAATTTGCTTAAATAAATTAATAATATCTTCTAATTTATTCATTTATGTCACTAATAATTTTAAAAATTTTCACAATTCAAATATTTCATGTATTTAAATTATTTTAAATATTCAACGATTATTTTACTTTATGTTTTCTATAAAACATTTTGGTATTTTGGCATGGCTTTTTCTTATTTTTTTTTTCTTTTCTGAATATTTTGATATATTTATGAATATTTTGTCAAATTTATGATATTTAGCATGATTTTTATGAATTTTTTGACACATTTATAAAAATACTTTATTGATGATTTTTTTTTTTTTTTTTTACTTTTTAAATGAATATTTCATATTTCTGTCATTTTTAGAAATATTTCGGTCATCATTTTTCAGCATAATTCTCTTTCTTTTTTTTTTTTTTTGAGATCTTTTAATGATAATTTATAAAATCAATGGTTATTTTATGATCAAATATGGATGTGATAAGTATGATTAGTGATAATATAGTTGTTAAATGATTACAAGTAATAATAGTGGCAGTGGTAGGGGTGTACTTCAATATGAAGTGGGTCAGTTTGAAAATGATTGTTAAGCATTTGAAGAATGTGAAAAGGATAGATGGATGAATTGTGTGATAGATATTCAAAGATGTTGAAATTTAAATGCTTTTTCTAAAGCAACGCTAATGAACCTTACCAGTATAAGAATATTCCAATTGGAAAAATTTCTTCCTCTCTCTCTCTCTCTCTGTCTCTCTTTTTGTCCCTATATAATAATAATAAATAAACAATTTTCGGGAATAGTGAAATTTGATTAATAAACTTGTGAAATTTAAAAAAAAAAAAATTATTGGTGTTTTTTTTGTTGGATCAATTTCCTTTTTTTGAAAAATTTTTCAATTTTCCCTTTTTTTCTTTTCATTTTTTTTTTTTTTTTTTTGAATAATTTTCTAAGTATTAATTTTGTTATGTTTTTTTTTTCTGTTTTTAATTTTAAAAACTTTTTTAGATATAAAATTTTAAGCTATCACATATTATCCTAAAATTATTTCCAAAAATTTCTGTTTATTTGATGATTTATCAAATTAAAGATAATTGGGAAATAATTTCTTGAAAACAAAAACTTTCCTAAATTTTTTTTTCTTTTTTTTTGCTTAAATTTAAATGTGATTAATTTCTAGAGCAATATTTATATTGGAATATTTTGTTGTTGCACAATGTATTATCACTTGAAATTCTCGATCATTCAATTCATGAAGTTATCTCGACTGGCTATAATTAAGATTTTTCAGTTGTTTTAATTTTTTTAAATTTTATTAAAATTCATATATGAGAATGTAAGGTGACAAAAAAAAAAGAATTTTAACTATGGAATGATAAAAAATAACTTAAATTAAGCAAATCAAAAATAAATAATTAAAAAAAAAAAGAATGAAAGAGGAAGAAAAAAAAAAGAAAGAGTAAAAAGCAGATGAAAATAATAAATACAAAATAAGTAAATTGCTGGAAGTCTATTCATAATACGGATCATCTTTACTGATTAGATCTATTCTCTCTCTCTCTCTCTCTTATTGCATAATAAGCGATTTATCTCGATAGAGAAGATAAAAAGCAGGGAAAAAGAAAAAAAGAAAAATAGCATAGAATTTGGAATTTTTTACATTTTTACAAAAGAAAATTATTGATAGCAATGCTTATAAATGATAATAACAGAGTAGAATTAGAGATGAAAGATAGTTTTTATCATGATATCTTAACATCTTTTGCTACAAATAATGATTAGAATGGATGTAATTAGAGAGAGATACCTATCATATCGCTTCTTCTAAACACTTTCCGCTTTATACTTTACGTAATTATCCATCACACTTTTGTTTTTTCACCCTTTGCTCTTCTCTTTAACAAAATTTCACCGCTATTAATGATAATCTAAAAATTGAATTATCTCATTTACTGCTTGCTATAATTGTGATTTAATTTTTCCATCTAAAATTATCATTGTCATTAAAGAATTTTGTAAAATTTGAAATTAAATTGAAAATTCAATCCTTTCTTCTTCTTTTTCTAGCAAAAAAAAAAAAAAAATTGCATTTGCTTAGCAAATCTGAAATTGAATTTGAAAAAAAAAAAAAAGAGGAAAGAAAAGAATTGCTTCTTCAACAAATAAGGAAAGATGCAATTAGGAAAAAAAGTTAAAAATCTGAGAATGAAAGAGTGTGAACAAGCAAGAAGCAATGAATTGGTGTCAATTGAAATTGTCAAAATTGATAAAATTTCTAATTTGTCAACGCTTATCCAAAAATTTTTTTTTTTTGAAATAAAATAGCTGAAATTTTATTGGTTCCATGTAATAATAAATTCTTGTTGATATGTTTTTTTTTTTTTTTTTTTTCAAAATAGTTCTTAAAATTTAAAAATTTCTATTTCTATCAATATTAAATGAAGCCAATAGAAATATTATCGTATGTTACAATAAATAATTTTAATGAATTTTAATTTCATTTTTTCTTTTTTGTCTGAAATAAATTTATGAATTATTTTTTTTTTTTTTTTTGCTCCCATAAATATTCATTTTCAATATTAAAAGTAATATTCCATATAATTGATTATTTCCTAGATGAAAAGATAGTTGAAGTGATGTGTCATCTAGGAGTAGAAGTAAGTACTCATTAGTGATCAATTAGTGTCAACAATTGTGATACTTTTTGGTTAGATAGATCGGTGGAGGAGAAAGGTTAAAGCGGTAACATGAAATAAAAATCGGTGAAAAAAAAAATTTTTTTTTTCTGGTAAAGAAATCCGATAAGATCCTGTTAGAAGGAAATTTTGACATCTGTAGTATTTGTTGATCGGATTAAGTAAGAGTAAAGAAGGTAATGGCTGATAGATTTGTCTGTTTTTTTTGTGATCGATTATATATTGTTGAAGTAATAAAGTAGTTGCTATAAATGTTTAGTATTATTAAGCTTAAAACACTTAAAAAAATTTATGATAACATTTAAAGTAACAATGTTTTAGATAGAAATATAAATTCAAGTGGTAAGTTTTTTTTAAAAAAAAAAAATGTGATTATTTAAATTATGGAAAACAAATCGATCACTTTCTTATTATAATTTTTTTATGTAAAAGAGAAAACATAAATTAATACATATTGTTTAATATTTTTTCAAAAATTTAATCTTATTTAATGCTTAGACTTAAAATCTCAGTTAATATCTTTTTTTTTTTGTTCCTTCATTTTTATTTTAATGTTAAACTTTCTCATTTCATTCATTTGTTAACTTATGCAATATTGATTTTTCGCTTATTTTTTATTTAAATTAAGAATTTATCTTTCCTAGCAAACATATTGCAATATTATAAATAAAAGAATTAGAAGAAGAAATAATTGTTTATAATTAACTGTTTTTTTTTTCCTTTTAATAAAACTTTAACCTATCAATGATTTTCTCTGTTTAACTTGAATTTTAGTTTTTTTTTTTTGGATTCTAATTAAAAACATAAATAAATTTTACGTGAATTTCTCACCTTCTTTTCATTTCTTCCACTCTTTTTTCCCATTTATTTCTGTTTGATTAATCAAAAAAAAAAAAAAAAAAAAAAAAAAAGGAAAAAAGGAAAATTTTATTGTCACAATGGATAGTTGGTGAAAAAAACCAATTAATTTCTTCTCATTTCTATTATAAATTAACGGAAAAGAAGAAAAAGGCTAAAAATTTTAGTAATAGAAAAGAGACGATAAGGGTGACATTAGTGTGACAATTTTTATTTTTTGAAAAAGATTAGAGGAATGGATAAAGGCAAAAGAAAAAAATCTTTCCATTAGATTAAGCAAAAAAAGAAAAGAAAAGCGAAAGAAAGAAAGGAAAATGTAGCTAAAATCAGAGTATAAAATTTAATTAAAAAATTTTGAATTAATCGAAGTTAATTCAAGTTTTTATGCTTTTTTTTTGTTAATTGTATATTGTTTGTGTCATAACAGTTTGCTAATTTATCGAGAATCTCGACAACAAATAAGAGTAGCAGAATCTCGAGAGTAAATATATAGTATACGAATATTTGCTCAATTTCATAACATTTTTTTTTTTTTTTACAACAAAACGAGAATAGTAATTTTGTTGTTCAAATTTCAAATTTAAACAAAAAAAAAAAAAAAAAGAAAACGATAAACGGTAAATATTTAATGTTTACAGTAATGCAAATAGTTGGTATGATTCAGTAGCATTTAACGATATTATATTTACTTTCACAAAGATACTAAAATAACAGAGCAAGAAGATTACATAATTAATCGATATGGAAATACCCGGGAAAGCGGGGAAGGGAGATGGTAAATTTAAAGGAGGACAATTTAGTTATTTGTCAGTCAAATGTAATCACTGTGCAAATAAAAATGTATGAATAGATGATAGAAGGATGGGTATCTCATTCAGCTAAACTAACATAACATTTTTTTTTTTTTTCTACCCGCGGAAAGTATGAATTAAAACGGGAAATTTATTTTGCTAATGTAATTCATTTTAAAAAAAAAAATTGAAAAAAAAAATAGAATTTTACTATATTAAATTTAATTTTAAAGATTTAAATTATATATAACAAATAAAATTTTTTTTCTTTTTTTTTTCATCAATAAAAAATTGTAAAAAATTATTTTAGTAATAAATTATATATCAATTTTTTAGTAATAATTTAAATAGGAATAAAATTTTTGTGTGATAGATATTGAGAAAGATTTCATTTCATGCATTTTTCTCTCTTTTCTATTTACATTATAACAAATATTTAAATTTTGAAATTAGATGCTATTGTTGAAAAGTAATGAAGAGAGAGAGAGAGAGAGAGATTAGATTGTTATCGTCTTTCATTACCTTTTAACTTCATTTTCTTAAGTGGTATCCAGCAGTGAGCGGTTTACCCAAAAGTATTTCGAAGCAATGAAATGAACAAAATGCTGAAGAAGTAAATTAGGAGAGAGAGAGGGAGAGAGGAGAGAGAGGTAGTAGTAAATATGAAGAAAGTCAAGTTAGGGTCATCATGTTGGTGCTAATGTTTTTGCATTTGGCTATTTGGCTAGTCCAAGATTGGTTTTCAATTATGTCCCCTCTGGATGGGGACAGATGAAGAAGGTTTGAAATAGTGCTACAAACATGTGATCCAATTATACTATCGGTTGAGACGAAAGAATCGGGTTTAATTAATTAATTAATTAGTGAACAAATTAGTAAAATGAATTAATTGATCAACAAACTGGCATAGTTAATGCTAAGAGTTTATGAAATGAATTAACATCTATTATCTTCAAAATTCTGAAATTTCTTGAACAGTGTAAAAAACTTAACAATCAAAATATCTATGTAATTCCATCATTTAGTTTACTTTTAATATTAATCAAATCTTTTAATTTTAATTTATAAAAAATAATCAATGACTTAAACATTGCGGAAAAAAAAGAACAAATAAAACAATATTAATAAGAAAGAGAAATGGTGATCAGATCGATTAATATTTGTACTTGTAAGAAATTATTTACTTATCAATTAACATTGAATAGCTCAATTAAATTTTCAGTTAATTTTCAAAACTTCTAAAAAAAAAAAAATTGAATTCAAACTTTGAATATGATTGTATCATTCAATTCCTATAATTTCTTGTCAGTTATTCATTATATTCAAAAATAAGAAAACATTTAAAAATTCGGAAAATTCTACTCTTACTTATACATTCGCATCTAACTTTACTTACATATTTGCATGCATTTAATTTATCCATGCATATCATTTTTAGTAAATTTGAATCTAATAAATTCTATAATATTTTTAAAACCCTATTTTTTTTCCTTTTTTTTTTTTTTTCAGATGTACCAATTCAGAAGATATTTTGTGAAGGCGAAGAAGCAAATTTGGAATGTCCGATCGGAAGATATATCGCAATACGGTTAGCAAATTACGGACGTTTCACGTTAGGCCTTTGTAATCCGAGCCATCGTACTGATCTAAGTACCACATGTCAAAATGATAGGACATTGGCTATAATGAAATTAAGGTTAGTTTCCTTTTTTTTTTTTTTTGATTTTATTTTTTGAATTAATTTGTGAATTAATTTTATGTGTTAGCTTTTCTTTTTATGAATGATAGAATGAAAGATACAAGTATTTTTAACTATTTATTTTTTTGTTTTAATGAATTATTTGATAACTAATTAAAATTATTCCAATATTTTTTTTAAAGTCTATCTGCGACATTTTTTTTTTGCTTTTAAAAAAAAAAAAAGGTAGTTCAGGTGAGTGTTATATTTTACTATCTCTCAGGAAAAGTATCAAAATAAAAATATAATTCTTAGTGCGTTTTTAAATTATCAATTGATAGTCTTCTTTTTTTAAAAAAAAAGGGAAATGATCGCTATTTAATTCTAAGATATTTAATATTTCACTTAATAAACCAATCAATTTTATTGATTTGAATTGGAATTAGTTTATTTTTCTAATCACAGTTAATTAAATGTATTTATTATCTCAATTTTTAAATTCATATTATAAATAGTTTTAAATGCAATTATTTATAAAACTCGTTGATGTGTTTCTTATTTTTTTGTGGTTCCCATATTTCATTGATAATAGTTGGCAATAAAATTTCATTCCCTCTCTCTCTCCCTCTCTCCTCTCTCCCTCTTTCTCCCTCTCTCCCTCTCTCTTTCTTATATTATAATATTAGCCATTTTTTTGCAACGTTTTAAGATTTAATAAGTTATGAAACATTCGGAATAAACTCATTGAAAATGATTTAATTGCCTGAATAAAATTTTTTTCTTTCCTTTTTTTTTACTAAATCTTCTTGTTCCTTCTTTTTTTTTTTTTTTTTTTTAAAAAAAAGAAAGAAAGAAAAGGAAAAAGGAAAAAATTTTCTAAGGGATTTTATCGTTCTAAATGACATCAACAAAATTTGCTTTGAAATTTTTGAAATTAAAAGAAAGAAAAGAAAAGAAAAAAAAAACACCATAAAAATTATCGTGAATTAAAATAATTTTTTGTTTTTTTTTAAAAAAAATTAAATTTTATTTTTAACATTATAATTTTTACGAAATGATATGATAAATGTTGCATTTTAGTAAAATTATTTTCAATGAATTTTTTAGAGAAAAGAAAAATAATTGAGAAAATTTGATTTCATTTTTGATAGATTTAATTTTTTTCTTTTTTTAGATGAATTATATGCATGCATCATTGAGTATATATATGTATATCTTCTTGACTTCTTATAAATATATATCATTTTTTTTCCGGAATTATCCGTCATGAAAACGGATCTCTTTATGGTCACATTCAATGCCATTAAAAAGTAAACATATCAGTTTACATTCATTCATGCAACTTCTCATATCCTTTAGCTTTGGCTTATTTCCTATTTAATTAATATGGCTTTGCTTTTTAAAATTTTTTTGCAAAATGTGAAAGACTTTTCCATTTCAAAGAATGGAAAACTAATCCATCTAGTATAAAAATAATTGAACTTTAGACTTTTAAATTAATTAATTAGAAATATTCCGGAAATAAAAAGTTATACATTGCATATCATATTCCAGAATCGAAAATATTATATTGATTTTTAAATAATTTTTCATTTAAACACGCAGAGTTTAACGATTAAATTGTTAAATTGATTAATTAATTATCAATCACTTTTTTTTTTGATTTCCGAAATAGTATTAAAAAAGATTAAATGCATATTAGTTTGTTATATTTAACAATTTTATTAGATCAAAGAGCTAATCTGTTCATAAGTTTAAATTTGTCAACTTATTTTGACTGATCATCATTCTGTTTATTTGTATATTCATTCAATTTATCACTATTATTATCATTAATCACTGATGATAATTGATTGTAAACATTTAAGACAGTCTAGCAAATAGTAGTAACTTTTGATTACCTATCGTACTTACTAACCTACCTATTTTATTTTAGTGTCATTTGATCCATTTGTTGAGTTTAAGGTCAACAGCTGTTATTGCTTACTGTATGTTAAACAAATACAAACATTTATCTTAAAAGAAGTATGTATTACTGTAGGTAGTTAAGTAAGTTTAAATTAAGAAAGTTCAAATCAAAATTTAAAAATATTATCAAAAAGATTTTTTTTAATTTATTTTCATATGCAATATTAAGTAAATGATACATTTGCTGAATTTATCATTTTAGTTTTTTTTTTTTTTTTTTTTTTTGATAAATTCAATCAAAAAATATTTTAAAATTATGTTTAAATCATTGTATGACATAATTTTTTTAATATTTTAAAGAGGCTTAAAAATAAATATTTATTAATCGAATACGATTAAATGATGCAATATTTAGTTTTAACTTTTTTAATAATTTTTGATCTTTTTCCCCATTCATTTTTATTTCGTCGTAAAAGATTTTAAGACAAATGTGAAAATTTCTCAATTTTTAATCTATGAAAACAAAAAAAAAAAGAAAATAGTTTTATTAAAATTATCCGAATTTACAAAAAAAAATAAATAAATAAGATTCTTATCATCAGGTATATAAATGAATATTTTTAGAATAATAATTCAATTTAGCATTCTATTTGAGTAGTTCAAAATTTTGTATTTTTAAATAAGCAAAAATTAATTTGACAAATTGTTAAAATGAATTTATTAAAATATTAATCATATTACTTACTTATTACCTGTTATTATTTGATAATTTCATTATCTCTTCAAAGTCAATAATCTCTTTGTTCAGAACAATCTAATATAAATTTAGTAGTAAATAATAAGGTTTAATAATAATATATTTATAAGGATTAGTCTCTAGAAAGCACTTAAAGAGACAGGTAAGGAGAGAGAGAGGGAAAAGCAGGTGTACCTGTATACCTTTCTATCTTATAATTTTAACTAAGATAGAAGAACCATTTACTAACAATAATGACAAATAACATAAAGCTTTAAAAAAAAATCCACAAGAAGCTTGGCCACATTTTGTGCCAAGAGTTACTGATGCATGAAATTAGGCCACTTTTTCATTTCCTTTCTAATCGTTTTTCTTCTCTTTCATTCATTGTAAGATATTATTTGAGATGAATATATTTATTTGATAATTAGATGGTTACTTTTTTAATATAATATGCATTTAATGATAATTGGGACAGAAAAAAAAGAAAAGAAAAGAAAGCAAATAATCTTTTCTTTTCTCTCTCTTCTCTTAAGAAAAGAACTTTGAATTTTATAAATTATAAAAATTTCGATTTTTTTTTACTTAAGCATAAATTTAAACTAATTTAAAAAATTGAAAACAAAGATGGTTTAAAAAACAAATAGCATTTTTCTTTTCCTTTCATTTAGCTCTTTTAAATTTGGAAATAAAAATTTTTGAGTTTAACACTTTTTGTTATTCATTACAAAGTTTTAATCATTGCTTTTTCTTTAAAAAAATTGAAATTTTATTAGTTTTTTTTTTTGCTTTCTTTTAAAAAATATTCTAATTTTTATTTACAATTAATGAATAACTGTGACATAAAATGGTTAATTTTTGTGAATAATAAAATCTAGAAATTTTCACCAACGTTAGCTTTATAAAATGCTATTTGTTACGTGTCAATAATGTGACAATCCTTTTGCAATTTGAATAAGTCGTTAATTACAACTTTTATTCAAATGATAATGAATAGAAACGAAATGTCCTAAAATGTGACAATAGAATAAATGAAAAAAAAAAAAAAATTATCATCTCATATTACAAAACTGAAATAGTTAATTAATACTTTTCTATGATTGCTACTTTTCATTCATTGATGATGGCGCAGAAATTACATTCAGTCAATGCCGCAAATCATGTGCACTACTAATAGTAATAGAATAAAATAATTTGAGGGAAAATTCATTTATACCAATGATAAATATAAAAATTCTTTTTCTGATTATTTTACCTAATTTTTTATTCATTGACATTCTTTTTTTTTTATCTACCCATTTGGGTAATTTAATTTAGCCATTGAATTTGTGTGACCATTTTAAAATTGAACATTTGTGACACATACTTCTTTATAATTAATATCGAATGACATTGTTTATTTTAAGATCTAATCTCGTTTCTGATTTCTTTTTCATTAAAGGCTTTTTTTTAAAAAAAATGTTAAAAAGAATCAAAAATTTGCAGCATTTTTTTTTTTTTTTGAATCAAATATTTTGTCACAATGAGGTGACAGTCAAAATGATCAAACAGATAGTTTACGTTTATGTTAAATCCATTAAAATATATAATTTTATATTTAATACTATTTGCAATGATTCAGGATAAATTATAATTTTTTTAAGACTTGTTTTGTTTAATTCTCGAACTACACATGCAAATATTATCTTTAGTTTCAGTATCTAATTGTATACAAATTAAACTTTAAAATATATTTAAAAATTTTACACTAAATTCATCATGAAATTTAATTCAAAATATCATTTCATTTTATAAACTGGCAATCATTGTTTTATCAAATTTTAACCAATCAATTCGATTTAAAATTTGTCAATAAAAATAATATAACTTAATATTCCACAAACTTAATTTGCTTATTTACTTCACATATATACCTAAATCTATCAATTGTAAATTTATTTACGAATGTTTTCCTTGGATGACATTCAATGAAAATGCGATGATAATTCTGTGGTGACATTGTCATCATCATTCAATATAGTTTGGCGGAAGAATGCATCATCAATGCATCGTAATTATACGGTACTCATTGATCTTTTGACGAGTTTTGTGGCGGCGAATTTTCCGTCTAAAATCATTGAAGCAAATTATATTTATTATAACAAAAGCAATAAGTAATAGATTTTTAACCAAATTTTTTAATATTCCAAAATTAAAAATATTAAAAAAAAATTAATAAAGAAATGAATTAAAAAGAAAGATAAGTTGTCTTTTTGAACAAAAGTAATAATAAATGAAAATTTTTAAATTTTTATTTTAATTAAAACAATAGTTATTATGATAATGAATTATGTGATAAATAAAATGAAAGTTTTGTTCTTTCATTTCTTTTTTAAAAAAATCGAAACAATCGTTTTAAAAGAATTTTTTTCCTTTTTATTTTTATTTTTCACTTCTTTAATTTGAAAAAAATGGTAAAAGCAGAGAATGAGATGGATAGATTTCATTGATAGATTTTGACGCCAAATGGTCTAATCATTTAACGGAATACCTGTATTCATTGAAGGACAAATTTACCTCTGTTTTTTTTTTTTTTTTTCCTTTTTTCTTTTTACTTTTTTCTCTTCTAACAGATATTTTTTCCTTTTTCTCAGATTTTTTCCCTTCTTTTTTTTTTTTTTTAACAATAATAGTTGACCAATTGAAATGAAAATAATTTGAGGTATCATTTCCTTCTCTCTCTCTCTCTCCCTCTGTCTCTCTCTCTCTTTCTTCTTTTTTTCATTTTCTTTTTCCATCATTTTCTACCATTAAGTAAAAATAGCTAAAAAAAAAAGGGAAAAACGAAAGTAAAAATAAGACGAAAATGAATAAATTTATGTTTTTAAAATAAGAAATTGAAAGAATTTTTATTTATGATTTAGTAGTGAAAATTAATAAAAATTATTCAAAAATAATTTTACTATAGCGTAAACAATTGTGCATAATTTATTGCTAATTAATTATTTTCTATTATGTTCATTTTCTACTGAAAATATAATTCTTAATTAAACATTAAAATGAATTATTTTTTTGTTTAGAATTTTTTGGAGATTGAATTTTTAAAATTTTTTTATTTAACTTTTTTAAATTCAAACACTTTTTATGTGTATATGCGTTAATTATATATATTTTTAACTTAATTAAATTTGTACACATAAAATAAAATAGTTAATTTATATATTTTTTTCTTTTAACTCAATTATTCGATAGATAAAAATTTTCATATTTTTGTATAAAATTTTTATTAAAATTAAATTGAACTATTGAAAAGATAAAATGATTACTGCTGTTTATTTTATTGCTAAATGGAATATACATATAAAATATATTATTCAGTGATATATCTCGTTTTAATTAATTCTCAAATTTAATTACAAGCATTTTGCTTAGCAAAATGAAATAAACATACTTAGCTAATGAAGTTTTGCATTTTGAAATAGGCTAAAATAAATAGATAAGCCAACCAGGCTATCATTCCTTCCTTTTTATTGTCCCATTAATGTCACCTATGCTTTGAAACATAAAATAAAATAGAATGATAGGGTGAATTCGTTGACATTAAACGGATTGAAATATAAATTCCCATAGTGAAATTAAAATTAATTAAAAGAAAAAGACCAGTGAAATCTTTCTTCTCTTTTTTTTTTTTGTTCCATCGGGAATTTCACTATTCTTTTCAATTTTTTTTTTTTTTTTCATTCAGGTCATTCATCATTTATAATATTTGGAAATATTTTTTGATAAATTTAAAATTTCAAATTGCAAAATTAGTTTTGAAAGAAAAAAACCTTAACATGCTCATTGTTATAATCTTTTTACTAAGATTTATGAAAGTGAAGAAAAAAAGTTGTAGTAAAATTAAATTAAATTAGAAATTTTTTTTTATTAAGATTCGATTTAAAAAATTTTTCTAATTTTCATTTATGTTATGTACGAAATTTCAAACAGTTATTAAATTAATTTCAATTGATGAAAGAGAAAAAAAAAACATTATAAGGTTTGATTTGATATTTGGTTTCAGAAATTTTAAATTATAAATTTGCTAGTTTAGTTGTGATGATAAACAACGATGTTTGTTTGTTGTGGAAACGAATCGTTTTGGTTTCGATTCATGTCCCGGGGAACCAAAATATCTGGAAATTGTTTATTCATGCATTGAAGGTACCAAAACAAAAAAAAAAAACGAAAACATAAATTTTAATTAAATTGTTTTGCAAATCACAATTATGCACGATATTATGTGTACGTATTTTACATCTTTGTTGCTTGCAAATTTGTTTATTGTGATCGGAAATATTCACATCACTGTTTTTGTTTGTTGTTTTTCTTTTATTTTCCGTTTTTTCTTTTCTTTTTTTTTTTTTTTAGCGGAATGCTTGCCTGAATTTGAATCGATAACTGGAAATGGCGAGAGCTAATCTTATCAAACAGTTATAATAGATCAATTTTGCAAGAAAAAAACATGTCATTAGATTTTCTTTTGTAAAAATCACTAAGTTAATTTTTGGAGATTCTTAAAAGGTTTCAAGTAAAATATTTATATAAATATTTCACGATAATTTTGTAATTTATGCATTTTTGAACTAGTACATAGAGAATGGATATATATCGTTTTAATCAGCTGATAATTTCACTGATATGCTGATTAAAACAGTCAATAATTGTTACTGATAGTGCAAAGGAGTAATAACACTCTTTGATTAATGATAATTAAAACAAAGAAAGCTGATTTTCAAGAGGCACTTGTGATTTATTTATTTTGATCACTCATTCTTGCATTTACCCGTGGGGAAAACAATATAGTCATAGGTTATATTTCGAACAGATATTTTATAAAAAGTTTTTTTTTCCTATATGCGATGAATAGTTCATTTTGCATTGAACTCATCTAGAAACTAAATGATAATTAAAGAATTTTGAATAGGCTTGATTAAAATAAGTCTAGCTAATTGACATTTGACATTTTGTAGTATTTTTTATTTTGATTTTCTTTTTTGTTGTTTTTGTTATTTTGTATGTTTGCTTTTTTTTTTTTTTTTGTTTACACTTCATTTTCATTTTGCTTGCTTTTTTTTCTTGTGCAGATGTAATGGTCATCCGCGGTGTAGCATTTTGGTAAACAACAGAGAACTTGGTGATCCATGCCCGGATACGGAAAAATATCTGGATGTGGAATTCAAATGCAGCAAAATGCCTGATATTGGTAATCAGTAATCATGTATTTTAGTTGAAAATGTTTTAAATTTACAAATTTAATCAACTTTTTTTCTTCCGTTTTCCTCTTTTTGAATAAGAAAATAATATTATGCAAATTAAATTTAATGTATTGAAAAAAAAAAAAAGGAAGAAAAGAAAACAAATATGTCATGAAATTCAATCGAGAAAAAATATTAAAGAATTGACGTAACGGTTAAAAAAAAAAAAAGAATGAAAAGTGCACATTTCGCTGATATTTTTTTTTTTTTAAGTTTATCTATTTTCAAAATTAAATTTTAATATGCTAAAAAAGTTTTATGAAGTTAAAAAGAAATTCATATCACATCTGAGTTCACACACCCACATATATATATAAATTATATTTTGTAAAATCTGAGAAATAAAAAAATCAAAATTTAAGTATGAATGTAAGTTAACGCAAAAAAAGTTATACTTGTTACACGCATTTTAGTTTTATGTTCGTCCGTGTTCACTTTTTGTTTTTGCATTTTCCCCTCACTTTGACGTAATTTGCACAAAGTCACTTTTTTTTTTCTTTTAAATCACAATTCATTAATTTTATTAAAAATATTTATTTGATTTATAAAAATTATTTTTAAATTATCTGTAAAAAAAAAAAGAAATGTAAATTTTGTAGTAAAAACAACAATCAGTACATCAATGGCAACAACATTTAATACACCAACTATTAATCAAACATTGCTGATAACTGATTTAACAAAAACATCGATAGCAGTCGAATTTACGTAAGTGACGCTTGATTTAATATTTACTTTTAAATGAAAAAAAAAAAAATGTAGTAGGAATGGCTAAGTAATGCTAAATTTAATCTTAAATCAATTTTGTTAAATTGATTCAAATTTAAAGGACAGTGAAATTACTAGACGAAGATGATAAACAGTTATTCTGTGATATGATAACGGAACGTGACATAGACTGGCCACAAACAGAATTTGGTATGATAGCTCGTGTTTCATGTCCAATCGGATCAACTGGTTACGCAGAATGGACATGTGGATCGAACGGACAATGGGAATCAGATGGACCGGATTTGTCACGTTGTATTAGTACGTGGAGTAAAGCGTAAGAAATATTTATCATTTTAAAACTTTTAAAATTATTTGTCTAAACGTAACCACATTTATTCTAAAGAATGATAATATTGATTTATTTTTCTAAACTAAACTATTGTATTAATATTAATTTACTGTAATCATCCAAATATTCTCATTAAAAACTTTTTTTTTTTTCAATTTGTAATTTTAATTTAAAATTTAAGATTGCTTATGGATGCAGAAGAAGCAGATGGTTCATTAGATCGTTTGGAATTTCTAAACGAAATTCAACAGCGAACACGGCGTGAATCGTTAATTGGTGGTGATCTGATCGCTCTTTCTCGTGCTGTAAAATTGCTAATTCCAATCACAATATATGAAAATGATGCAGATAAATTTGTTGAAGTATTACTAATGTTTATTTAATTTTTAATTAATACCAATAAATTTTTATTAGTAATGGTTAAGCATAGTAATATCTATGCTAACATATTAATCTTTTGTTGTTGTAATTTATAGTTTTAATTTTATGTTAGAAAATTGCTAATCAAATATTAATTTATAGTTAGTTGTGGAAAGTGTTAATAATATGGCGAAAGAATCACAAATACTAGCATGGAATGATTTGAAACATTTAAAACGACGTATGATAGCTGATCAATTGATGAGTGTTATTGATCAAGTATCAATGGCAATCAGTCCATTAATTACGCCTGATACGCCACGTATCATCATGAAACCTAATACCGGTGCAATATTACAGTTTTGCTTATATTTTATATTTAACACTTCGAAATTTTCTTAGTGATAAAATTCAAAAATGAAATAATTACCAGTTCATATTTAAATAAATAATTTGACTTAATATTGATAACGAAATGATAATATGTTATGAATTTGATTTACATTGAATTCTTTTCATCTTCGATACATTAACATATATCAAGTCGCTACATTGAACAGGTGGTATAATTAATTAATCAATTTAAATTGTTTTTAGCACAGAATCTAAGAAATTATTAGCTTGGAAAATTTGCCTTACCTAAGGAATTTGTCTAATTGATAATAGCTAGATAAACTTGATATGATTAATTGAAATACAATTTGATATGATATGATTGACTTAATATAATCATAGTTATTTACTGATAATCATTATTATAATTCATGTTGTATTATTATTTTTGCGATTAAAAATAATAATTCTAATTTCGATTCCAATTATGGATGAAATGAAATATGAATAAAATTTTCAAAAATTATAACTTTTAGATGTTGAAGTAGAAATATCAGCTGTTCGAATACATGATTACGTAGCATTTCCAAGTACAAGTTTATATCGAACAACCGATGATACAGTTAATATTCCACGTGAAGCATTAACTCTACGTAATAATGCTATCGGTTTGTTTACATTTATCATTATCAACCTGTTATCATTATCACTAATTGGGATAGCTGAGATCATAATTATATAATAGTATTCATTAAATAATTGAAAAGATTAAATTGAATTTAATCTAAATTTTAGCTTCCATAAATTTTAAACTTTCTAATTAATTCAAAAATATTTCAATACTATAGCAACTTTGTAAGGTATACAATTCTACTTATGTAACTTTTTAATAGTTGAAATGATAAACTGCAGATGAAGCCAAAATCATTTATGCTGCATATTCATCAATGAGCCAGCATTTGCAACCTGAACCACGCCGAGGTGCAGATGGTACCATGGTACCACGACAAATTGCATCAAAAATAGTTTCTATATCTGTAATAAATAGCGATAATAAAATTGAAACTATCGATCATCTTCATAAACCAGTCATTATTACATTTTCAACTGAGGTACAGTAATCATTATTAATTTCAGATCAAAATAATTTCCTTAAAATAACTAAGGAACGAATTAAATGACACAAAAATGATTGTAATTAGTTGAATTCGTGGAAATAAATCACTGTTGAAATTATAAAGTTAACTCTTGCAGTTCAAAATATAAAAATAAAACTTTCAGCCACGGTTACAAATTTTTTAAGAATATTTAAAAGTAATGTTAACAACAGCTGGTAGTAATTAATGAACTCTTAAGTTTTACTTTTAGTTTTCTATTAATGAAATGAATACTAGTTGATAGTTTCAAATGTTTCCAGTGAATGAATTATATTAAAAAAAAGAAACAAAAATAAGATTCAATTTTAATGATATAATAAGCCGGGAAAAATTGATAATCAGTCATAGTTAAGTAATTATAAGAAATGATAACTTTTGCATTAAGTAATGATAAATTAATTATAATTAAATAACTATAGGAAATGATTTCTTTTATGAGAAAGAAAGAAAATTACTAGAATTGAATAACTAAATTCATATATTAGAATCGAGTAAATCTTTCAATGCCACAATGCGTCTGGTGGAATCGTACTCATTTGCAATGGTCATCGTATGGCTGTGTGGTCAGTTCGCATAATGCAACCCACACCGTTTGTCACTGCAATCATTTGACATATTTTGCTGTCCTTATGGACATTCACTATCAACAAGTATGTATAACTTATATTTGCTCTCATAAATTATCACTTAATGATTGTTTTAAATCAGTTATAAAAGATCACGTAAATATTACGTATAAATATATGCGACGATGATTAAATTTGTTAACTTTAATACATCTAACTTTATATTTAATAAACCTAATTAAGAGTTTATTAGCTCTATCTATTTTAATTTAGATTTTATGCTTGTTTAGAGAAATTAAGCGAAAAAAAAAGAACTCGAAAAAAAAATATCTGAAAAGAAATTGTAGTTTTATTTTAGATGTGATGAATTAATCCTACATTTTCTCTCTAAACATCATTAATATTGGTTAAATTTTTTTTTTAATTTCAGCTATACATTTTTGAATTTGAAAATATTCAAAAATTTAAAATGACAATTTTAGCTTTCCATTGGACATAATATAGCACTAACATTTCTAACTTATGCTGGCTGTACAATATCAATAGTATGTCTTTTATTATCATTATTCGCATTTCAATGTTTTGGCACCAGTGGCGGTGATCGAATTTTCATTCATAAAAATCTTTGCTTCTCATTGCTAATAGCTGAAGCTATCTTTTTGGGCGGTATTTGGCAGACAAAAAATTCCGTAAGACTTTTTTATCTTATTGCGCCTTATATTAATCAAAAATTATTTCTTTCAACTAAATAACATTATAAAAATTATTATATCATTTCAATTATTATAAAATTATTCCCCAATTACCCTAATATAATTTTTATAATATTATGCATATCATGCTTAGTTAAATAACTATTTAATTTATTTAAACCTAAACAATGAATAAAATTTATTACAATATTTTTTATCAGTTATTTGCCAATTATTTTAACATTCATTAAAAAACTGACAATTACTAATTATAAACTTTTATAACTGCTTGAATTTATCGATTATTTTCCTTGTTATAATTAAAATTCAATGGAATGTAAAATTTTGTTTTAATTTTTTTTTAGCTTTGCTGCAGTATTATAGCTGGTTTATTGCATTATTTCTTTCTTGCTGCATTTTCATGGATGTTATTAGAAGGTTTCGAATTGTACTATATGCTAGTTGAAGTATTTCAATCAAAAGATTCCAAAAGATCGTACATATTGTTGTTTGGTTATGGTAAACTTTTATTTTTACATTCATTTATTTCAATGTTTTTTCTTCTTTTAATTTTCTTTTTCTTCAAAAAAAGAAATTCATTAGTTTTTTTAATCAATTTATTCTAATATTTTTTAATTTAACAATTTTTATATTCAAAAATTTATTATTCTAACATTAATATTATTAATTATCATCTAATCGTTTTTTTTTTTTTCTAAATTTAATGATATAATTTATGATTTATTATTGTATTTTAAACGATGAGATTTTTTTTTTTTAATTTTATTATTTCTTTTTTCATTTTTGCATTTTAATATTTTATTCTTTTAGGATTCCCATTATCAGTTATTGCTGTATCAATTTGGTTTGATCGATTTAGTTATGGTACAGAGCGATACTGCTGGTTACGATCTGATAATTATTTCATTCTAGCATTTATTGGACCAGTAATTGTCATCTTACTCTGTAATACAGTCTTCCTCGTGATGACATTGTTTATTGTTTGCAGTCATTCTAGTATCGGTTATACACCATGTAAACAGGATCGCGATGCATTGAAAAATGTTCGGTATGAGTTTTATTTATTTTTTTTTTTTTTTTTTAAATAAATTATTGTATTTAGAGGTATTTCATTAAATTTCTCCTTTTTTTCTCTTTAATCAAATTATCAATCAAATTTATGAAATGAAATTTCTTATTTCTGTTAAAATTTAATTTTTTTTTAAATTAAATAATTTATCTTATCTAAGAAATGATTAACATAATTATATTTTAATATATCATTTCAGAAATTGGTTGAAAGGATCAGTAGCACTGATTACTATATTAGGTCTTACTTGGACTTTTGGACTTTTATGGATTGATGAGCAATCAATTCATATGGCTTATGCATTTACTATTATGAATTCTCTTCAAGGATTATTCATATTTCTATTTCATGTTGCATTCAATGATCGAGTTCGTTCATTCCTTTCTTTCTTTCTTTCTTTTCACTTTTTTAGATTTAATTTATTACAGTAAGCAAAGTTATTCATTTTAATATTATTACAGTAATCTATTAGTTTACAGTATATATTTCCGGTTTTTTTTCTTTCCAGCATTTCTTGTTTGTTGAATATTTGTTTGTATTTATTAGTTCTATATGTAATTATTAGTTCATTTTTAGAAGGCTTTCTTTCAGTTGCATAAAGATTACCGGAAATGGGTGAAACATGTCTCCTGGATACCGGATTGTATGCGTGATGATTCAAGTCATACGTCACGTACAATGCCATATTTGCCAACAAGTAATACAAGCAAAACCGGTCAAGCAGTCAGTTCTAGCTCATCGACAGCTTCTGAATTACTGGTAAGTGTAAAAATTACTTTCTTTACTTTATCCATAACATATGGATAACTATAATATATTCTGTTGATGATTCACGGAATATATTCACTGTTTCACGTTTGCAGCACTTCTGACGGACGAAAGTACGTGAAAATATGAGAGTAATGGTCTTGAGAAGGTTTAGAAAGAAGCAAATAGTTATTCGTATCAATTCTGTGCTAACTTTTCATTTCATTCCTTTCTTTTTTGAAACAGAAAAAATATTTCTAATATTTAAAAATAGAACTTTATCATTTGTTAACTTATCATTGCCTTTTCTGTCAAATAATGTTTAAAATATTAAAATACATAGCAAAATTAATCAATGCTATCATAACATTAAAATTTGAATGTGGAATTTTAATTATCTTTTTCTGATTTTATTTCAAACTTTTTTTCAAACTATATTTCCTTTTGTTGAATAATTATTAGTAATGCATCAAGCCCAGCAATATTATCTATCTATTTTATTTTCATATCACACTGCACGGCTATCTTATCTATTTGTTATCACTGTGGTAACACATCGTTATCATTTGTAGTAGATCACTTTTTATCATTTTATCATTTAATTTGAAGAGATTTACCAAACATTTTGGTGGCAAAAGCGATGAGTATTCACCATTGTTGGCTAGTCAACGGGCTGGTTTAATTGATGATAAACAAATCCATGTAAGGCGAGGTTCGTCAATGCTTTATCAGTCAATTATCAGTCATTATCACATCCTTCTTCACTTTTCCTTTCCTTAATGTTCATTTTCGCTGAAATTTCAAATTTCCATTGGTAAAGCTAAAAAAATTGGAATGCAAATTTGGACCTTTTTTTTAAATTGAAATATTTCTTACTTTGGTATACTTATTGTGATACAATCATTACATTAACTATGAATATAACTTGTTATCACACACACACATTTATAGTTAAAATAATTTTATTTGTAATATAAATTTACAATAAATCATAATAAAACGATTTTAATGCTTCATACACTGTGATTTTTACAATGAATGAATAATCGCAGTAATAAAATTGAATAAATTTTGTAAAAATTTCAATTCGATATTTTTAAAAATCAAAAATTGCAAAAATTAGAAATGAAAAGAGAATTTTTGAAAAATTTTATAAAAAATTTAAGCTGTTTCTTAAGGAAAATTTTATGGCTTTAATCGAAGTTTAGTTTTACGATTTTAATTGAAGTTTAATTTCACGATTTCAATTGATGTTTACAAGAAATTCACGAATTTGTCCCTTAATTTCTCATAATTTAAAGCATAGTGCTAAATTTAATAAATGATATAGTATTATTCCTTGTAATAATTATATTTCTATAAATTCCAACTTTTTTTTGTTTTGTTTTTTATCTTAAACTAATCATACTTCTAATATTATTCTCATCTTTTCATTAACTCTTCAATTCTTTTCTTTCTTTCTTTCCCTTTTTCTTCTTTTGGATAAATACTTTCTTATATATAATATGAAAGCATAGCTCAGTGTAAGATTAAATTTTTGAAATGAATTAGAAAATTGTAAATCTATGAAAATTTTAAACTTTAGAAATACACAAAGGAATATCCACCGGCACGTGAACTAATATTCTTCAACTGCGCTACCGATATTATGTTATAAATATGTAATTTTTTTAGTTATGCTTTTTATGGGTTTAACTAATTAATTGGCTTTTTTCTTTCAGACTTTGTAATTAATAAAATGTTTTTCCATTTTTCGCATATGCACCAGAAATGAGTTAGTTATATTAAAGGTTTCTGCTCGATGATTCTTGAAAATGCAATTGTCGTTCATGTTCAGTAATAAATAATTCTCGAATGAAATATTATTTCATTCAAAAAGAGCTCACTTCTATTTCTAGAAGTTTACATTTAAATAATTATAATAAAATATTAATTACATTTATGCATCAATTCTGTTTTTCTTTATTTGCATGGCTTCTTTTTATTTATTTTTTTTTTTTTAAATTCTTTCTAAAAATTTTTTCTTCACTTTAATTTTGCATATTATTTTTTTTTACCCTTTGCTATAAAAATATTGCTTTTACAAAAAAAATTTATAAAAAATTTAATAGGAAATTTTTTAATTTATTTGATTTTAAATTTATTAAAATAATCATTAATTAATATGTGAAATATAATTATTTCTTTTTAAATTTGCATGTTTATGCTATTTTCTTCTTATTAAGGTACCTTTTTTTTTTTTTTTACTTTTTAATTTAATTTTCAGAATTTGTTTATTCTTTTTTTTTTTGCAGTATCCTTCAATGAGCGAAAAATATCCAGCATTACCGACACCACGTATGGTTGCCGCGATTGATCCACGTTATAATAATTCGGTACAAATGCTTCTAGCACGACAACACTGTAATCCAAATGGTATTTTTCCTTTTTTTTTTTTTCTTTTAATTTAATTTGTTGATTAATTACTATGAAATTAATGAATTTAGTAATATTATTTTAAAAACTGTTCAATTTTTTCATAATTTATGTTAACAATACTTAGTAATGAGATTAATTAATTACAGTACTGGAAATTTATCATCATCAATTTTAATTAGATTAATTGATTTTAATTAAGATATTGACTTATCAATTCATCAATGTGTATATACTAATTGATATTTTGATGTGATTAATCTAATTAAAATCAATCTACTTGATATACAATGCTTTAATCTATAATTAATTTTAGATTTTAGAATTTTTTTTTTACATTTCATTGTTTCGAAGGTAAAAAAAAAAGGAAAAATTAGCATAAATTCTTTGATTATTAATTTGCTCAGTTATTCTACGTATGTTTTAACTTTTTAGTGCAATTGATGCTAAATTTAATAGATATTACTTATAATATTAATTGAAATTTTACATTGAATAATTGTAGAAAAATTTGCACAAATGTTCAAATATGGATTATTGATTATTTTTTTGCAAATTTTAATTATCATATGCGATATAAACTAATTAATATTATCCTTTTCTACATCTTAAATTATTAAATTACTTTTTTTTTCCAGCATTATGCGACTATGCAACAATTAGCTACGACGATCTCTGCACCTCATCAACTAATCACTATCATCAACCACAACAAAGCAAATACTATTTCAATTGTATGACACCTGTGACATTTGTACCTAATCCTACCTTTTCCCCTATTATTACACCTGAATTTGGGACACTTCATTTCAGGCCACCACCTAATTTCCCACCACCGCCACCACCACCACCACCACCGCCACCATCTCCTCCAGCACAATCTTCACTTCTTACTAATCGTCGTTCAGCTACACCAATGTTAGCTTCTTCAACCATTCGGGTGTCAGATGATTCAGCATACAGTGATAGCTCTGCGTCAACCTTACAGTGTCACGGTGAAGTGGTGACAAATAGGTCAGGAATGTTACTGCGCATGGATTTATCAAAAAATCCGCCCGTTTTCGTGCAAGGCATATAATTTTCAAACTGATTTGTAAATATTTGCATAACAATCACAAAAAACAACAACAAAATATGCTGAATAATTAATTTAAAAAAAAAAAAATAGATTACATTTGTCTGATTTTTATTTTGAATCAATCAGTATAAATAATGTTTTCATTTTTCGTCCATTTAATATGAAAAGAAGATTTAAAGTTTATATTAATTATTTTCAATAAGTATAGGTAACTCTATCTTTCCTTTTAATAAATGTTTTTTTCTTCTTTTTTGTGGTACACAACATCGGGTTCGGATTTTTTTCTCAATTGTTTAAATTTTTCTTTTTTTAATCAGTTCTATTTAAAATTTCTGTACTATACAATTGCTTTTAAGGGAACATAATGTTGCGAAAAAAATAGAATTATTTTATTTTAATCTTTAAAACATAGTAATTACGCTTATCTTTAGTTATCATACATAATCTTTTTCGCATTATGTTTCCAATCGATGATTAACTTAAATTGATAGCAATATGAAATAATCATTGTTTGATTAGATTTCAAAAAAAAATAGTAAGCGATTTGTTTTATTATTAACAAATGTTTATTAAAATGATATTAATATGATAAATCCGGTTGTACATGGCAGGAGATTATGTTCATGTTGAAACAAAATATACTATTATTGAAAAAGAACATATTATTAGCATTGGTACTATTTTGTAATTTTAAAAAGTTGGTACTTCGTCTATCTCTAAGTGGTATCTCTATTGACGAATCGGAATATTCCTTTCTATTTCTGGAAATGATCCGAATTGGAATATTCTTTTTCATTTCTGGAAGTGATTTTGGAATATCCTTGCTGTTGAAGTAATTAGATTATTCAAATTTTTTTTACTCAATCAAAATATTTCTGTTCTTGAAAGATAGATGAAATCTTCTAAGATAGAATCAAAAATATTTTCATGCTCTCCTGCCTTCTAAAATTCATTTCAAATTCAATTATTATATTTGTTATGTCCGATTATAAACATTAATTATTGTACAATTCATTTGCAATATATATACATTTATGTGATAATTGTGCAGTAATGACAAAAGTTTAAAAATTTATGATTTCTTGAAATTTGCATAATTTTGCAAACATTGATGATTTCTTCTTCTTTTTTTGCTGTCTTTGTTTTCATTAGTAATATTAATAGATTGACGTACGTTGATGTAAAATTTAACTAATGCAAGTATTTTGGTTTTCACTTTTAATCACCAATTAGACAAATATTTTGATTCATTCACTGAGTCATCAAAATTACGTAAGTAAAATGTTATAATCTCGTATACGTCAACGCTTACGTGAGTCAGATTTTGCCTTATGTATTGTTGTGAACTATGCTACAATATATAATAATTGCCGAGCTTATCAATAAAATCAATAAAATAATCGACCGAGCTTTTAAAAACACTAATATAAACATGACCTATGACATATAAATATCGTAAAGCTATGCTAGAATTTTAACTATTAAAATTTTGAAGGATTTTTTTTTTACAAGCGCTACGCTAATTTTATTATTGGAATTTTAGTTTTTGATAATCAAATTAATCACTAATTAATCTACATAGTTAATTTGTCAGTTAATTGCTTAATTTAAAGAATTAATTAACCATATAAATTAATTGCGAATGATCATTCTAATCATTAGATTTTAATTATGTATCGTAGTAAGTTGATAGTTTACTATCATTTGTCGATGAAGTAACATCAACAAAGTTTCTTTTCTTGTTAGACTGTGAAATTTGACGGGATTTTCCAATCAAGTTGATCAATTTTAATGAATTTAATGGATGGTCAAATATTCGATCATATTTTCGATTGCATATGATCAAAATAAGAGACGAAGAAATGTTCAATGTAATTTTGCATTTTAAAGCGCCAAAAATTTCTCAAAAAATCAACGCTTCAACGATGATATTAACTTCTATTTCAATATAAAAATTTTAAATTTAATTACCTCTTAAAAAAAAAAGAAAGGAAATATGAATATTAATTTGAAAAACCAATTAAAAATTACTAATTGATATATTCAAAAATTAAAAAAAAGTGTAAAAGACGAGGATAAAAAAGGAGTTAAAATGAAGAAAATAAACTATTTATGATAGAAAATCTCAGACTAATTTTGAAAGCATAAACAGAGTAAAAAAAAAAAGTTTTAAAAACTTCAAAAAATTGAAAATACAACTTAAAAACGAGACACAACAAGAGAAAAAAAGACGAAATTGTGAAATATCATTGACAATAATAACAGCTTGTAAATAAAAGAAAATTAAACCAACCGAAAGGTAAACAAACTTTTAGTTTTTTATTGTGTTCATCTCCCTGAACATTCTCAACTGATGTATTTTGCAAACTGATAAATTTGACTACCTTTCTTGGTAGCTTCCAGAATGATTGGTACCTATTATCTTTCTTCGTGAGTTTCCGAAATGATTTGATACCTGATGTGAATTAATTCAAATAGCTATTTTTGTTGTTAATAACAAAATAAATTTATACTTTTAAAAAATTTTGATTTTATGCTTTAGCAAAATTACTTTTGCCATTGTCTTCTCAAATGGTAATTTTTTTTATCGGTTAATTTTATTTATAATATCATTCATTTAACTTATAAATTACAATTATCGGTTCACTTATTATTACTTTTAAGTTTTCTACTCATTTTATAAAACTCAATGCTCAGGAAATTTCCTTCTGAGTTCGCTTTCTGGTGACAGCGATGATTTGTCGTTGTCATTAGATTGATTCACGTGGAATTTTCGCTTATTTATTGTTCTTATAATCAACCATAAGTATTACTTAATAAATTGTTAACGTTGAAAATGTTAGAAAAATCATTTTGTTTTTCAATGTCTTTTTCAACATGGCAGTGTTTGAAGTAAATTAGTAAAAAATAAAAATAAATTTATTAATGCTGAATGAATGTAGTGCATAATAAATACGTATACGTTTAACGTACACGTATGCACACGTATGCGATTATATGCATTCATGTATCTTTCTCGTTAGTAAAAGTGATTGGTGTTGCTATCCTAATTAAATAATATAAATTTAATCAATTATTAGAAAAAATTTTTCGTTTTTTGAAAAAAAAATTAAATCAGTAATAATCGGATTCATAATAAATATGGAACTAGAAATTTAAACCGGATCCTTAAATGTTTCTTAATTTGTTAAGCCTTAAAATTTTATAAATAAAATTCTCTTCTGCTGGCGGTTAACTATCAAATAAAATAGTGAATTAGACTAGGCCTTGCGCTAAATTTCAAGTTCAAAGAGGTGATTGCTTAGAGAAGTATATGATAAGATAAGAGAAGAATATGATAAGAATCTATTTGAAACACTAAACGTTTATTTAATAAGCATAACAAAATTTAAAATTAAATTTGCAAAAAGAAAGCAAAAAAAAGCACAATGAAATTACACTGATAAAAACATTAATTGTATTGGAAATATTCATTTAATTAAGTAATGTTAAATGTTGAAATAGAACTAAAATGAATTAACCGAATTTTAAAAAAGATAGCAAAAAGGGAATAATGGAAACGGAAAAGAGTTTAAATTAAATTGCATCACTTTGTGTCACCTTCCTCTTTTTGAGCACAGTTATTTCAGAAGAAAGAAAGACAATCTCAATGTGTAACATCTTTAAAGTTCAAAAAGTTCAAATTAAAAAAACCACTTCAAAATTTGTTCCAATTAATATTTAATTGAAAATTATGCAATTCAAATTGCATATGAAAAATTTTAATGTATGGAGTAAATTTTTTTATCATAATATTTAATGGAATTTTTCACTTATTATTTAAAAAATATTGAATTTTGATGTGATATTTTTTTGAATTGAATTTTTAATTTTTGAGAAAGAAAAAAGAAAATAGTTCGCTGAGTCACACTTAATAAATTTACTTCTACCTTATTTCATTTAAAAAATAAACAAACTTTTCATATCAGACTTTTTTCAAATTCATTTCTCAGCTACGCTTTCAGAATTTCAAACTATCCCTCTGCAAAGGAATTGTTCGAAAATTTTGTTAAAATTTGAAAACGAAAGATTGCAAATGATTTAAAATGTGAAAAGTAAATTTACTCGCGTAATTTTAGTTCAAAAATACTCGTTTTACTAAGACAAAAATCTTTCATTGTCAAAAAAAAAATTTTTTTTTTCTTTTTTTTAGAATTTTTTTTTAGATTCTTTTTTTAAAACAAATTTTTTGCAGCATCAATTTTTGCTCTAGACATTTTCTCTTTTAATTTTGCTATAAGATTCATTGCCATGCTAATAACAACTACTACAATAATAGTTATTGTTAGTTTGTACACTTAATTTTAATGCTACAATTGATAATAATGAGGAAGCATTTCAATGAAAAGAAATAGGCGCAAAATTGATTTTTTTTTTTTAAATTAGGTCAAAATTGAATTTTGAAAGAGAAAAAAAAAATTGACGCATTTCTAATTCTTTTCTCTACAATAGCAATTGTATTAGTGTGAGATAGTTAAATAGTTGTCACCAATGCTGATAGTACCGTTATCACTTGATAGTAATACTTAGCATACATTTATTATCATTATTCTTATCTTCATTATCATAACTCCCTTAATTATAATTGTTTTTATTATCCTTTTCATATCTTTTGCATACTTTTATATTTGCTTATTTCTCATCATCAAAATGCTGCAAATAATTTCATATTACATTTATTATGCTGAAAATCGTACATACTATTCAGATTATGTAATTTCCAAAATTTCAGATCTAATTCAGCTAGTAAATTGCAAAACAGACTAGCATATTATCAGTTATTAGCATAATCATCATTATCATATTATCAACTGATAAGGCTCCGTCCAACTTATTATCAACGAGAAAAAACAATGAAATATGCAATTTTCATCATTTTTATCACTTCTCTCTCAACTGCAATATGCTTTTCAACTACTTTGGTGCATTCTTTTTGCCTTATAATTTGAAAGTAATTTCTCACAATTTAATAATAATTCAAATATGTAAATTAACAAAAAAAGAAAAAAGAGTATAATTTGTAGAATGATTCGATATCATTTTCATACTGTGAATACTTGGCTGAATGTGAAATGATTTCACTACTACAAGAAAGGCTTTGCTTAGGAAATAGCATATTGACACCATATTGGCTACCATCGGACGATCCGATCGGTCAACGATGTTATATGCATCTCAGAAAACGTTATCAAATGGTTACAACAATTTTTGATTGTTCTAATAAAACTTTTCATCATCTAAAATCAATCATCCAAGTAACAACAATAGTAATACCAACAATGATAATTAATGACAGTAATAATAACAATGATTAATAACAATAATAATAATAAATAATCCATGTTAATAACTGATATTTTATAGCTTGACCAATTGATGCGTGAGTCCAATAGTCTATTATTGTTATGTATGGCTAAACATTCGGAATCATTTAATGAAGATCAGGTTTAACCTTTTACTCTTTTGCTATATGAAATAATTAAACAATTTAATTTAACTAAATTGTATGTCAATAGCTATTTGTAATTACTAAAATAATAATTCAAATTGTTCGTTTTCAAGCATCCCATTTTCCTTTTTTGTAAATATCTTTTTCAAAAATTTATTTAGATTTCATATTTTGACAATAAATTATTTTCAACTATGAATTGAACTAATAGTTTTGTCTCTTTTATACTCAAATTATATTTGTGATGAGATTTTCTTTTTACAATTTTAAATTACGAAGTTTAAAAAGGAATGAACGATTTAAGAAAAATGGGAAAAAAAAAAGAAAGAAAATGATCTAAAAAAGTGATTACATATGCTTCTAACATCAAAATTACTATTAATTATAGAAAATTACAGGAGAATTTCATGAATTTCCTGTAAATTTCAATTCAAAAACATGGAGTTATCTATAAAAAAAAAAAATCGATGATTGAATGTTTTATAAAATGTTTAAAATTTTTGTTAAATTTTTTCCTCTTTGCTATTGCTTTAGAATTTTTTTTTTCCATCGAAATTTTTTATTTTTTTAATTTTTAATTTTTGGAAAAAAAGATTTTTTCTTTTTTTCTAAAAAAAGAAAACAACCAACGATACTATTACAGAAGCAGCAACATTGCGATCATTTATTACTTGAAATGGTGAATGTACTGAGAGACAATGATGGTAATCCATTGTTGACTAAATGCTTCCAAGGTAGCAAACGATCTGAACGACAGTGTGGACCACTACGACAATGCTGTAGTGCATATGATAGGTTTAGTTTTATTTATATATTTAAAAATAAAATGCAAATTGCGCATAATGATAGATTGTAGCGCAATTATCGTAAGGAAATGTAAATTTTCAATACAATAAAATATCAAAAATTTCTATTTAATAATTTTATATGTTATTTATTTATTTTTTGATAGAACTAAAAAAATGCAACAATATCTTCTTTCATGTTTCTTTGACTAATAATTTTCAATAATATCATTGATTAATAATAACAAGAATTTCTAGGTTAAAATTTTGAAATTATTTATTTTAAATATTATCAAATTCTACTATTGCAATAAATAAATTAAATCTTTTGTTCTTTGCACATTTATGTTTAATTCCTAATTCATTTTTAATGAAAATTTCGGAGAAATTTTGTATGGCATGACCTATTTTTCAAAAAAAAAAAAAAAAGTACCGTTTACATTCAAGGTTATCTTTTTCTTTTCTATTGATAAAAGAGTTTAGATTTCCTTTTCAACATCCTAATTCTTGATCGATTGTTAATATATAAAAAAAAAAAAGAGATTTCTAATTAAAAAAAAAAAAAAAACTGAAATTCAGTAATTAAATTTATTTTAACTGATAATAGCAGCATTTCTTCGTCCATTTATAAAAATTGAATCAATCATATAATAAAACGATGAAAATGGAAAAACTTAATAAGAAAAAAGAAATCAAATAGTATAATCAATTATTTGAATTTCATTAAAAGTCAAATTAAATTACAATACGAATCAGTAAACTACAATGTTCTTCGCTAGAAATGTTATTTTTCAAATCATAAATTAATGAAATAAATTTTGAAACGATTAAATATTTCTATTCGCATTGAATTTTGTTCAATTAATAGTTAGCTGCGTTTGTGATTTCATCAAAAATATTTTAATAGCATATTAAAATATAAATAATAATTTACTCTAAAATGTCAAGCAAATTTCGCTTTCTAATATTAATTTAATTAATTCCGTTATTTGTTCCCTTTTTATGCAAATGATCTTTTCTTCATTGATGTATGCTTTGCTATTCTTTCTTTGTTGAGTTAAATTTTCTTGACTAAATTTTAGAAGCAATTTATCATTTAGAATTAAGACGCGTGTAAATGAATTAGTTAAAATTTTGCTTTATATAATTCCTAATTAAACATAAATTTTAGGTGTAAAGAGCTCGTAAAACAATCTTTCATTACAAAACAGAAACAAATATTAATTCATGAAATTCAGTTCGCTGCAAAGGAATGCAAAGTAAGTATAAGTAAAGGTTTTGATGATAAATTAGTTGGATGATAAGAATAACTTTTTTTTGTCCAAATTTTTTCTTAATTTATTGTTCTTTAGGAAGGTATTTATCAATTAAACAATGCCACAGAATCAATTAACAAAGCAACTATTTCTGAAAATTCTTCAACCTTAATTACTTTTACAAATCAACCGGATAAGGACGATCTTCTGGAAAGTTATCTACGACATTCTCCTAGTCAATGGTACTAGTTCATTTAAAAAAAAAATTAAAAATACATCTTACACTAATGAATTTCATTATGTGTTGCATTCATAAGTCGTCTTTTAAGATAATTACAGAAGTTTGTATTACCTGAAGTTTCAACCTTTCTTACTTTTTCTTAAATTGAGTAACTTTTATGATTTGATTTAATTTTGAGAAAGCTATTTATTATTTTTAAAACTTTTCTCTTGCTATGTATAGAATTGAATTTCAAAATTGTTCAACAGCAATTAATACTATTGATTTCATACTTTTTGTGCTAATTAATTTTAGGCATACGTTTTTAAAAAATATACTTGTCAAGGAAGCGCAGAATACATCAATATTTCGAGGATATGATACAGTACGGTATTATGGTCCTAAAGCTGGTAAAAATGATGACTATTACCGAATATTGCCAAATAGAACAGGTAAAAGATATTAGAGGAAAAATGATGATAAGATAATTTGCTGTTATCAACTTATCATTATTATAATGATACATTCTATCATCCTTATTTTTCTTCCAAATCAATTAATATAATATCTGTGAGCATTAATCTCGAATATATCATCTAATCATTACTTAACACTTTTAACTGATAACAGCTGATAATAGTGACACATATGTTTTTAGATGAAATCGAAGAATTAAATAATACAGAGCATAAGAATGATATTAAAGAATATCAAATTGGAAAGAAGCAGGAAATGCATCCTAAACAAACCGAAGTAATGGCTTATTAAATATTTAGACATTGGTGAATAGAAAGAATTCCGGAAAATTTTTTTGTTTTCAGGAAGAATATGACGGAAACTACTGTGACAGTTACATAAAATGTCGAAGAAAAGTTTGCATATTGTTTTTTTTTTATTTTATTAAAAATTTTTCTAAGTTTAAAGAAAGGAGTAAATAATGTTTATTAGTACCTATTATTGATTGAAGAAAAAATTAATAATTGCTTATCATATAACATTTATAATTCTTTTATGATATAAAAAAGAAAAAAAAGTGATAATTAATCTTTTTTGATTATGTAAACAAGAAAACATAATAAATTTGTAGTAATTTCTTTTTTTCTTTTGCATATTAATGTGATTATTTTGATAACTTTAAAAAAAAGAAAGGAATTATAAGGTGGAAAAAACTATGGATCGTTGTCAAATGGTTTGGAACAGTGTAAATCGGATACCGTTGTTGTCAACTGCTACATTACTTGAAATGGGCGATCGTTGTGTTAGTCGAGGTGACAACAGCTTTACTGAGCTTTACAAATTAGCTATTGAACGGGACAGTGAGCTTCATGGATGTCTAAAAATGTATCAAGATCAGGTATGTAATGAATAAGCTAATCATCATGACTCTTAATTAGCTTGTGTATCAAGATCAGGTATGTAATGAATAAGCTAATCATCATGACTCTTAATTAGCTTGCTTAATTAACTTAAATTATATAATTAAACAATTCAATTGTAAAATAGAGTTTGTGATTTAAGTTATATTTGCGTAAATTTTAGACTAACGAATTGGCGACATGCCCAGATACAAACCGAATTCATTGGCAATGGTCTTCTGACATACTGCAAAATATCACAAGTAATGCTGATTGCTTAGCTCAGGTGAATTTGGTGCAATTTGAATGTGCGCAATTGAACAAATGTTGTTCAAATTTTCACAGGTAAATATTTATTCGTAATTAATTAAATTAGACTACAGTAATTGATATGAACTGCAAATTTTTCATACAATTTTTTTCATTTTTTATAACTAATTTAACATTTAGGAAATTAATTAATTAATAACTTCATTTTCTCAACATTTTTGTGCAATATTGACAGTCTTTTTTTTTTCGTTCCTTTTTTTCAGATGTCGAGATGAGACTTTGGATGCCAAATCAGAATTACGAATAGAATTACTTACAGTGAAATTAATAATAAAATATCATGAATGTATACGACATCAACTGACAACAATGGCAACATCTTCTTTGATAAGTGATAAATTTTAATTTCAATCTATTTGTATACTTTTGTTGTATTACCTCTGCTATCGATTGATTATAACTGTGAAAAGCGATTTCTTTCTTTCTTCCGCATAACTTAGCAATGACAACTATGCGAATAATTAGAAAAGATTTGATAAAAGCCAATCTGATTGACTGATAACAAATTGAAAATTTTTGGCAATTTATTTGTATTTTTTTTTCCACGTGTCATTTAGAATGAATACTTTCTCTCAGGTGACAACAGGTAACAATCAATAATGATCTAAAATATAAACGTTAAGTATAAGTTGTAGTAGAAATAATTGATGTTTGTTCTCTCGCAATATTTGCATTAAAAATGTTACGTTGAGTTTTCTTATTTCTAAAAAAATTTTTTTTTTCTACGAATGGATTTCTTAAATTTAAATTAGAAATTAATTGCCAAATGAAATGATAAGAAAATATATCAAAAATGATAGTATATTCATGAAATATCCTATCGTCAACGATGCTAATTATAGTTTGAACTTAGTAATAGCAACAGTATCTGCATCTCATCTTATCACTTCTATATTATCATTTCTACCTCGAAATACAAATAAACTCTTCTCTCTCAAGAGTAAATAAAGACGAATTTAAGTTTAACACAGATGATTTACTAACTTTTTTAAAATGATAATTCAAAAGCTCATTCTATGTCCATTTCGAAACGATCTGCTATAATGTTAATTTTATTCTGACAGATATTAAAATCAAGAAATAACAAAATTCAAAATTTGGAATGGAATTATGCTAATTTTAATTAGCCCATTGAAAAGTACGCAAACATAAACTTACTTGTGTAATTAAAGTAGGCTAAACAAATGTGAACAATGTTTATCTATGCTTTCATTTCTAATCAAATCAAACTTTTAACAAATTAAAATTATTTTATTTTTTAACTTTTTTTCCGTTTTCATATGAAAGAAAAATTTACACAATTGCAAGTGCAAAAAAAAAAAAAAAAAAACTTTTTTTAATGCAATGTACTATTAAAAGCAATCAATCGTTTGCATATTTTTTCTTTAACTTATAGTTTTATAATGTTGAAATGATTGATACTGAAAAATTGTACATATGAAATTTTATGGAAGATTGATAAGAAGTAATTAGGTAAATAAATAAGTGAATTTAAACATTTTAGTTTAATTTTTTTTTATAACATAATGTATTAACTATGACAGTTAGCTACTTAAGCTTAGCTATAAGAGATAAGAGCTAAATCTTAAAGTTTTTCTGGCAAAGAAAGAAGACAGCTGTTTTAGCGGTTAAAATAAAGATATAAAACATAATTACAATGAATTAAATTAGCGTAGTTAAATGGAAAAATTTTGTGTAGCAAGCTAAACTAGCTAAATTAAGCTAAAATTTTACTCTAGCACTAAACAGCACTTTCTAATTGATACTTCTTTTCTAATTGCTCTGTTATCCACCACAAATTATTTTTTGCATCGATTAGCGCATTGTTATCTTGTATTACCTTCGTTATCATCGAATAACCTAAAATTCATTTCATAAATAAACTTTAGATTTGAATAAGAAAAAGTATTAGAAAAGTGGAAATTTAAACGAGAAAAAAACTTATATGAAACAGTTTAAAGAAGAGTAGAAAAAGTTTAAGTTTGTCTTAATCAATAAGAATTCAAAATTCTGTGAAAATTTAATTGCAAAACAAACGTCATTTATTATAACTAAAATTAAATAAAACATTAAATTTGAAACCAAAAAAAAAAAGAAAAATCATATCAATAAAATTTTAATGAAATTTGCAAAGATTGAAATTTCCACCATTCATTTCATGAATAGCCTTAAGGCCAATTCCATAGTTAGCAATTTTCCGTAAACATTGCGTAGCACGTAACTGAATCCTTTTGCAGTAATTAAGATGCGTTTGACTGTGGATTTGTAACAATGAAAGTAAAAGGTTAACTGCACCTTGTCCAATTAATGCTTCAATATAAGCACCATTTGCTAGACTGATGAAAATTGTCAGCAACTAAAAAATTTCAATCTTTTGTTTTTTTTTTTTTAAATAAAATAGATTTTTTCCAAGAAAAAAAAATTTAATTATTATTATTAGTTGTTTTGTTCATTTATTACTAAACTAGTTCTATCAGCTGCTAAATGAAGATAAGTTAGTTTAGATTATACCTGTTCCTCTATGAATACATTATGACATTTCGGTCGTTTATACGCTTGAATAAAACGTTTGATGGCGTTGTGCTCGTAAAGGACGTCAATTGTTCCAGCTTCTTGCACTGTTATATTTGCTAGTGCTGCTAAGGCTAGCAATAATGATTCAGCTACCTTACTTTTATCAACAATTTCTAAAATTTGTAATTTAAATAATTTAAAAAATTTGCAAAGCAAAAATGCGCAAATGTTTGCTATATTTAATAGAAAAATGATTTTAATATAAATATGAAAGGAATTAATAAAAATTTGTAACTATTCGATATGCAATCTTATTGCAAATCTTTGCCGATGAAACTTTGCATTTAATTCTAATAAAAGATAAAAGAATGATGGAAACACTGTGATACCATTTAAAATTGTCTAATTTAGGATTGAAATTTAATTAAAAATGAATTATTTGTGATGATAAGTTGAATACCGAGAATTCGTACAACAACTTTTCGCATAATGCTACCGAGACGAACATAATTTTGATTTGGATTTGTTAATTGCGTTAATATACCAGCTGCTTCTGCTGAGCAAGCTATTGTTGAGGTAAACAGGAATTGAATGATTAATTCAAATTTATTAAGCTAAAAAAAAATTTTTTTTCAATAAAAATCTAAAATATTTCAACATTTTTTTATATTTATAAAAATTTGATTTTTTACTTTGATAGTTTCTATTCATTGAAAAAATTATATCCACTATTATCATTAAGAAGTTGATCAAATATTCATATTCAAATAAAAGAAGGTTGAAAGATTTAGCTAAGGGATATTTGCCTACTATGAAATTTCAGGAAATTTAATTTCTAAATCAGTTGAAAATGTTTGCAAGTTTATGCGACATCAGTTACTAACCGCTAAAAGTTTCATTGCACCTCGACAGTTACCGCATAGAATTGTTAGAGCACGAAGTAGCAACCGAAGGGTACCATTTGAAATAGACGGTACCTCACAAAAATACAACAATGAATCCAAACCACCACACTGAATAATTAAACTATTCTTTTTTTATTTTAGAAATAAAGTTTCCTAATATATTTATAGAAGAAAAAAAAAAGACAGAAAAATAGTAGCACAATTATAGTGATAGTTAAGATTGATATTTTGTCCGATTAAAATGAGATTGTAAAATTCAGTATCTCTCGGTTCTAATTAATTCTAATTAACTTAGCACATATAGCTTCTAAATCATCACAAATTTATTTGTGCCACTGCTATTTTGAATTTCTAATATTTGTTATTTTGTGAAAATTTTGAAAAAAAAATCAATTTGCTATTATTTGCTATTTATAGAAAAAAATCAATGATCCTATTATTTGCTATTTATAACTTATTGAAATTGTTATTAAAAAATGAGAAAAACTTTTCCTTATACCTGTATAATAATGTGACAAATTTCATCACCAAAAAGCATCAAATGTATGAAATGTTCAAGCGCAATGACTAATAATCGATCTCGATTGGAACATTCGGCGAGGTATGTTGATATTATCCTTGCAAAGATAATTAAAATTTCATGAATTATCTTCCGCAATAGAACAATTAGAAAATTAGACGCATTAATTGGCTTTCCTTTGTCCTTTTCATCTGATTCTAAATCGGAAATCATTTGTTGTACTGTTGCTATATCCTTAAATGAATATAAATTATCAAGTAATTTTCAAATTACTCATCATACTCATTAAATTGCTAGTTATGGAATAAAACTATTGACGGATTATTTATTGCAATTAATAACTAAAGATGAGTTAAAGATAGTAGCTAAGTAAATCAATAAATTTGCGTAATTTTCAATTTAATATTTTAACATTTCAATTACAGCTGGAAAGTTCAATTATTAGCTTAAAATATTAAGCAAGTCGCTTGACGTATGTTCTTATTTGATGAAAAAAATATACGCAAACAGTTAAGTATACTTACGTGAGGAGAAAGAAACGTAATGCACGGTAAAGATTGAATTGTAGCGATCAATACTTTTGCTTCACATATTATATCACTAGTCCACTTTTCATTCATTTCATTGTTTAGTGCTGCGTGAAACGTGCTGCATACACGTAGCACGTGATCAATTGTATCTTGAAATCTTCCATTTATTCATTTTTCCATAACTATGGGATCATATCGCCGTAGTAAATGTAAAGTATAATCTCAATGAACGATAGATGAATTGAAACTTTTTGCAAAAAATTAATAGCTATAATTTTGAACAGACTGAAATTGATAGAATTGGTGGTAATTAACTTTAGAAAAATTGACATTATTAGATTAAAATATTGTCAACCAAATTGACTTCAAAAAAAAAAAAAACAGAAAAGAAATTGATAGTTGAAATATTTTAATATCAGTCATAAATATTTTCAACTTTTGTTTAAATTTTTTTTAATATCTTGCTATAACTTACTAGCAACTCGAGCATAGCTTGGTAAGCTATTCTCTCCAATTGTCTTATCATAATTAAATGAATCTTTGAATGAACAATTCTGGGTGCTTAACTCTGTTGATCCTTGTCCCGAATCTACACTACTATTTGTACTTGAATCAACTGATCCAAGTGCTGCTGATATTGATACACCGGTTGATGCTGATTCAATACCATCATTAGTATCATGATTAAAGCATCTAAAGTTAATGTGAAATTTAAAAAAATATACTTGTACGAATTGCTTCATCAAATTAAACCTAATTCAAAAATTATCACCTTGAAGTATTTGAAATTGATTTTATTGCTTGTGAACTTGATGGTGCATCAAGATGTACCTGTAATACTGTTTCTCCATTGATGCGATAAGCTCCAAGCTGTAAAACTTTGAAAAAACAAAAAAAGAAAAAAGAAACTTAGAGATCAATTTAGCATGAAAGAATTTATTATTATAATTCTCTATTATAATTTATTCTCTATTATAATTTATTCATTATTGTTACAATTGCACTAATCATTGTGATTTTTGCTACAATTTTATTTTTAATGTATAATAATAAACAAAGATAATATTATTTCTTATTAAATTTACCTGCCCGTGATTTTTTGTCTTATGTGATACCCGAACACAACGATTCCTTGAAAGTTGATTTCGATTATAACTGCTAGGCGAATCAATACTCTTACTTGACTCCAATTTTTTCTACAATTTTTCCACTTTTTGGTTTTCATAAGCAAGAAAAAAAAAGAATAGGAAGAACTGAAAAGCTCATATACCTGAATTGAAGTTGGTGTTTCCGGTGGTTTTCTGAAATCTACAAATGATAGAATCGATGATTGTGAATCATTTTCCTGCTTACTAGAATTTCTCACTTCATTATTAGCACATTTCCGGGACGAATCTGTTTGTTTCTCATAAATCGTTTCATAGTTAACCAGATCATCATCATTATCATTGGTATTGTGTAGCAATAACTGATTAGAATGATTCGGTTGATTTCTTGAACAAATCAATTTTTGTTCACTTGCAATAGATATAGATTGATCATCCGATTTCATTATTCGCTTATCATTATTAACTTCTAACGTCGATGATGATTCAACAAGTAAAGTATTAGAATTCGAATCGCTTGTGGTTATCGTTTTGTTCATAATCTGAAATGCGGAAAATGGAATATTTTTTAGTCATTACATTGATATTATACACAAATATAGCAACTAAATGATGCATTTTAATAAATTATTTCGAAGACAATAGCAGAAGGAATTTAAAAACAATAAGTAGAATTCAAATGATTATAATCATAGAAAATAGTAAATTAGATCAGAAATAATTATATTTCACATAATTATCAATATCTTTATAATCGTTTCAAGCTTTGTAGAGCAGAAAAGAAAAGAATAAAAGGTAGAATTATTTTTGATAATATATTTAACTATTTTAGATATGTTACACGTTAGCAAATAGTAAACAATAAATAAATAATGGATATTGCCAACATGTTACGTTATCTTTCGTTAAAAAAAACTACACAATATTCCTTACCGTTGCTATTTGATTATTTGATTTCCGATTAACTTTAACCATTTCATTCTGTCGTTGTTGTTTTTTGTGCTGCTGAAGATTTGATCGATATGATAATCGTTGTGTTCTACCATGTAATCTATATCTACAACCGTATGCTTTGCTGAAAATTTTTGGTGTAATTGATCGATTTGTTAGTGAGAAATTCATTGGTGCATTACATGCAGGTATTACAGGTGTCATTGATTTATCAAATGTCTTCGATGATAATTCATTCATTTCTGATTTCATTTGATCCGTATCATTGTTATCAGAATTATTGCATGATTTCACACGAATAAATGCTGATATTGGTGCTGGATTACATCTAAAATTATCACATCACAGTATTATTTTATTAATGCTTATTAAAATTACATTTAAAAAAGAAAAAATTAGAAAAGTTTTTTTTTTTTTTTTTTTTATGGAAAAACTTAAAATATTTTTAACGATATGAATCTTTTTTTAATTTTTCTTTTAAATTTAATTATTATAATTTATAGCATATTTTGCCTAATAATTTTTTATTATTTAATGTAACTAACTTAATTGGAGTAATTTTTCCTTCATCAAATTGATAACACACTGTGGTACGATGCTTTTCAGTATTAGTCAGTGATACTGGTGTTGAAGCTGTCATAATATGTCCTGAAGATGACGATGTCATCCGGGCGATACATCGTTTTGATTTTGCTGGTGGCAACGAACTGCAGTTTATTCTATATTAACAATTCAATATTTTAACTATATAACAATCATTATTTTTTAATCATTTAACTTTAAGAAAAAAAAAATACTTTTTCAATTTAAAAGCAAAGTCTGCAAAAAAAAAAAAAAAAAAAAAAAACTGATTCCTTTAAAGTTTTGAACTAAAATTGTTAGTAGTCTAATAATGTTGCAGTAATGGCGAAAAACTATAAATTATTTTTCCAGCTATAATTTGAATATGTATAATTGATTAGTGAAATTTTCTCTATCTAATTATTATTTATTTTTTATCAAAGAGAATAAAATTAAAAAATACTGCAAATCTTTTATTTTAAAACTCAAAAAAAAAAAAAGTAAAAAGTAGATTAAACAACCTTTTTTTTTTTTTTTAACTCACAGTTTATTACATTAACTAACACTTCATGGTTAAAAATAACAAGAAAAAAGAATGAAATTAATGGATTGATAACAGTATACAGAAGCTGAAATTAAATTTACTATCTCAGAAATGGAAACAGAGTAAAATTTAGAAAATTTAAGCATTAAATGATATAAATATTAGCATGAAATACCTTGTACCACTCAGATGAATTCGCTCACTTTCATCCTTGCAATTATTTGATATCACTGATAATTGTTGTTGCTCGGTGATATCCAGAAATGATTTAGCGTATAAAATAAAATTGCATTCCGGTTCACTGCTTATCGTTAATTCCGTCAGCCATTCTTGAATATTTCGTGATCTTTCGCTGCACAAAGCATTAAGTGCCCTTACAGGCACTGAGGTCATTGTTTACTTCTAAATAAATGAATTTTAAAAAATTAACCAATGCAAAATTTTTAATGCATGTATTCGGAAAGTTCTTTTTAACTGTTTCAAACTGAATAAATTTATTTGTTGAACGAAATGTAGCAAAGATTGAAATAATACTAGAGAATAGTTGAGAAAGTAATATAGTTAATTTTAGCAAAAAGTCTCCGATAAGCTTTATTAAATCATTCATATCCTGAATAATGAATCAGATTAAACATTTTTCATTAAGCTGCTTAGCATTTTTGGCCTTGTTTTGAAAGATCATTTTCCGTGGTCATTTCCGGTCACTAAATTAATGGACATTGGCTATGCTTATGTCCATTAGTTGAAGGACAATTTTGTTGACATTGTATTGTCGTATAGTATGATGAATTCTATTTCATTTCTCATAGTCAAAAGAGAGAGATGTGAACAAAAATATAAATTGTAATTTTTACAAAAAAAAGAAAAAAATAGAAATTATTCTGCAATTTAAAAGAGATTTTTAAAAAAAAAAAAAAAAAAAAAGAAGTAGTATATTTGTTCCTTTTTTTTTTGGTCGAAATATTTATGCCAAAGTAAATACTTCGAGCAATAAATATTTTGAAAAGAAAATTTGTTTAAACTGCAACAAATGAAGTATGGAAGTAAAAATGGCTAATAAAATTCAGCAAAAATGATTAACAAGTGATAAGTGAATCAAAATGATGAATTGTATTGGACTTTGAAAAATTGTAAAACTGAATTTAGAAATCGAGAGCAGAAATATTTTTATATATTTCCTACTTATTAATTAATGTTGTTTTGTTATAAATTTGATAAATGTTGAAAGAGATGAATAATAATAGTATAATTTCTTAGTTTCACATTTCTCTATGATTATAATTTTAATTACATTTTTCAAAAAATAGATTGGAATAGAAGGTTGAATTAAAGCAAATAGAATTGGTGAGATAATAAAATTTCGTAGCTTTCAAATAACTTTAAATCATTTAAAAAAATAAAAAAATAAAAATCTAGGCTTTAACTGAATAAAACACATCCTAATATCATTTCTATTTAGGAGATTTCACTATGACTTACATTAATCAATGTATCACTCTGATAAGCGATATCATGACATCTAAGAATTTAATGCTTTGAAAAACGAACTAAATATGTAATTAATGAATTTTAAATAAATGAATTGATTGAATTCGATGAATCATATTAGTAATAGAGAGAGAGAGAAAAAAAAAAAGGTAGGCTAATATTGTAAAAGTTCCTAGTATCATAATTAATGAAAAATGATACAAATTATTCTTTAATGATTAAAAATTATAAAAGATAATACAAAGATACAAAGTAGAGAGAAAAAGAGAGAGAGAGGATAAATGAATGAAAAAGATAAAAATAGTAATAATAATAATAATGATATTGTGAAAAGAGATGAAAATAGCAGAGAAAATCTCATTTGATAGAGAATAAAATGAAAGGAAATAATAAATTTTGATTAAATGAAATTCTTTCTCATCATTAGCACATATTTATATTAATTTACTAACATATTTATGATGAAAAGAAGCTTATAAAACTGATTTTTTGCTTTTTTACGTTTTTATTTATTGCAATTTACGAATTATTTTTACGTATAATTTTTTTTTTCATATCATTTTGTATGTTACACACAATTCTTTCTCTTTTTTTCTTATTCTTAAAAAAAAAAAAAATGGAAAAAATTGAAAAAAATTGAGAATAATAGTGTAAAAGTGAGAAATCATATTTTGTCTAAGTAATAAAAAACTACAATAGCAGTAGTAATCGGTCATTGTTAATTTAAACCGTATGATTTCATTATTATCGCTAACAATGACAATAAACTTTTCCTGAAACGGATTCTTCTTCGATTTCCGGAAAATACAACACAATATGATTGATTAAGTTTAGTTTAAATCAAACAATATTGCCCGAAATTTGGATGAAATTCTTTAGCTCTGTGTATGTATGTGTGTGTATATATTGGAATGACCAGCAGTGGTTGACAAGTTGAATTTCGAAAATTGTAAAGGACACTAACAGTGACAACAAAGGATGCTATAGTGAAGAGACAACAACTGGATAAAACGTTGATGAAATATTGAAGGACATTGCTATTCATTATCAGCTGTGATTGTATTTGTTTATGCATCATTTGTTAGATTTGATAAGTGAGAATAGTTTATTTTTGATATAACAATAAAATGAATGAGGAAGTTCTCATTAATGGATGAGCAATATTAAAGGATATTCCGGATTATAAATAAGTTTGTTGGCTTTTAAATTCAACAAAATGATGGTCGACTGATTATTAAGTAGTTGATAATTTCCAATAAGAAAGTGATAACCTTTTGAAATAATGATTACTATTCGGCAAGTATTTAAGAAAAATTAAATAAGTTTAGGTGTGCTTTGTTAACAATTTAAATTTGATAATGATAATGGTAGTAATAAAGTGGATTAACAATAATAATTTCAGATAACAGTGACAATGTAGATTTATCAAATGAATTATTAAATAATTAAATGGATCTAATCGTGAAGTTTATCACTGTTGTATTTATATACAACATATAAATAACAGGTTCTTGGGTCAAGATAAACGTGCCCGAGTGAAAGATGCTGATAGTGTGCTGATCGTGATAGAAACTAGTTTTAATTAGTGCACTATTAAGGTGTGTCACAAATATTTTGCAGCATTCTGTTTATGATATCATTGTTATCATTGCAATCATATTTTATCATTTACCTTACTGTTACTAAACAGTAATTAAATAAATTATAAATCATTGACCAATTCAAAAATGAGCTATCATTATTACACCAAATTTGTGCATAATAATTAATTAATTAATTATTATGTGAACTTTACATATGATCAAGTGATACATAATGACATTTAGGTGAAGTCATAATATTTTCAAAAATTGTCAATAAATCTTGTTTTCTTTATTTCCTTTATCTTTTACGTATTTTCATAATTTCTTCTCATTTTTTTGACTCCAATTGCTATTCTAAACTGAGATTGATAGTAGGAAAAAATTGATATCAAAATTATTTAAAATAATCAGTCCATTTATTGAAATATTTGTCGCTTAATTTCTCTGGAATATTTTTTTTTTCATTCTTTTACAATCTCTATTACATTATGCAATCTTACTGATAGACTAGTAGAAATATGAAAATTTAATTGAAAATTTTCAAGTTATTCACCGAAAATTTAAGCTATTAATTGATATCTTTGCCTAAGTTTTTAAAACTAATCTAAAACCTCTGTTTTGCAGAATAATAGAGAAATTTGTGGTCAAACTTATAACATTCTATGAAATTGTTGCTTCTAAAATTTTTACCTGAAAAAAACAACGGTGATTTTTCCAGACAAGCAAAAGAATACAGTAATTAATAAAGAATTTTCCATTCAAAATACATTGTTTTTAAGTTCAAGGTTGACTGAAATTAAGTACCAAAATTACATTGTCATACCATTTAAATCTCTTATTGCTTCACATTATTCATAAAATTTATATCTTTATATTTTGATTTGTACGAAAAGTTCAATGATCTTATCAAAATGAACTGAAATGACATGGAGAAAATTGAACCTACGATTGGAAATAAAGATGAAAAGTGATAATAAATATTATGAAATGTTATTAATTATATTACCTTAATTATTTACCAAATTAGAAATTTTACATTGAAAGTATCAATCGATGTTTGACATTGATCTTTTTCTATCCGATCAATGTCAACAAATTCATTTCAATATGCCCAGTTAATGTCACATCAATCCTTTATTAGTGTTAATATTATTATTATTCCATAAATGCAATCACCGCCATCTATCAATTAACTAATCTTTTTCTAATCTATGCATATGAATGGATGGAATTAGAATTTGATTTGCCATACTTTCTTTGAAACTATCAAAAAAAAAACTTTGTTCATTGAATTTCGAATTTTTCTTGTCTTCCTAAGTAATCTAATGAAAACAAATCGAACAGTGTTTTTTCTCCTCTTTCTAAAAATTATATGTTAGCAATTTCGTAACTCACAAGAAATGCATTTCGAAAATGAAAAAAAAAAAAAAAAAACTTTATTTCTTAACAGTATGGTTGAATTTTTTGAATTCACGAATAAGAAAAGAAGAAAAACGAGTAACTCATAGTAAATATCGTTATAGTAATAAAGTCATAGTAAGTAAATTATAGTAATAAATCATAGCATATGTAGCAATGAAAACAATAATAATAAATAAATAAATAATAATGATAATAATAGTGAATACTACATACTATATATGTACATATATATATATAGTGATAAATAAGTAATAATAATGATGATAATAATGATAATAATAATAATGAATACTAAATAATAGATAGTAGTAAATAAGTAGATAATGTAAATCCACACATAAATAAGTAGATATATATGTATATAGTAATAAATAAGTGAATAATAATGATGATAATAATGATAATGATAATGAATACTAAATAAGAGATAGTAATAAATAAATAAATAATAATGATGATAATAATGATAATGACAATGAATACTAAATAAGAGACAGTAATAAATAAATAAATAATAATAATGATAACATAATAAATTCTAATGATAGTAATAAATAATAATAGTAACAATGAGTAGGCAGTAACACAGAAATGAAAGAAACTGCATTGGATGACAGTTGCTCATCAGTCATAGATTGTGTATTTTAATCATCTCAGCTATCAATTATCAGCGTTAGTGTTTGTTGTTACTGTTGTTATGGAGAGGAATATGTGAAGGAGATGGTAGTGTTGTTGACCAGAAGAATGATTTGTAATACTGCAAAGGATAAAATATAACTAAAGGAAATGTCAGGTGATTGTGAGGATGAAAATAGAGTGATAAGATTTTTATGAAATATGATCGAAGTGATTGCTGGAGTTATCTATTTAAGATATTTCTATTAAATATGCAAAGAAAGTAATTTTGTTTACTGTCTTCTGTTCATTCTATTCTTCTCTTTATTTTATATAATTTCTTGAGATTTATTTCGAAAAAAAAAAAAAAATTTTTTTTCACTGAGATTTTATTTTAATATTTCAAATAAAAGTCTGAGAATTAATGAAACAGTATTGTTAGTAAATTTATTAGTATAAACATTATAAATACTTCATTCAGAGAAAAGTTCTAATTCTGATTAGATTATTGTGAATCAGTGTTGTATCTCAAAAAAGTTTCGTTATTAAATAAAGAGATGCTTTGGAATATTAATATTAATGTTATTACTATTGTTATTATTTTTATTTTTATTTATTAACATTGATATAATTGTTATTATTATTTGTGATTATTATTATTTACTAATATTAATATTAATGCATGTTATTTATTATTATTAATTAAGTAATTAATTGAAATTATTATTTTGTGCATTTGCTATTTTTTTTTATAATAATTTGTTATTCATCATTAATTGTTATTTACTATTTTTTGCAATTATTCATCACTTATTATTTTTAATTATTATTTATATTCATCGGAAATGGGATACAGTTACTTAGAACTTCAAACTTATTATTATGTTTCTTTTTTTTCTAGGAGATTGCAGAAAAACACAAAAATAAATAGAAAGAAAGAGAGAAAGGGAAGGAGAGAGGAAGAAAGAGAAAAGGAAAAATTACTATTTGCTATGCTATCTTTCGAATGTGAATAAATAAATAAATATATTGAGGTAAATTAAGATTTTAATCAGAAAGTAATACTTAAAAGACAACATTATAATTTATGTCTCTCAGTGTCATCTATCTTTTCTCTCTAAATCACTACAATGACAGGTAATTTCTCCTCCTTTTGTTACTAATTTTATCAATAATTTCTCAAACTGAAGAATTTATTGTTAAGGATTTAGTCATTTGGTCATTGAATCTATTAAAATATCATAATTTCATTAACTGCAATTACAGAAGTATGCAAGTGAAATTCGAGTAATTAAAATTGCGACAGGTGTTGCCAGGTGTTGTCAGAGGTGTATGTATAAGCATATTTTAATGAACAATCCGTGACATTATGTTATCGTGACATCTCGTCCATATTGTCTTGTCACTTATCAATATATTTGATGATATTTAGCTGAGACGTTAAATTTTTCAAATGGTTCACTTTTCCAAATTTTCGTTTTTTAAAATGTAAACTGAGTGGTTGGTCGTCGATTGATTCGTTAATTTCCTATTTGTGTAAGGTGGCAGAAAGGTGATTTCATCTTTTTCTTTTATTCTTTTTCAAAACTTTTATTTAAACAGGAAACAGTTTACTTTTAGATCAATTTCATCGAATAAATTTAAATTTAAGCAATTCTTTAGAAAATGTTCTTCATAATGCTTTTAAAATCTGAGGTTCGAACAGATGTTGTGATAAATCTTGAAAGATGTTATTATAAGGTGCTAATATAGTGAGTGATTAAATCTAAAAGTAAAAAAATATGTGCAGGAAATATTGATCAGTAAGGATAGTAGTTCTTTTTTTTATTTTCAATTAATAGAACTCTATGATTTATAATCTTAAACTTCGAGTAGTTTGAGAAGAATCTATGTCGATTTCTAGCGCAATTTTAGAATGTATAATATTTGGTTAATATTACGTTAAGTAATATAACTTATTGAAAGCTAATAAGTTTTTAAGTCAACTTTTTTATATTTTCAAATAATTTGTTTCTTACAAGTTTGGAATTTTTGATCCAAAATTTATTTATTATTTATTTTATGTTTATTTGGTAGTTTTGTATTCATTACAGGAATTGCATTGATTGGGGAGGGTCAAGTAAATGGATGAAATGCCTATTAGAAATAACGATGATTCCGTACTGAAATATTACCCAAAATTGGAACTCATTGATGGGAAGTTGATCAAGCAATTAGTCGAAGATACTGTTGATTGGGCACATGTTAGTATGGACATATATTTATTAATTAATTTTCTACTTTTAGTGTTTTTGTTCATTGCCACATTTTGCATATAATTTACGTGTAACATAATGTCATATGTAAAAATATAAACTACAAGTCAGAAATAACATGAAGTGAAAGATTTTAATCTTGTCTATGTTCGTAAATTTTTGCTTGTGATTCAATTTTTTTGTTGCAGGCTCATGGTATGGTAATGAGGACAGCGATGACTACTGATCGTAGTGATATATGTCAAACAGCTCCCTGTACCCTCTTTCCCTCACCTTTTCCTTATAACTTATTTCAGGAAGCTATGGATATTCAACGGGTACATTATTACTTCTTTTACAAACTGGAAATATATCGTCAAAAACTTCTGCCAATTTATACCATTAAATTTCAATTCTCCTGACGATTCAGGATAAACGGAAAAACATAAAATCACTAAGTCTTCTGTTTCATATTTAATTATGGTGCATATATAATTCAAGAGCAGTGATTTTCGTTTTATAATGGTAGTTAGTACATTGTTCTTGCACTTGCAAGATGAAAAACCGGACCAGTTAATTGTTTACTTATTCTAAAATGATTTTGATTTCAACTTGTGAAGTCGATGGTATCATATATTATACTTTGTTTCTGTTCTTTTTATTTACTTAGGATTAATTATTTTTTAGACAACTAACTTTGCAGACATTCAGTTTGTTGTATTTCCGCATATCATGGGATTTCGACTTCTTGATCAAATCACATGCTGAGGTAGTGAAAACTGATGATTTTACAAGGTGAACTTATTGCTCTTTAAAATACAAAGGAAGTTTGAAATGTATCTTTTATGGCTTTATTAATGCATTTGTCCCCAGAATTTTTCGTCGAAGTCGTAGCTCTACTCAAGGTATTTAAGCATGGATATACTTATTATCTGGTTTTTCCTTTAATTTATCCAAATTTTTAGGCATTTTGTGGAAATCTTAAATGCCGTGCTCACCTCAAACTTTTGTCAAAAGAAGACGTTGTTGATCCAAAGAAATGATTATATGTGTCACGAAGATAGTTATGGAAATCGTTCCCTAAAACAGGTTTATTAATATTCACTTAATAATAAATCATAAATTATTGAACGAATTTGAAAAAAAATTGTTACAAGTGTTGATTTCATTTTTTCATCGAAATGATAGCAATAGTTAAAACAAATTTGATATTCCATTCGGAGTTTTCTTGTTATGTTATAAGTTATAGATCTTACTTTGCTCGAACGTTTGAATATCGATTTTCTAACTTTCTAACAGAAGAAAATCAAAAAAGGAAGCTAGTAATATTAATCTTCAGATTGAAGTCAACAATATAGCCGCAAGCATGGGCGCACTTGCGGAACGTGCTACTTGCGTGCATAAGAGAACACTGGAAACAGTGCAGCTTCCCAGTAAAATTATTGAAAAGGCTATCCTCGATAATCATCCGACAGTCACAATTGCAAGAGGAATCTACGAAGCGTGGTAAATTTTCATAAATTTATTGGATAATCTTTGGTTACGATTTTTTCATAAAGTTAAAAGTTCTGATCATCAGTATGCTGTCGGGTATATATTTTTTGCTCATTTTGTTCTGTAGATGATCACACTATTCTGAGATTGATACAGTTGAAGCACGCCCAGTTATTGATATAGCTAGTGAAAATTGTGCAAAGTTGGTAATCCCATACCTTTATGATTACGAGATAAGTAGAATTTATTGTTCTATTCATATTTCAATTCAGGTATGATTTTGGAGTGCCAGAGGCAATCGTATTATTCGTGGTTGAAGATGCTAATCGAAATCAAATTGATCAGAGGCATGTGGAATATTGCATTGATGAACTCAGCAATAGAAATGCAAGATGCTTGCGTATCACATTGACTGACGGTGCGAAAAGGTAAACTGCAATTTTTATAGGTTTTATAGTGACGATTCCTTACTTTTTCAAACCCTCTAGTATTTCAAAATTAATAAATAAAAAATCAGCAAAATATCACTATTTCATTGATGTATCTTCCCTTGTTTGATGATTATTTCTTATGCTTTAAACTTTAAAATATTAGTCTAAATTTCTTAAACCTGATATGGCTTTTTATTGCAGCTTTTCATTACTTGTACTTATCGGAGATGCACTGAGGACAACGAATTTGTTTGTTCGCTTATCTGTACTCTGCTTTTTCCAGTGAAAGTTGCTTCAAATTTTTATGGTTTAAGATTGAAACTTAACGAAAGCAATCATCATCTTGTATTGGATAACATTTTACGTGTAGCAGTCGTATATTTTCGGGCAGGTTATTCACCAAGTAATTATCCGACTGAAATGGAATGGACCGCTCGTCGTATTATCGAACTGTCCGATGCAGTGAAGTGTCCTTGGATTGGTCTGCAATTAGCAAATACCAAAAAAGTACAACAGGTGAAGTCCCATAACTATTCTCATTAACTTGCTGCACCACTTTCTGGGATATTACTGTTTTCCCTTTGTAGGTTTTATCTGAAAATGGTGTTCTGGAAAAGTATATTACTGATGATAAAATGTGTGCACGAATTCGACAAACATTTGCTGGCATGTGGGGGTTGGAAAATGATGATGAAAAAACACAAAGGATAATTCAGGTAAGCTTTTTAAATAAGTTTTATATTCCAAGCATAATGTGTTGTGATTATGTTACTACATTTCCTGATAGCATAATCTGGAAATTAGTAGAATGCTGAGGTTTTTGTTAGCGAATGCTTTCAAGGCCAATATTATCAGTGTGAAATCTTCCAAGCATTTTGTGTTAGAATTTATGACCGACCAATAGGAAGATTAAACAGAGCAAATAATAGGAAAACTTCGTCTGTTATAGGACGCTATTGCACATCCAGAAAAATTCGTCTTGAAACCGCAGTTGGAAGGCGGAGGTGGTAATTATTATGGAAAAGAAGTTGCGGAAAAATTGAAAACAATGAATAGGGATGAAATGGCCGCATATATAATTATGGAACGTATCACTCCGATGGTTGTAAAGGTAAAATGATGTTTTGCTTTGTTCATATCTAAATTAGATATTTGATAAACTTATAAGCTTTGTAAAATTATAAAGAATCATGGACTCTGTGAGATATAGAATTTTCATTAATAGAAAATCATCCAATATCTATTTACATATCAAACATTATTCCAGAATTACGTGATTCGACCACAAGAAGAACCGCTTCTAATGGATGTAGTAGGAGAATTAGGCGTTTATGCTTACCTTTATGGATCAGCTGCTGTTGATAACATCATAGTCGAGAATATTATGAAAAACCACGTTAGTGGACACATCATCCGAAGCAAGGATAAAAGCGTCGATAAAGGAGGGGTAGCTATTGGTGCCGCAGTCATCGATTCTCCTTATTTGTTTTGAAAGATGATAAGTCTTATGGCAGTACTGCCAATTATTATGTATGCTGAATTTTTCACTTTATCATGTACTGCCAATTACTAATCATAGTATCTTGTAACCGAGGTATAGCAGCAAAGATTTTTTTTTCAACTTAACTTATTTATGTAAAGTTTTTCCATTCATTTATTTCTTTTTATGAATTTTTATAAAATCCTGAAAGACACTGAGAAAATATACAGTCATCCTTTAGTCATAGCAGTATTTAAATGGGAAGAACTATTTAACAGTAAGCTCGATAAATAATCAAAACGATTTAGATTTTTAATAGTTTTGGTGTTTCACTGTTCTAATCAATCACTTCTCTAGTCGTTCGGTTCCATTCTGTCATATCTTTATTAAATTCCAATTGTTTAAATATTGTATTTATATTTAAAAAATCTGCGGGATGATTTCACTGTAACTTCAAGTATTATTCTCTTCATTTGTTCATATTTTATAAAATTCACAAGAACAATAACAGTCAACAACAATTGCCAATTTCACCAACGTCATCAGTCTTCACCATCGGAAAGCATTAAATCTTCTAGAACATCTTCGTCACCTTTAGGGGTTACTACAATTTCTTCAGATTTTCGCCTTGCTCGTTTTATATTGTTTTTTTTGATCTGGAAAAAATTTTGGTCTTTTCATCTGAAAAATGCTTCTGCGATGATATCATTAACTGAAAAATTGCATAAAAGTAAAAGACGAGTACAAAATCCAAGAAATGAATTTTAAATAGCAAGATATTTAATAGTTTGAGTTATAACTTTTAAAAGTTTGTACGTCACTTACGTCTACTTTATTGGCTTTGACCACGACTGTTGACTTTGTTTTCACTGCCGCCGTAGTATTCTGTTCAAGATTTAGACGATCCGACCGTTGTGCGGGTTTTGTTTGCTGTACGGTTTTTTTCTGCAGAAAATTGAATATTAGGAAAGTGTTTCAATTTAATTAACTTTCAGTGGCTATTCTGATTGAAATTTCTTTAGCATATCAGATTTCGCTGTTTCGAAAGAGAACGACAGTTTCTATTTTTCGGCATGCAGCTGAATAAGCGATAAAACTCACATCCACCGAATTTAATGCATTCTCTCTCAGTTTCCACGCTTTTTGCCACGAATCATAAAACTTTGTAAGCGGAGCATCCGGAGCTTGGAAACGTCTCTCCAAGTGTTTCTGTAAGAAATCATTCCGGTTTTGTAAAATAAAACATGGTCCTCTCCTTTTCCTACCATGCCTATTGCTTCCTTCCGCCCTCCAAAGAGCAGGAATGAATTATGGAATGTTGCAATGATTAGCTTGAATATAAACATACCATTAATGCTTCATTAGTTAGGTCCATATCGCTGCTATTTAAAATTCCCCTCGCATAAGCAGATTGTTCTTGTAGTTTTGTTTCTAACGATTTGAAAAGCCGCGAAAAGTCTGTACTGCGACAATTTTTTACGAATGATTTAATCTAAAAAAGAAAACATAAGAAATATTGAAAAATGATTGGATGGGGTACCACGTATGTCGATTATCATTTAGTAAAAATTTAAACTGATGTTAAAAGCAATATATTACTGGTACAAACTTAGGACATCAAAAGGCATTTCTGTTTCTTGTACAATAAGGGCAAAAAGCGGAAGAAGCATCATTAAAGAAACTATAACAAATCAATGTTATGCATCAGCCACTTTATGCATCCAATTCTGTAGCACGTTCAGTGCGACGATTTGCTTCCATTTCATTTAAAATGTAGCTGAACCTCATGAGTTATAGGGATGACAATATCGGCGAAGGCACAGCTTTGCTGCACGATGTGAGCTGCTTCAAGATGTATCCTGAACAATTCTTCTAAAGCTGCACGACGAAATCCAGCATCATCAATATGTGCACTAGAAACCTGAAAGATGCAAATGTTCCAAGTTTTCAACAGGATTTTAATTTGTGATAACAAGAAGTACACTTTTACTATCCTTAAAACATTCTCATTAGCAATTTTATCACATATAAAATATTTCGAATCAACGGACAAGAAAATAAATTTGACGAAGTTGAAGAAATCACTCCCAAGGAAAGGAATTCAAATTAAATTTCTAACTGACCTTAGAAAGCGTCCAAATTAATGGAAATGTTCATAAAACAATGCATTTCTATTTTATCCAAACCAAAATGCAAAGTAAACAAAAGAGAGAATTATACCTTCAGTACACATCTTATATCGATGCTCTTCTGCATTCCTTTTTCTTTTGCGGGTTTCTTCTTCAATATTAGAAGTGCATCAGACAGTAACTGAAACCATTTACCAGTTACTATGGTCATCAACAAACTTCAGAAAAAAAATAAGGGCAATTTTCTGTTCGTTTAAATAATAATTTCAACAAGTGTTTCACTAAGTTTAAATAGCCATATAAAGCTGTTTCGACTCTTGAGAATAAATAACCCTTTGGTTGCTTCTTAGCATATTTTTCTTGTGAATCTTTGCATTGATTAGCAAAGACCACCACTGAATCATGAAGATTGGCAACAATAATTTGAATTACCGAAATAACAAAGAGATTTCAAAGTACGAAATCTGTTAAAGCCATTTGCGGCATTTAGGATAATCAAACTTTTATCAAGGACATTCAGAAAGCTTCAATATAATAATCAAAGTACCAGTAAGGACTGATAACGATTTATAAACACTGTAAAGCGGTGAACTACCTTTATGAGTGTTGACGACGAAAGATAAAATCAAAATGAAACTAAAAAGTTATTTCAAGCTTTTTTATGACCTTCCAGAAGTTTTTGGCATTCCATAAATTCCATCTGATTCTATACAAAAGTAGCTCAACAAAATAAAGATAAAAAAAGAACCTCAACAGCAAGTGACAAAGTTGGAATATACGTGTGACAATTCTGTTGAATGATCAGCAGTATCCGGAGGCAGTGCAATCGCAGGGGGAAATATTTCAATGATGGAAAAAGTCTTAAAAAGAATTATGCGATAAAAAAGATGTAATTATTCTCACTTTTCAAAATCATCCATTTTGAATGCTGTTGACAGAATATGCGAAATGATTCAAATCACTAAATTTAAACAAACGCAAATGTGCCTCAACTGCTATGAGCAAAACAATGATTAAATGATGCTTCTGTTATAAAAAATCCTAAAGATATACTTCATTGTGGAGATCGTGATCTGACATAACGGATAATCAAGTTCCCTGATACCAGCAACATCCTCCTTTTTGCTGGAAATATGACGATGAGCTTTAGCAATCACCTGACTCCACAGATATAAGCACTGCATGAACTGCCAGTTGTAAATAGTTTGGATAAGATCCTGAAATAAGAAGTAACGAAAGTCAAATACAATGAAATAGACCAGAAACTCTTAGCATGCTGATTTTTCTTCTTACTCAATTCATGTGAAAAACAGTTGTAGTGACTTATTTCAATCGTAGCTTTATCGGAAAATAAAATTTGGGTATCATAATTTTATGCCTTTAATATCATTCTACCAGCCTTTGCCGTCATAGCAATCATGCATATAGAAAATCAATAAATAACCTTTCGTTTGGCTATCATCGCATTTCTAAGATGAATTGCGGTTTGCCTTATATACACAAATGCATACTGATAAGCAATTTCTGGACATGTCACACAAAGTTCAGCGAAAGATTTCTGCATAAGTACAATCAAAGGCCATGATTCCTCTTTAACGTCTCGAACATTCATTACATATTCCAAATAACATCGCTAAAGAAAAACTTTGAAATGAAAATATTACAAAATTTGACTTGCAATGAATTCTATTTTAAACAAACAAAAAAAAAAAAATCTGTACATTATTAATGTATAAAACATCAGACAGATGTATAAGCTAGTTCTACAAACTTTCTCTGAAGCATGTTACTAAGTCATTCAGAAACAGTCTATAATAAGCGATCAACCGCAATGATGCCATGCATGCTTTAAAATAAATTAACAATCTCTAACCTTAATTAATGCAGGAAAACTAGTTTTATGTATTCTGATCAGCTTAGCCAAAGCTAAAAAAGCTGCAATACGACATTCATCAGTACGACGACTCCAAATTTTAACCACTGTCTGAAAACAAATCAGTTACCTTAATCAAGATGTTAACCCCAAATATCCAAAAGAAAAATGGAAAGTAAAATAGAAAAGCGAGAGAAAAAAAAAAAAAAAAACGCAAATGAAAAGTAGGAAAAAGTATTCCTGAAATTTGTATATATGACCAATCTTAATGCCATGTAATTATGTAAACTAACAAACTCTAACTGACCCTTGTAAAACTTCGAGTAAGTTTTGGGAAATGAATGTATAATTCGAGCAAATCAGTGACTGCACGTAATGTACATACAGTGACACTTGATGTCTGGATTTCGTTCAAGAACTGGAATTTATAAAATACAAAGCTGTAGCAAGAAAATCTGAAAAGAAATAAAAACTTCTGATCCACTAATACAGATCCATAATCTATGCTAGAACAGTCACAATTCTTCCATCGTCGTTTCATGGAGAGTACAATAGTCTTATAAATGTTAATCTCTAACTCCAGCGAAAAATGGAACGGTATATCAGAGAAACTAACACTAAAAAATGTGGGGTCCTCATCATCAAATCAATTAGCGATAAGGACTCACATGTCAACGTTGCACCGATATCTTGAAATACTGATAATCACAACTGTACAAAAGCAATAATAAGCTCATAGCATTAGCAACATTACAAAATGTTAAATTTGTGACGTCACTTTGTAGTGATAACTGACATTCCTACTACCAAATACAGAAATGATTTACCTGTAAAAGGGCATGAAGATAGCATTTTATTAAATTACCATACTTTTTCCAACACCGATATTGCTTCTTTTTATATTTCCCAACTTTTTTCAACTTTGAATCTGACTTCTTATCATCCGATTCAGTCTTCGTATGACCTATTAATGTAAGCAAAAATTTGCCCACATATGTGAAACACAGACGTACAATGCTTTCAAATACATCACTATCATTAATCACATAACTTGGTGGTTCAATATCGGCACCAACCCGTGCCACACATGCTGTAAATGCTGCAACCATTCGATGAATTACTGATAGTTCCAGCTGATCCTTTAAAATGCAAAACTATTCACAGAAAATTATTAATATTTTTCAAAAGTATCTTCTGGTAAGTGAATGAAATCCAGCAGCACGCCGAGCTTTGTCCGGAGAATAGTTACGGAAATGCATAACATTAAATCTCATTCTCTACTTCTCCTATCATATTTACAATTCCTTTCGAAATAGTTAGAAATCCAATAGTGAGAACAAAGTGGGCATCTAAAAAGGAACCTTTTGCAAAAGTGAATTTTGTAAATTTGTTACAAAATCCAGATCAATTATTTTCCGTCCCGAAAAATCCCTCCTTAAGTTTTCGTCTCCTTTCAAGCTTTCATCCTTGCCATCAACTTCCTCATACTGCGGATCTACAAAAATGATAAATTTTGTAGAGGATATCATTTTCTTTTTTAAAAGCAATTTTATGTAACGGAAAATTAGGTTCGAATTATCAGCAATTCGAAAGCAGGCAAATTTCGACAAACATACGAAAAATTGTAATTTAATGACAACATCAAATATCTAGAAATGCATGTCAGAATAACTAATAATTTCAGAGAATAATACTCATTAGTACAGATAAATGTTTAAAACATTCTGTAAAACATTTTACCTTCTTCCACATCAGAATCTGATTCATCAAAATGTAATAAATCAGATTCCTGTTCTTTAAGAAATTTGAAAAACTCAGGATCTTTTTCAGCAAGTTCCCCTAGCTGTTTTTTGTGATTCGATAGCGTTAAATTTTCTGTATCTGCAAGTAATTCAAAATTAAGTTAAAGAAGAGTGATGCATATAGAAACTTATATTTTACAAAGTAGAATGTAGTTGTAAGCGATAGCATTAGGACAAATAATGATAAAAATGATAAATAAAGTCTTTCAAAAGATGGCTTTCTATAGCTTTCATATGATTTCTTATGACTCTCAAAAAGCTGAAAGTAATGATTAAAATACTTGAAATATTGTTACAAATTTACCATCAAACGCTGAATCCACATCCGTTTCAGTGTTTTCTAGCTTTTTTCTCCGTTTCGAGCACGTTTGAAATGTAGCGTTTCTTTGCCTTTTTTGCGCTTTCACATTGCTTACGTTAGTCATTACGTTTAATGACTACAACGTTCTTCTGATACTAGATGAAATGATAGTAAAACAATAGCAGAAAACCGTACAAAAGATAATCACCGGCTTATACGTGAAGAAAAAAGTCACGTAGTGAAAATTTTCCTGCTGCCCGCGTCGCTTTTTCTCAGTTAATCTCTAAACCGGAATGTGATGTTCCGTATTGCTATATCGTTTTTCATCTAAGTAAAAAAGGGATGGTGGAAGGAAATCAGGAATTGAATTACATCAGTTCGGTACTACTTTCAGGAATGAAGTCGTCACCAGAACTATTGGCAAAGTTATTGTCAAACATAACAAAGTCTTCTTCGTCTTGCTTCACATTTCCTAGCCGTATTGATGAATCATTTTCAGGAATAGTTCGAACCATACTTAAGTGATAGAATAAATTAAGATATTCGGAATATATATGCTAGAAAATGATATAAGACTATTGCTTTTTACTACCGATACTACTAGAAATGAAAATTCAGTTGATGCAGGAATGCACTTTACTTAGAATCCACTTGAACCTTGACCCGACGTCTCTAATACAAGATAACTTCGACACTTAAGTAAATTTATAGGAAAAAAAAAAAAAAAAGAAAAAAAAAACGGAACAGAATACGGAATAAAAATAAAGTTATTACTTTGCTATTATGTAAATTAAGTTTGATATGTATACATACATATATATTTGAAATAACCGAATAGACGTGCGGATTTCATTTTATTGTCATTTGATAAACATTTATGGCTGTTTCTATTAAGTTAGTCTTATCATTAGATGTTCATCATTCCACACCAATTTTCAGTATTGAATAATTTCAGTTATCACGTTATAATCACGTGAGGATTACTAAACATTAAACATATGACACACTTTTACCGTATAACAGATTACCCGTTAATAGACTGTTAAACAAACACATACAAAGTAATAATGATTCATACATGCAAGAAGAAAAAGAGGGACATTTTGATATTCAGCAAAAGTATTCCGGATTTCAGAACTACTTCCTTGGATAATAATTATCATTCCGGTCGTAATGTAACGCATACGTCTGCAATAGGAAAAAGTATGTACACAGAAATGGAAAGAAGAAAACACAAGTAACCTGTATAGTATTATTAAAATTAATGATAGTAACAATTGTCAGTGATAAGAAAAAATATCAAAATAGAAGGCTAAATTTTGGGGCTAAGATTAATTTTATTCAAATTTTACACGGTTAATATTGGAAAGTAGTTCTAATCGCATTTCTGTATTCTTCTAATAGTTTTTATATAATGGATGATATAGTGATCCTTAGATATAATATCACTGATAACTTTTGCAAATCATCAATAAATATCATAAATATGTGAAATTGTAAGATTTCTCTGAAACAATTTTCTTTGTTTTTTGTTTTTTTTTCTATGTTTTTTTTTCTAAAACAGTTTTGTGAAATTTGCACGTGAAAAAGGACAGCCGGATCACGCACGCGTTAAACTTTCACTTTCTAATAACAGCAGACGATTGGTAGAATGGATCATCAAAGATATTAATGAAAATATACAGGTAAAGAAATATTGAGTAAAAAAACAAAGGATAACTCCATCTCTTCCTTTAAACTTTTGAGGATATATGTGAATTTATAAGGATAATATTGTTTCCTTAGTTTATTTGCGTTATTTAATTAAGTATACACGTAATGGCATGACGTTTACGTTCAGAATAATATCATCATTTGATGAAAAGTAATGTCGTTGAGGTAATATCGTTATCATAGTGTCACATTTCTTATGCTTCCTTATGCATAACATTAAAATACTTTCAGAGAAGAGATATTTGAGAAGTAAATATTAAAGTTAATTATTACAATGTTTTATTCTATTAAATTAGGTGAAATGATAATATGCAACAGCATATTTCTTTTCTAAACATTCACATTTGATAACAGTGTGTGCATACATCATTACGTATGCGAACTTTTAGCATTCTAATGTCATGTTATACGTTCCAGATAGATTCCTAGGCGATAAAATTGTAACGGATAGATATTCTAATATCATATATATATCATCTAATATCACATTACTAGGCAATTCCGAAAGCATCCGGACTGGTCAAAGCATTTGATACCGGAGAATGCATTTTAATTTGGCGACGTCCCAAAGATTACAATTCTTGGCGTGAATTATCTCCACTGAAAATGATACTACAAATTAAATTAATGGTTAGCGAAACTGGAAAAGTTGTCGGAGAAGCAAATAGCAAATTTCGAGGTATCATATAGTAGCCAGTCACCTTTACTTTTTGACAGATTAAATTATAACTATATCTTAGACCATAATAAATTGAATTGAAGTGGTGATAAGATGTGATTGTCTATCAGCATTCGTAATAGTTCATGATCAGTTTCAAATCGTACTGTAATAATTAAAAATTAATGTAGCATCTGTTGATCCACATGCGGTATGTACAGCTGAAGAACCACCAATTCATAATATAATATTGAACTCGGAACCGTCTACCATGATATTACGAAAAGAGAAACCAAAGTAAACAATTTTCTTTCGCATTATTTATGTCAATAATTTTTTTGTATTTTACTTTTATATCGGTTGTTTGTAACTACACAGAAGGTAACGTTCGTCATACGTGCACGTGAAAAAGTTTGTATGAATGAATTTGAAATAAACTTAAATCCCAGTTTCAATTAACAATACAATATTTTTGCAGGAAAAAAACTGATGTTAATTCTGAAATACAACCAAAAATAATGAATAAAAATTTTCTGGACGATTCACAAAATACCTACTGGATTCTCATACTACTATTTTGTTTACTGATTGCTATTTGCTTGAAAGTGCTTTCCGATTGAATTCAAATGATTCTACCATAAATACTATTGCATAGACGTCAAATGTTAAATTGTCTAATTTTTATCTGAAATTAACTGATTATCATATTGTAATGTAGAGGAGTATAGTCTTTTGGCTCAATACAATGAAAATTTTTATATAAATAAGGTTTTTATATGCCTATAAGATACGAAAAGTTTTTTCAAAAATTGAAGTAAAAACGTGAACCATTTGGTGAACAGTGCCACTGATAACTACGTACGTGAACTATGACTGATAGCACGCAATAATTACATATATGAATTATTCTGATAAATTTATCCTTGCCCACGAATGATTTCTGAGAAACTCCGCAAATGCTCTACATAATATTAACAACTTGTTGAATTTCTTTGACAAAGTTCTTCTTCTAAATTTCAAATTAAATATAAAAAGTAAAAATTCTTTTCATCGTTGAGAAATTCATATCAGCAATTTATCATTCTGAATAGTTTATTTATGTTGAGAAATTTGTTGATCAAAGAATTGTTGCTACATGTGTCAATAAGAAGAATTAACAAATTTTCTTGATTACTGGTACTTTGAAATTTGTATTAATTCGAGTGAATAATGAAATGAAATAACCAATTTAAAGAAAAAACAAATGAAAAAAGGCTTAGCCTAGTATTTAGCGAAAAATTGGAAAGAATTATCAAGAAATAATACTGCAAATATGAAAAAAGAAAATAAAATAAACAAATATGGAAAATAAAATAAAAATTTGCCACAAATATGAAAAATTGAATAAATTTTTCCCAACAAATAATTTCTACATTAACGTAAAATGAAATATATGTGTGTATTTGTGTGTGTGTGTGTGTATGTGTGTGTAGGTAAATGTTTCTAGAAAAATAAACAATGAAGTTTTTAAAATTTTTTTCAAGAACTGAAGCCAAAAATTCAGGAAGTTTTACATGTTGTTGTGAAATTTGAATACATATTCTCTTAATTATTATATTACATTTCTTCTTTGCATTTTTACTTTTACTATGTACAAAGTCAGAATTGATTAGCGATAAATAAATCTACGTACACGTACGTGAAGAGCGATAATTGAAAATACGTTACATATGATAGTTATTACTGTAATATATATTTATAAAATGAATAATCGCTCTATTTTTACTTATTATTATTATACTGGAAAGATTAGAGAAAGGCTGTTTGCCATTTCAGGTCTTAAGTAACCAACTGTTTTCAAGTGTTCGGTAATAATGGCGACGGTGGCTGTTAAGTAAGTATTGTAATAACATTAATTGAAGTAAATTTTAAATTTTAACAACTAAGTGGACCATTTGAAAATTCAAAACGATTCATAATAAGTATTTATTCATTAACAAAGATTCGAAATTCGATTAAAATGAGAATAGATTGTAGTTCAGTTTAAAAATAGATTAAAGTTAAAAGTTGTTTGGAAAATTATCTCACGGTATATAATTAATGATAATTTAACAAATTATAATTTGATTATGAATTGAAAAGGACTGATTGATAATAATATTAATGATTATCTGATCTTAATGTTAATTAATCCATCGATTTCAGAAATGCTAACAAAGTAAAACCACTTTCAAAATCTAAAACCAAGCAAGGCAAAAAACCACTTAGCAGGAGGTTACTACTTTTTCATTTATTGTCGAAACGTTAAAAAAAAGTAGCAAAAAAAAGTTGCTTAAAAATTGCAGTATTTGCTAAGAAAAAAAAGATACGACAAATTATCTTTCAAATATTGATTTTTTACAAAACAAAAAAAGGAAATGGTCGATGTTATTTCAATAAGTCTAATTAATAAATCTCTAATCAATAATAATAACATAATTCGTTGAGAAAGAAAAGAATTTAATTTTTCACTAATACATTTTTTTTTTTTCTTTCTTTATAGCATCCTGAAATTTGCTGTAGAAAAAGGACAACCGGAAATAGCACGCGTGAAACTTTTATTATGCAATAATAGTAATCGTCAAATGCAATGGATATTAAAATGCACTGATTCTGCTATTACAGTAATTATTAGTAAATAATAACAAAACTATTTGTTAAGTAATAGAATTTCTTTATTCAATTTTTAATTAATTTTTATTCATTCTGCAAATGCTGAAATTGATGAAATTCTGATCATTTTTCTGGCACTAATTATTTTTTCCTATAATAATATTTTACTTTGAAATTAATTTACCTAAAATTAATTCGCCCATATGTTCTTTAATTATTAATTATCACAATTCAATTTATTTAGTCGATTATTTTCACACTGTAACTATTTCGTTTACATATGCTATGAACTTACTTATTTATCATTTCATAGGTTAAGCCAATGATGTCTGGTAGTATTGAAAAACTTGGAAGGAATGAAGTGGATTTAATGTGGCAACGGCCCAAAGCTGTAAAACAATGGACAGATGCGCCTCAGCCAAAAATGCAACTTTTCATGAAATTATTCGCCACTGAATCTGGCAAAGAAGTTGCTGATGCATTTACAAAATTTAAAGGTAATTAATTTGATATATGCTTATTTACATTTCAAATTACTCTCAATATTTGACCTGAACAAGAAATAATTTAAATGATGATAAGATTGTTAAAAGTATTACCCAACAATAAAATAAGAAAAAAGGTTAGTTTCAGTAAACGATATAATAATTAACTTTAAAACTGATCACAAAGAAACCTGAAAAAAAAAAAAAAACCGAAATATTTAATAAGAATTGGAATAATCCAAAACTATTTATTAGTACCAAAAAAAAAAAAACAGAAAAAACAGTTATTATTGAGAAGTCATCAAATTAACTGATAAAATCACAAAAAAAAAAAACAAAACCATAAATAACATTAAATGAGCTGTAAAATAATTAGATCTGAACTAATCGCTCTCAAATACAATTTCCATTCAAACTGTTTACTATAAAAGGAAAAACATAATTACTTTTTGTTTAGCAACACAAAGTTGAATTTTTTGATTAAAGTGAAAATTAACAATCCATGGAATAGCAACAATTAGTAGTCGTAGTGATAACATTCAATTTGATCGCATGCATATGATAAAGCCTTGAATAGAGATTATGGAGCTTATCAGTAATGATGCAATTCAATTCGAAGCAATATTTACATAATAATTTAACAAAATAAATGATTGTTATCAATTAAAACTAAAACAATTTTACCAATAATTCAAAAATAGTTTAAAGTTAAAGATTAAAATTAAAGTTACTCAGAATGAATATTTCGTAAAATATTGTGCACGGTGCAATTATTTAAATGATATGCTTATAACATGAATTTTAAATGATAACATTGTTTCAAGAGTATCATTTTTCATTTATTTCTTTCAAAAGCTAACTAATTTTAGCAATGATAAATCCGGAAGCTGAATGTACCATAAATGATTTGCCTATTCATGAAATGATAGTTAAGTCGGAAGGAACAACCGAACAATTAGCAACTCATAAAAGCGATTCCAAGTTAATAATATTTTATCAAATGGTTACAAATTGATATCCCACAAATTGTAGCTGTAATAGATTTGCTGGCAATTGCATTTTTGTTGCAAATTAGTAAAAATCATTAAGCTAACCAAATTTAAAAAAAAAAAAAAAAACTAGTTATAAAAATTAGTTATATTATTTAATTTGAGAAATTGGCTTTAAGTAAATTCTTAAGCAAACTTTCATCTTTTTTCAGGTTTTAAGAAATATATCATGTAGAAACTAAAAAAAAAGACGCATTTCATACAATAATAATTCCATAAGTATAATATTTTTAGAAGAATTGAATATTCCAGAAGTGGCATTGATAGCGTAACAAATCGTCCAGAAAATTTTCTCGATGATCCGGAAACGCTTTTTTGGCTTATTGTATGCTTGTGCTGCTTTATTGCAGCTGTCATTTTGCAATCTCTGATCGCTGGCGGTGATGACCGGAAATCTCGCAGATAATAGTTTTCGTTAACTATCAATGATACAGTACTGCTTTCTTCATTTTTTGACATAATTGTAAGTAACATGATTGTCTTTTATAAACATTAATGAATGATTTAAGCATTTTAAACTAAAAAAAAAAAAGGACAAAAAATTTCACTGCGATGTGAAAGAGAAATTTCAATTAAAAGTAATCGAACTATAACATAATTCATCTAATCTTATTACTTTATTTGTCCAATATTCGACCAATTCAACATTCTCAGTAACATTTGCATCATTTAAGCGATATTGTATTTTGACGAAATATAATTTGAAAAAAAATATAAATTAGGAAACTGAAATTTTATTTGTAGAAAAGAAATCAGAAATTTTTCATCTAATTTTTAATTTGATTTAAAGAATGAGCTATTTACTTGATCTTGCATGTTATTATCATCTTTTATCAGTGCAGTCACCTTCTTATGACCACTATTTGACTCATTTGTTTCTACTTGAATGGAAAATATTGATCAGTCAGAAACAGAATAGCTATCAATGAGATAAATAAATGATTGTCATTGCATCTGTTGATGTATCAGTAGCGATTATTGCAACTGAAAAAAGAGCATTAACTGATAACTTTTATGATAACGATAAGGTAACAATGAGAAATTGGTGTCAAATCATTGTTATCAAAAAATACAAGCTAAAAAATGAATTCATAGGGCGATTGTTGACAAATGATAACCATTTGATCTTTAAAATTGATTTTTTAGAATTGAGAGCAATTATCTGTATTAGCTTTTGTATCCATTTATTTTTCTAAAAAATATCCATAGATTATCAAAATTAGTCTTAAATATGTGTTTAAAGACTAATTCGAAGGATTTTATAAATTTAATTTGATCATAGAAATTTCCATCAATCCACTTTTAATGGTAACAGATCGATTTCTTTTTCTTTTAATGGTAACAGATCGATTTCTTTTTCTTTTATTCCTAATCAATATCCTAAGAAAATTTGACCATCTTTTATTAAAAATGAATCTACCAGTAAAGTCTGAAATGATTGGTAATCGAAAATTAATTTAGTGAGAAAGACCGAATGACAGCTGTAAACCTTTTCCCTATACTTTTGTCTCATTTTTTTAAGTGCCACACATAATGAATGCTTCACAAAGATACCATTTTTAGTGACCTAACGGCTTGGCCCGGATCATTTAATTGGAATACTTGGCTAAGTTGCGTTCCTCCTTTGTTGCTAATTTTTTAACAAAGACTCTTTGGCTCTTTTCTTCTCAGTATTTTAAATATGAATAATTAAATTTTTATTTTGGCTAATACAACAACAAACTCAACAATTCGAATTTCAGTATAAAGTGAGGAAAATTACAGCAAATACTGCCGACCAATCGATCCAATCCAAGGATTTTATAAACTTAATTTAATGAGTAAAACATACATAATCGTATAAGATGACAGGAAATGAAAGGGACACTGTCTCATTGTTTCTTTGTTTCAACGACACACTTCTTGTTACAGTCATCGTCATTAAATTTGCCTTACTGAAATTCCAATTGTTGTGTCCGTCCTTGCATTATTCATTTTTTGTATTAGTCATCCCTTGTATTAATCATTTTAGCAGAGTGAAAATTTAACTGTTTTTAAGTTTGAGAAAGAAGACGAAGAAATCCATTCTTGCGATCTTTGTTACTATCAAAAAGAAATTGGTGATTATCACTAATACTTGGTATTTACAAAGTATTAGTGATATTTGGAGCCTTGGCTGATAATGTATTCCTTCTTCATATATATGTACGCTGCGTTAGTGACGTGAAAAAACAGTTTGATAGTTTCAAACTTAAATATTTATAATGATAAGTAGTAATTATGGAACACAAAGAGTGATAAAATTTGTTGAACAGTTAATTATCTAACACAACATTTATCATAATGATAATGAAATGAGTCAAACAGTTAATTGATTAATTAAAAATTATAAGTACTCATTATCGTTTCCAAATTAAAAGAAGTGAGAAATGCACGTGTTCTGTCAAAATTGATGAGTTTCTTAAATTTCGGCACCATTTTGAATGCTTAAACTGGTATCTTTGGAATCTGAAATCATTTTTACAGTTTTTACAATTATCAAACATAAATTCAAAAGTAATAGCGCAAACAGTTTAATCTTTCTTGTAATATGCTAATATCTCACCAGAGAAAGTTTTACAAATTGGACAAAAAGCACATAAGCAGGTTTCAAGCTAAGCTAAATTTATTTCTAGGAGGAAAATACTTGCAATGAACAATTTCGACATGTAAAACAAATTAAAAGCATGTGCTATCGGAAAAACAGTCAGAATTATAGTAACATGTGGAAATGGTATTAATTCAAAATTAAAGATTATCTCAACTAAATATTCCTTAAACAAATATAAAACTATTTCAAATTCTATCTCATATAAACAATCACTCATGCAGCACTCATTTCTGACAGATAGCTGAGTTTATCAGAAATATCATAAAGATTCTACTGTAAGTCAGTGCCCACTATGTAAGCATTTAAATACTTTATTTGAGTTAGTTTTTAGTATCAGTGAGTTACAGCTGCTCTGTCCCACTTATTTAATTCGATTCATTTAAATTCTTTACTTAAATTCCTCATCAATTCTTTGTCTCACAATCTTTAAGTTATACTAAATTATTAGTATTGTTACTATAGATTAATACTTGATTGTAAACAAATGAAAGTCGTTACTCTGCTCACAATTTCTTGACATATGGCGTTTCAAACTCAAATTCATCGGTATAACTTAAAATCTAAATAGTATATCATTACTTACAGCTTTTTTGAGCGCTTGGTCAAGATCTTCGATCAAGTCTTCAACATTTTCGATTCCCACTGATATTCGAATTAAATTATCCCTAATACCCAATTTAATTCGATCTTCTATCGGTACTGAAGCATGAGTCATTGCAGCTGGTAATTCTGCTAAACTCTCAAAACCACCAAGTGATTCTGCCAAAATAAAAATCTGTAAAATATGAGTTAATAATTTAAAATTTTTGTAATAGATATGGGAAGTAAATATTTTGAAATATGCTTCTATTATGAGCTGAGCTATATATCTACCTTTAGACTAGATAGGAATTCTTGAGATTCTTCCAAACCACCTCTCAAATAAAACGATATCATACCACTCATCCCTTTTGTTTGTTTCCTATGAATCTCATGTTGTGGATGAGATTGAAGTTCAGGATAAAAGACCTGAAAATTTAAATTTTCATATCTGAAAATCGAAAAGAATTATGAAAAGAAGAAGTGTTACTAAGTTTATACTGAAAGTTTTAAATTAACTGACTCGTTCAATTCTAGGATTACTTTCCAGAAATGTTGCAATTTGCATAGCATTAGCCATATGCGCTTGCATTCTAACATGCAAAGTTTTTACTCCACGATTCACCAAAAAGCAATCAAACGGTGATGGTATTGCACCAACGGCTAAAAGATATTATTGAAATGCATAACAAACTAAAATAAAAAGAAATAAATATATAAATAAATTTGATGATTTATCTTAAATAATATCAAAAAATTTTCTAAAAGTTTTCAAATTCCAACAATTAATAAAGGTAAAGGTAAAAATGCATTTTTGGATGTAACTTAAGCAATAAACTTCAAGAAATAAAAAAAAAAAAAAAGTAAAATTAGGGAATTTGAAATGGTAAACTAGATGGATTGCTCAGTAATGCATTTCCGTTTAATTACTTTAAAAGTATATCAGAGAAGTTGCAAACTGTGGAGAAAAGTTAAACTGAACATTTTCTTACTTTACTTAGTTCAAAATAGTAACATTTAAAAGTCTTACTTATTTATTTAATTCAAAATAGTAACATTTAGAATTTCTTTTTTTTCTTAATTTCTTACCAATTATTTTGAGGAAAAAAAAAAGGTACAAACCAAGTTGTTGAAATTTCAAACTTTCATCCAATATTTTATTATTCGTAATTACAGCACCCATTACAACATCAGAATGACCATTAATATATTTTGTTATTGAATGTAACACGACATCAGCACCAAATGACAATGGACGCTTCAAAAAAAAATTTTTTTTTTTAATTGAAAAATTTATTTTGGAACTAAAATTTTTTTTAATATCGTAAATCGATTCAAAGTAATAAAAAAAAAATAGCTTTTATCATCCTGACTTTTCATTCCTGATAATAAAAAAAAAATCACAGTAAAGATAAAACAAAACGTTAATAATAGATTGGTTAGTAAATTCCTCTTTCTGTACATTCATTTAAAAAAAAAAAAAAGAAGAAAGTTGACAAAACAAACTTGGAAATATGGTGACATAAAAGTATTATCAACAACTATCAGAATATCATTTCGGAAAGTTTTCGTAAGTTCTACAACAGCAGCAATATCTACAACTTTCAATAACGGATTTGATGGTGTTTCAAGCCATATCATCTGTAATAATATTAATTGCCTATTTTCTATAAATTTTACTTCGTAATTTTATAATGAATGATAAGAGAAGTGATAAGGACACAAAAGCAATTGCTGTTGTGAAATAAACTGAGAGTTATCAAAAAAAAAAAAGAAAAAAATCGCATCAAAGTATTAAAAATAAACTATTAAAATCCATCAAATATTATAAGTGAATTCATTAATTTTTCAATGTTATTTGTGAAATTAAAAAAAAAGAAATTTGGTTAAATTTACTTTTGTATTGTTTTTCAAAGCTTGGCTAAATGCTTTTAAATCAGTCATATCAACAAATAAAATTTCTAAGCCATGCTGTGGAACAGAAACTTTTCGAAAATAACGCTGCGTGCCTACAAAAAAATATATATATAATAAGAAAACTTAATGGTTAAATACTTAAAATTAGATTTAGAAAAAAAAAAAAAAAAAAGAAGAAAAAAGTTGCAAATTTATTGAAATGTAAGATATCATTCATTGAAAGATGTCATTTGCATCACCAATTTGATCTTTAATAGATTTTGAAAACAATAAAAAAAAACAACAGAATACTTACCGCCGTAAACATCGTCACTGCAAACAATATGGTCACCTGATTTTAGGCCATTTGTGATTGCCATTGTTGCCGCAAGACCGGATGAATATACACGGCCTGAAAAAATCACAATTTCGAAACTTTTACCAGAAATTCAATTTAACTCTTAAAATTTAGAACTAAAGGTTAAAAGTTTAGAGTTGAAGGTTAATTGATGGTTCGGTGTATAATTTAAATATGAAAACAAAATTAATACAATTGAAGACTCAAATTCAAATTCTATAGTAGAAAAGATTTATTATCCTGGAAAGTTAGAAAAGATAGGAGAGTTCTCTTTGGAATATTTGGAGAAATATTTCATACAATATTCTCCTTCTTCTAACGAAGCTAAGCATTTCTCCAGGACATCTCGGGATGGATTACTACTACGTGAATAATCATGCTTTATGGGTTTTCCTGGTTCCGGTTGCTTAAATGTTGTTGATAGTGAAATCGGTGGAATAATCTGTAAAACATAATCTTTTTCTGGAAAACATTTTAAACTTCATTGATAGCTAAGTTTTATAAAGAAGATTAGCAATTTTGCGTTACAATTATAAATATTTTGACTAAGTGTTCAAAACATCACGTATCAACACGTGTCACAAATCTCTTATTTTATTTGCGTTATAAATATTTTGACTAAGTGTTCAAAACATCACGTATCAACACGTGTCACAAATCTCTTATTTTATTTGCGCTATAAATGTTTTGACTAAGTATTCAAAACATCACGTATTATCACGTATCACAAATCTCTTATTTTATTTGCGCTATAAATGTTTTGACTAAGTATTCAAAACATCACGTATTATCACGTATCACAAATCTCTTATTTTATTTGCGCTATAAATGTTTTGACTAAGTATTCAAAACATCACGTATTATCACGTATCACAGATCTCTTATTTTATTTGCGCTATAAATGTTTTGACTAAGTATTCAAAACATCACGTATTATCACGTATCACAAATCTCTTATTTTATTTGCGCTATAAATGTTTTGACTAAGTATTCAAAACATCACGTATTATCACGTATCACAAATCTCTTATTTTATTTGCGCTATAAATGTTTTGACTAAGTATTCAAAACATCACGTATTATCACGTATCACAAATCTCTTATTTTATTTGCGCTATAAATGTTTTGACTAAGTATTCAAAACATCACGTATCAACACGTATCACAAATCTCTTATTTTATTTGCGCTATAAATGTTTTGACTAAGTATTCAAAACATCACGTATCAACACGTGTCACAAATCTCTTATTTTATTTGCGCTATAAATGTTTTGACTAAGTATTCAAAACATCACGTATTATCACGTATCACAAATCTCTTATTTTATTTGCGCTATAAATGTTTTGACTAAGTATTCAAAACATCACGTATTATCACGTATCACAAATCTCTTATTTTATTTGCGCTATAAATGTTTTGACTAAGTATTCAAAACATCACGTATTATCACGTATCACAAATCTCTTATTTTATTTGCGCTATAAATGTTTTGACTAAGTATTCAAAACATCACGTATTATCACGTATCACAAATCTCTTATTTTATTTGCGCTATAAATGTTTTGACTAAGTATTCAAAACATCACGTATTATCACGTATCACAAATCTCTTATTTTATTTGCGCTATAAATGTTTTGACTAAGTATTCAAAACATCACGTATTATCACGTATCACAAATCTCTTATTTTATTTGCGCTATAAATGTTTTGACTAAGTATTCAAAACATCACGTATTATCACGTATCACAAATCTCTTATTTTATTTGCGCTATAAATGTTTTGACTAAGTATTCAAAACATCACGTATTATCACGTATCACAAATCTCTTATTTTATTTGCGCTATAAATGTTTTGACTAAGTATTCAAAACATCACGTATTATCACGTATCACAGATCTCTTATTTTATTTGCGCTATAAATGTTTTGACTAAGTATTCAAAACATCACGTATTATCACGTATCACAAATCTCTTATTTTATTTGCGCTATAAATGTTTTGACTAAGTATTCAAAACATCACGTATTATCACGTATCACAAATCTCTTATTTTATTTGCGCTATAAATGTTTTGACTAAGTATTCAAAACATCACGTATCAACACGTGTCACAAATCTCTTATTTTATTTGCGCTATAAATGTTTTGACTAAGTATTCAAAACATCACGTATTATCACGTATCACAAATCTCTTATTTTATTTGCGCTATAAATGTTTTGACTAAGTATTCAAAACATCACGTATTATCACGTATCACAAATCTCTTATTTTATTTGCGCTATAAATGTTTTGACTAAGTATTCAAAACATCACGTATTATCACGTATCACAAATCTCTTATTTTATTTGCGCTATAAATGTTTTGACTAAGTATTCAAAACATCACGTATTATCACGTATCACAAATCTCTTATTTTATTTGCGCTATAAATGTTTTGACTAAGTATTCAAAACATCACGTATTATCACGTATCACAGATCTCTTATTTTATTTGCGCTATAAATGTTTTGACTAAGTATTCAAAACATCACGTATTATCACGTATCACAAATCTCTTATTTTATTTGCGTTATAAATGTTTTGACTAAGTATTCAAAACATCACGTATTATCACGTATTACAAATTTCTCATTTTACTTTCCGCTTATCTCATCCAATGATTACATCGAAGAATCTGTCGAAATTTTTGATGTTATTTTGAAAAACTACCACAGTAATTATAATTTCACTTATAAATAATTGAGAAATTTCAAGGATAACCAATACTTTATGTCTAAATAAGCTAAAATTTCTTGACTACCTGAAATGAAGTAACACATAAGTATTACTACAATATCACTATGCTATAGAAAAAAACAAAACAAAACAAAGAGTTTGATAATGTAACTATAAAAGAAATAATGAAATAATGAATTAATAAATAAAAAATAATTTTGTATGAAAAATAAGTGAAATTTGAAATGCAAAAAATTTGCTTTTATGAGAGGAAAAAAAAAAACCAATATAATAAAAAAAAGTAACTAGTATATTATCAACCTGATTTGTATCCCATTGTTCCGGTTCTTGCCCAACATGAATAGCATTGGTACCAAAATGAGGGAAACATCCTTGATGATTAGCCATTTACTGTTATTTTAATTACTGGAAGGTAACACTGAAAGATGAAAAGTAAAACGAAGTAAGTATACTGATCAAATTATTGAATAAATTATTGAACAAAAGTATCAATGCATCACGGATTATTGATATTGTGGTTGTAAGAGGTTGCAAAACTAGAAGTAATATCGTTTTTGGAAATATCAGAATTTCATTTTATTTTTTTTTTATATTAGTATATTCAGAATAAATGCAATTTTAGGTCGCCTGAATCCTTCAGTTATTTGACAAAAAACTGATATAGCGTATATTACTGATTATCGGAATCACAAAACTACTTAATTTATCAGAATCATCCAATTACTAGAACTATTAAAATTAATATTGCTACAACATATGCGAACTGTCGAAGGTATTAAATTTCAGAATGATTCAGAATAGTTATCAGGATTACTGGGGAATAATCCGGTTAAGCCATATAGTGTATTTCTTATTTCTTAGTGTAATCATGATTGGATATTGAACTTAACCATATCTAACTGTCAACAAATTCTTCCTTAATGCAACAAAATTGAGAGATTTAATAAATTTAAAATGAAAGTGTAAGAATGACTGCATAGTTTGACATATTTTGCCTATACTATGCATTATATTTGCTCAATTGACATTACAATTTTCTTTTTTTTTTTTTTTTAAACGAAAATTAAACGAATTATGTTGAATGACAGAAAGAAAAAGAGAAATTACATTCTTATGTTTATCATTTCTTTTTATCATTTTCTCAGCACTTCCAGTAGTTTTCCTTCTTTTTCTTTCACATAGCATTACGTCCCTCTTCATATCATCCATCATCAGCAATGAACTTTGACCTCTCTATTTCTTATTCCTTCTATCAATTTAATTCTTGTTGAATATTACTATTACTACCACTAGTATAGTTGTTTGCTGATTGGAAAAAATTGTTGAGATAAGTTAACAATTCAATATATTTGCATATGTTACAATTCAGTAATTATTCGTTAATCAATAAAAAATATTTGTCAATTCAGATTTAAGCAGATTTTAAAAATTTCAACATGAAGTATAAGTGAATACGTAACAATAATAAAGTATCCTCGAGAATTGCTGCAATTCAATGAGTAGCTAGTTGATCACGTAAGATAAAATTAACACGTGTTCGTAAAAATTAGAAAATATTTGATGTGTAAAATTCCCAAAAATTTATCTGAATATTTGAAAATAAATAAGTAACAAACATTACTAGAATTGCAAAAACACTATGAAAGTACGATGAAATAACGTGATAGAAGTGCTAATCACGTATTAATTTTTGTGAAAGAAAAAAGAAATATTAAACGTTTTTATTACATTACAATGTCATTAACTTAATTAATAGTTTATTTGATTATACTTTCTCAAATAATTTATTTCTTTTTTGTTTTTTTGTTTTTTTGTTTTTTTACTTCAACAATTTATTTGAATTATAAATGTGATTTAACACTACTTTTGTAGTTTGATTTTATTGAATTTTGCTCGAAATATTGCTTTGCTAATCCATTTAACATATTATGAATTTTTATTAAGAAAGAAATATCACATAATCAACAAATATTTAGCAGAGAAGAGAGAAAAAAAAAATGAAATTTGATTAAATAAGTAATTATGCTTATTTATACATAAACAAATACAAATATACATCACGGATGGAATGAAATTTATTCGCCGTACTTAAATATAGTAAAAGAAAAAAAGGAAAAGAAATATTCAACAGAGGAAAAACTTTGAATTGATAAGAATTTTTAGTAACAGTAAAAGTAATTGAAAGTAAAATAAATACATTAAAACAAATAAAAAATTACAATAAGCATAAAAGCTAATTAATACAGAAATAATTCATTGTATCAATTATAACACATATAAATTAAAAATGACATCAACATGTATGTGCTTTCAGTTACTTTTTCTTTAAATTTCAATCTTTTTTATTCATTAATTTTATTTTATGCAAATAAAAAAGAAAATCTAATTTAAATAATAAATGATCAAATGAACCAATTTTTTATAAAAACTTGGCAGAAAAAAAAGAAATGAAATTAAAAAAAAAAGGTAACTGGAAAGAATTGGTAAGTTCTAAAAAATAATAATAATGAAAATAGCAATAATAATAGTAATAGCTATTATTATAGTAATAATAATAATAATAATAATAATAATAATAATTATTATAATAATAATAATAATAATAATAATGACAATAATAGTATGTATATAAACGAATGTAAATAATAAGAGTATAATCACTGATTTTGCTAATTTTTCACTTTGAAAGATAAAGCTTATCGACAAAAAAGGAACACAAATGTTTATATACAAATAAGAAATCAAAAAAATAATTTCTTTGCTAAGTATGAAAATTAAAAATCACAGAAGCGATTAGATTAAAACTAAAAGATTGTAGAGAAAGCTTTTATGCTACAATGATCAAATTTATTAAGCTATTATTTTCCTTGCTAATTCTAAAGGTATATGAATCAAAGATTGAAATAATTAACAATAATTTCGAATTTAGCAAAGAATTTTAAGAACTTCTTTCTATCTCAAATATTATTTTATTCTTTTTATTTAATTTCCAATAAGTAATTAGCATATTATATGATTCGTTTGTTTCTTCTTTTTGAGATTTGCTCAATTTTGTTGGATAGTAATAAAGCTGTTGACAATGATATTAATAATTAAGCGCAATTTCTTTTTTTTTTTATTATGAATATAAATCAAATACACACCGGTAAGTCTAATTTTATCGTTTATTTTTCTTTTTTTTTTCACTTTTTTGTTGACAAGAAAAATGAGCTGTGATTTCATTCCAATACTCATTAAAAATTAAAAATTGCTAATAAAATATTATCTTGTGTAAGCATTTGTCAAATATATGGTTAAGTCAAGAAATAACGCTGAATTATTCAAGGAATTCATTGATTCTTTTTCTTCTTTTTTGTTTTTTTGTTTGGTGCAAAATCAATTAATTTCTCTTTTCAGTTCCTATATATTTTCAGAAAAAAAAAAAAGATATTAAAAAATTTATGGAAATGCTAGCAAAAAATAACGACGACATTCAGGACAAAAACTGAGCAAGGACACAAATATTAATTTTGACAGAATTAGAACCTAAAATTTTAATCTCTTCTCTCCTCCTCTTTCTCTCTCTCTGTTTCTCTCAAAAAAAAATTATATCTTTCCTTTTTTTTCATTTTTCACTTAAATCATAACATATTGATAACATATTTGGACTGTGAGAAAGGTTTGAAAATATGTAGAATTTAATTTATTTTACAAAATACCAGAGTACAAATGCTGTAAATAATTCATTGAAATTGAAATTTTAGAAAAAAATTAAATTGAAATTGAAATAACTGTGCTAAAATTAATATTTACACCTGCCCAGTTTATCTGAATATTGCATATTCTGGCATCATTTTTATAAATTTTTTTTTCAATTTTTTTTTCACTAGTTTTCTTGAAGATTAAAAAACTGAAAACAGAAATTAATTAATTTTGAAATACAATTGCAACTCATCCTGAAATCCATTTCTTTTCTTTTCGCAGATCAGAAATAAATAATTTAATTTGCACTGACAGCCAATGTCAGTAAAGATACTTCCTGCTTCAGATGTAACTCACATCAGCACCATGAAAAAGTGCTGCTGTTCCGGTAGGATGAATACATTGATTGTTGCTACCCGTATCCGGTTTTGACTCTACCGTTGTATGGCTATTTTCCGAATCCTTTCCAACAATATTCAACCGGCTACAAAGACCCATCAATATTAATTGCTCATGTCCTGCTGATTTATGTCGACAATCATCAGTTACACTTGGCATATAGAATTGATCCTGCAGCAGAAGGTGTTAATTGATGCGTGACATCACTTACGCATAGCACGAAAAATTTACGTGACAATTCAACGTGCTTTCTTTATAAATAATCGAGTTTAATTTATTTTACCATATCTAAAATAAAATAAGTCAACAAAAATTCGGCTTCAAAAATGCTTACTTCTGAATTTAAAACTGGATGAAGCTGAAAAACTGATAAGAAAAACCACTAGATTGAATTTTTCGTAAAATTATTTCCAAAACTCAGCAAATTCAAGAAATGAAAGAAATTGGTTGGGAAAAAGAATCAGAAGAATCTTAATTAAGCAGAATTTGTAAGAATCTTACCTTACTAACTTCAACTGTCACGTCACCGGATGAAATGTTAGGTGGATAATTGTCTTCTGCCGAATGTTGTCTCTGGGGTAACGCCAGCTTCCGATCCGGATGAGGTGATACTAAAATTGATGTCGTGTAGCTACGCTTTTTATCAATTCGGCTGCGTAAACGTGTCGCATTACCACTGATATCTACATTACCTTTCTCGATGACATGTCCCAACCGATCTGTAAATATCCCAGAATAATCTAATGATGGAATTCACATCTTCGGAATAACATTCTGAATTAGCATAATGTCACTCTCGATTATTAATATTCTCTGAATATAAAACGCATCGATATCTAAATGTGAAACGTGTCACGCATACACAAGTAAACATACGATAAGTGCAAGAATTTTTGCTTATTTTAATTAGGCTAATTAGTTCAGCACAAACCTGATAATGAGTAAGCTCTTGCAGATAGACCGCCGGATTGACTTGATCCACTAGCACGTGCTGATCCCGAGGGAGTATCCAAATCGATATCTTCGTTTATGTGATCTAAAACACAACTAACACAAAAAAGCTCACCAATTTTTAATTTTATTTTTAAAAATTCGACTATTATTTGTCATTTTTTTTTTTCAATTTTCAATTTCTACTCATAAACGTAAATTACGTTAACATAATTTTAGAATTACAAATAAAATGACTTTCGATAATCTAAAATAAGATTTCCTTTGAATTTTTTAAACTTTAATAAATATTTTTCGAATTCATTTCAGAATTTTTAAAAGCAAATTTCAAAACAGAAAAAAAAGATCGTACAAGCTTCATTTTTATTACGAGATGTATTCTTTAACAAATCTGGAGTTGGTGGTTGCGGTAGAAAAGTGGAACAAACTACATCTGTTTCATCTTCAAGTAAATCTTCATCTACTATTCCTGAAGAAAAAAAAATACATTGCATCTCGGAACAAATAATTCATGATCGAGTGATTAAGGGAACAGTGATTCACTGATCAGTAATTAAGGGAACAGTAATTCACTGATCAGTAATTAAGGGAACAGTAATTCACTGATCAGTAATTAAGGGAACAGTAATTCACTGATCAGTAATTAAGGGAACAGTAATTCACTGATCAAGTAATTCAGGAAACAGGTAATTCACTGATCAAAATTTAGAAAAAATTACTGCAAATATTTGAAAAAAAAGACTATTCGAAATTTGATAAACTATTATTATGAGATACCCAAGCATTGCAAAGAAAAAAAAAGTGTTAAATTAGAGATATTTGTAACTCGAAGATACCTACCTTCACCTTCACACAACCGATCATCTAATTCCGGATCTACAGATAGTGAATCTACGGCATCTGGATATTGCTGGAAAAAAATCCGTCTATCTTCAGCGATATCAACATTGAACACTTCCTGAATTTATTCAAGTTCAACGTTATTTTAGCATCTTATTACATCAGTGATAATAACATCATTGTTATCACTATCATAAATAAGTGGTGTTAACAAAGCATATCATGATCTACCACACTTATTTTACAATCTCACCATTTATCTTCAAAATTTGAGCTAAATATTCAAGCTTTAACAAAATTCACAACTTAAATAATTCCCTAAATTGATTAAATATAACAACAAAAAAAATTATCATCATTGTCATTCCTTCTTCTTTTCCCTTGCATTCCCTTGGATTTACTTTCTTTTTTTTTTTTTTTTTTTGTTGAAATTATTAAAAAAATTCCCACACTAATAATTTGAAATTCAAATTTTAATTCATGAATGAGTTATTTGAGATTTAAAACATTTCAAAAAACTAACAAAAGCATATTTGATGATTAGTTCTACTGCTTTGCTCATCAAATGAGCACTAGAAAGAAATGAATTATTGTTTGAATTGGACAACGGTGATGGTGATGGATGTTTCCAAATCATCGATGGTGTTATTACGGCACCCAAATTTGATGCAGTCATTAAATTATCCATTTCAAACCTAAACTTATCAATATATCATGAATAAAACAATTAAATTATCATTTGAAACTATCATATCATTGTGATAAAAATAATGAGATATGCTTTGTTTAGATCGAGAATTCTTTAAAGCATTAGAAAAAAAAAAATCTTTTTTTTTCACTCATTTATTTCTACCAACTATTTTTCAATCATAACTTTTCGAAAGGAAGAAGAAAAATTATTAAATGTAAATATATACAATGCACAATTTCTATTTTTAGATTATCAAAAATTAGGTTAAATTTGTTTAGAGTAATTCAAAATCATTTTAAAAAAATAAAACATTTATGCAAATTATCAAAAATTCAGAATTCAAAAAATTGAAAAAGAAAATAACCAGGTGACTCGTTTTAAATGAAGCAATAGGAATTGCAATGCATCTACATTTCTTGATGGTAGTTTTTTCATCAGTAATCTAATATGATCAACAATTTCTGGATCTTCCTCAACCAAATTTTTCTGAAATTTTCCGAAATTTTTTTTTTTTTTTTTTTTTTTTTTTTAAGGTTACAACTCGCTCAAATTCATAATTAATGTTTATTTATCATTTTACAAATTTTTACTATTCATAACATTATTTTATTACGGTAAAAAGTAACATTTTTGAACATATGAAGCATAAAATTATATAACAATTTAATAAAGAAATAAAATTATGCAGATCTAGAAATAATTTAAATAAAATTTAAATTAAAAAGAAATTTTTTTTAAACATTCCAAATAATTCCAATAATTCACCTCAGCAAATGCTATCCATTCATCGTATAATTCATGCGTCAGTAATGGTTCCGGTAATTTTCTCAAATAAAGTTTAATAACGGAAGCAATATTCATCGGATGATAGTTACTTAAATCAACTTCGTTATCGCTATTTGCTCGTTCAAAATCTTCACAAATTTGTTCAATTTTACTTTTTACACCGCATGTACGATAGATGCCCTTTAAAGAAAAAACCATATTATAATAAATAAAAAAAAAGATTTGATAATTTTTTTTTTTTATTATATTTTTTATTACTAGTAATAAATTTTTTTTTTTTTACTTTTATTTATTGTAGTTGTTAAATTTTTTAGAAATCTTTTAACAATATATAAATAAATACTAAATAAAAAACAAACAAATACTAAAAATTAAAATTTTAAAATTCAAAAATTACACCTTCACTTTTAATCCACGTTTTTGAAGCTCATCGACGCAACGTTCCAACACAACGGGAACCAATCGAGAAGGTCCATTTAGCTGACTGCATAATGGTACACCGAATACACTCGTACGTCGAGATGAATCCGAGAAACTTTTCGGATTCTGATCACACGGAACGGTAATGCGTGGTAAACATGACTTATGCCACGTCATACCACACTTTGAGCATTGAACAGTAGATAGTAATGAAAGGGTTTCACAATGGGCGCATTTTGTAGGTTGTCGTGTGCGTTGTAATGTATGGGACCTGTATGATTTGATTTGAGTTAATTATTGATATGAATTAATTTGTATCATAAATTATAATTGCTACAAATAGGTGGAGGTACTAAATTAGATATAATTTAGAATATTTATTTCTAAATTTAATTAAGTTTATTAATTTTATTAAGATTTAGATGAGAGAGAAAAAAAAAGAAAGTATTACTAACCTTGCAATTTCAGTATTCGGTCCTTCAAATGCGGCATGTTCAAACAATCGAGCTGAAATGTACATCAATAAAATGTGAGCAGAATGGGTTCGTAAAGAGAACTGGCCTGATATTAAATGAACGAATGAATGAATAAATGAATAAATAATAAATAAATAAATAAACAAATAACTAAATGAATGAATGAAAGGAATAGATGAATGGCTAATTTGGAAGGAAAGCGAACAACAAAGTATTCTAAAATTAATTGAATTCAAATCCCCATAGCAAATTTTTTCTTTAATGCTATCAACACCTCATCTTCATGTTTTCTTCCATATTGCGCTACCACTAATTATTTGACAAGCAAAAATACATTCCAAAAATACATTCCCAATATTTTGCGTCCACAGAAATTTAAAAAAAAAAAAAAGTATAATTTAATATTTCGTTTTGCAAATGTTTTTAAATATTTGAATAAAATTCGACATAATATTTAATTAGAGTATAAAAAACACAGCAGTTCAGGAATTTTGCAAAAAATCAAATTTCCAAAGTCAAAAAATTGAAATTTTGAATTTTAAATTAGAAATTTCATTTCATTAAAAGTTTAAAAAAATGAAAATGTTAGCAATTGCTGTAAATTAATTCAAGAAACACATTAATCTATTTCCGGAATCACTAGTTCATTTCAATGCATTTTTCTATGTGTTTTTTTTTTTTTTTTTAAACATATTTTCCAATTTGAAATTTTTGATTTTATCTCAAAATGGGAATTTAATTCAAAAGAGATTTGATTTAAAAAAGTGAATTAATTTGCAAAAAATTGTTAATATTTTCATTTCCAACAGATCACAATCATGTGCAAAATGTCATAAATTTTATTTTTAAATCTTTAATTCAGATATATGCAATTCATAAAATTAAAAAAAAAAAAAAAAGAAAACTAATATTAAATGAGAGTTTAAAAAATCAATGAAAATTTCCACTATATCTTCATTTAAAATTGGATATTTTTTTTTTTGCCCTAAAATTTAAATATTAAACAAAAAATTGAATATTTTTGAAATAACAACTTTTCATTTTAATTTTACCAACAACATACCAGCATTTTTCTTCTGCTTTCGTTCAAAGATTACATCCTGATCCATTAAATCAATCGCATTTCGTCGTTGCGATGAAACGGATGAGGACGACGAGGTTTGATTTTCTGACGATATACCGTCACCATTGTCACCTCTATAAATTTCCATTAATTATTAATGAAAATAATTTAAATTTGCATTAAATCAAAATAATGTTTATTTTGTTGCAAATTTCATATTGAAAATAAGTGGATGAAAAAAAAAAAATTTTTTTTTTTATTTCAATTATGATAAGACTTTATACTATAAAATAATTAGACTTACCGAAAAAGTGATCCAGTAGAGACAGTACGGCGTGGAAGATTTTGTAAGAAGGACATGTACTCAGCCCCGGGAATATATGTTCGCGTTGCATCCGCGAATTCGTGATACTTTCCAGGTTGTGGTACCCACAAATTTGCCAATGCCTATAAAAAATTAAAAATGAAACTTTTAGGAGACAGAAAAAAGAGATAACAAAGTTAATTATAGTTATGATGTCAAATATTCTTGATGAAACTCAATAATGATGAAAATAAACTAATTGAATTTCAAAAAAACCAAGATCTTTTGTTTTTAAAATTTTGATTAGAGAATTCAAACTTTTTTTTTTTCATCTAACAATGTTGTTTGAAATTATATAATAAATTAAAAGCATTAGTCGTCAAAGTGAGAAATGTTGCAGTTTGATAGATGGAAAATAACCAGGACATACTTTAAAATTATCCTTAAATTATGGTTAAGTTACGTCAAAACTTACGTCATGAAATAAGCATGTCAAATGAAAGCAAAAACGATGCTAATATGAATGAAATATGAAAAAGAAAAATTCCACATGAAATTATTTCACTTTCATTTTAAGTAAACATCAAAGATTGGTGACGTCGTCGAAGGAATAAGAAAAAAAAAAGAATGTTTACAGAAAGATAAATAATGCATTAAAGCATTGATAATCCTTACTTATCATTACTTAAATCGTTTGACAAACTTTTACTTTTATTGCTTAAAAATATTATAGACAGAAAATTAAAAGAATTCTCATAAACTTTTTTTAAATTTAAAAAAGAAAAAACTTCTTATATGTTGAATAAATGAGGAAAATTCTGTTATAATTTATTATATTTAATTTATTTCAGTCAAGTTAAGCTAAATTTAAATCCTATTCAATTCAGTCATTCCTTTTTCTTTCTTTTTTTTTTTTTTAAATTTAATTTCGCCTCAACAAATACATATTATAAATTGCTAAAAGCATTCTTCAAAAAGACAAAGAGAGAGAAAGAGAGAGAATGGAAATTTTTTTAAAAAAGGCTAATAATAGTATTAAATTATTAAGAATGAAATAACTTTTAATGCTATTAATGCAAGAGAATGCAACATTTGATCGATTAAACGTGAAATGGTCACGTTTTTTAAGAGAAAATTAATTTATAAAACGTGAAGAAAGAGGGAAGAATTAGGATAAAAATGATTGTTATCAGTGATACTGAGAGATTAAATAATTTTTGTGAAGTATTCAAATTTGAAAAGCAATAATTTGATTTAATTAATTCTAGTGAATTAATTCTAGTTCAATGATGAAAATGTATTTATGAATATTCCATCAGATCAGTGATAATTGTAATATGATTAATAATAATGATATTTACTTAAATTATATTTTATTAAAAATCAGTTTCAAATAGTTTATTAAGTAGAATTATATGATGCAAATTAGTGAATACCAGACGAAAACAATTGAAAAACTTATTAATTCATTTAATTTATTACTCAAAATATATTTCTCTGATTATTTAATATATATATTTGTTAACGATGTTAAAGTTATTAGAAAACTGGTCAAAAAATTTGAAACCATAATGTGTTACAAATTTTAATACAAGAATAAATTGTTGTTGAAACATTTTGAGTAATTGAAATGTTGAAAGGTTAAAGGTCGAAAATTGTGAAATTTTTGACAGTTAACAGATCAATCAATCGTCTTTGCAGCTTATCAATGTAATAGATCTACTGTTGAGCTAGTTACAATATTCCGATTAATTATGTTATATTGTCGATTATAATTTCGTGGCTAGTTATAGCATATGGTCACTATAATATGTCCTGGTCACTTAGAGAATGTCTTGATCACTTAGGGAATGTCCTGGTCACTTAGAGAATGTCCTGGTTAATTAAAGAAAGTCCTGGTCATTTAGAGAGTGTCCTGGTCAATTAGAGAATGCCCCGGTCACTTACAGAGTGTCCGGTCAATTTCATGTGTCATGAAAGCAAGAATAGATAATGGCTTGTCAACATTTATCTAGCCAATTCTTGACTGAATTATATTTTTAATTGCATTGTTGTTGACTTATGGCATTTAACTTCTCGTTCGTAATTTTATAATTGTTTTGTAAGTGAGAATTGACAGAGTTTAGCTGAGAAAAGAGAAATTCTTTTATAATTACACAATTAAAACGGTTTATGGATACTGTAAAAGAGAATTTTAGCAAATATGAAATGATGAATGATTGATGAATGATTGAAGTACATTTCAGGGCTTTTTGCCTTAGGCCTGTAAGTGGATGGTGATTTGAAAAAAGAAAAAAAAAATAGGAAGTGAGGATAAAATGTCTATAATAGATTATACGAGGGAAAAAGAGAGGAAAGAGTCAGAAAGATGGGTAATAGAGAGAGAGAGAGAGGGAGAGGGAGAGGGAGAGGAAGAAAGAGGTAAAAGGAAAAAATGAAAAAGATTGGAAAAAAAAAACCATAGCGAAAATAGTGATGCGAATTGATTTTAAAGTGAGAATGAGAAAAGGAATGAATAGCAAATATATAATGAGCAAACCAAAATAGAGAGCCTTGTAAGGCCTTAAATTGATGTTATAGAGGGGCCAACCGAACAATCAGTTAATAAATTGTAAACGAGAAAAAAATGATTGCTACCTGATCCATCAATCTTTTCCTCTCATAGCATTTGTTTATTGTGCCGTGATTTGAATTACTATTTAACTCTTCGCTACGAATAAATGATTCGAAAAGAAAGAGAGAGGAATTAATTTATGGAAGAAATGTTGAAAATCAGGAATTAATTTTATGAAAGAAATGTTGATGATTAATTTTTAAAAAAGCTACAATAGTAGTTTAATTATGCATCTTTATTAATTATGCATCTCTTATTTAAAGTATAATATTCTTTTATTGCATTACAACACATTTATGGTTAGTTTTAATCAAAAAAAAAAAAAAATTTAATTCAATTGTTTAGATAATTTGACAAAGTGAGCATAGCATATAGCACAGTTATAGCAATTATACAAAAGATTAAATTAATGAAATAGAATATTTGAATTTACCTGAAAATAATGTGTGGAACAAGCTTTTGTCGTTTGATCACATCGATAGACCAATTCCCTTAGCTGTCCAACGATTCGAACCTGAAGGATGCAAAATTTTTAGTATACTTCATAACAAGCAGACATTTGTATAAAATTTTGAAATTTGTTGAACCATTATCTAAGCTCTTTTTACCAAATCAGAATGATTGCAATCGTTTTGAAAAGTTTTCTAATTCTAAGGAAACATCGAGTGGAGATATGAATAGAAAATATAAGATTTGATTTGAAAATTTCAACAAAGTATACCAAAGTCAAAATATATCAATCATTGAATTTTCAAAATTTCAAAAATATCATAAATGATAACAATAAAAAAAGCATTTTATACTCTAAAAGTCTTGAAGTCAATCCTCCTTTTCATTTCTTTCATATTCCTCTCTCTCTCTCTCTCCCTCTCTCCTAATTTTTAAATATTTTGAATGGCGAAAGCTATTCGTTTTCCGGATTTCCGATATTTTATTAGAAATAATCGAAATAAATAAAAGAGTAAAATGGGAATAATAAAAAAAAAAAAAAAATGTATGTCAGAAATAACTCAAATATTCTAAACTTCCTTTTTCTAAAGCTAATTTTTCTCCCATATTTCAAAATGATTTCTGAGAAAAGTGCAAATCCTTAAGAAAGGAAAAGATGAGACAACTGAACAGTGCATCTTTTCCGAATCCATTTTCATCCTTAATATCTTCTCTATCTATTACTTCTCAGATATTCTATAAAATACTATTCAAATAAATTTCACATTCCTTTTTCTTTCTTCAAATACCAATCATTGCAATTCATTTGAAACAAATACTTTCAAATTTAATTGAGATAATGTGTATGTACAAAACTGTGGAAATCATTTACAAAAAGGAATATTTCGTTAATGAAAATAAATTAAATTAGAAAAGATAACAATTGCTTATCTTACTGAAACTTTCTCATTGCTGTTTTTTTCATCTTTTAATTTGTAATTTTGAAATTTCGAATTTTTTCATTTTATAATTTTATTCAAAGAAATCCTCATTATATACATTTATATATTCTCCCAAATTATTGAGACAAACGTATATATTATATGTTCAAAAATTACTGACTATAGCTTAAAGCCTAGTTTCATATGGCCCCAAGCCTACAAATTCAATTCTTTGCACTTCTAAAAGATATTAGCCTAGTCATCTGAATTCCTCTCCTCATATTTCCTCTCGCTATGTGCATATGAATATATAATTTTTACAAATCATTGTCACTCTTATAGGCCATCCTCATTTCATCTTTCTTCGATCCATAAGAAAAGACATTTTGTTTTTTTTTAACGATCATAAATTACAGAATTTAAAATTAAATTACAGAAATTAAAATCATCTTGAATAAACAGAGTTCTTCTTCTTTCTTTCTAATTAACTGAATTTTCTTTTAATTAGCATACTTTTAAGGTCATCTTATACCTATGAGAAAGTTAATTTTTAATCCTAGCATTGCCATAATTAATTAATTAATCTTTATCTTTGTGTTTCATTTAATTTCTAATATTTTAATTAAAAAAAGCGGTATCGATCAAAGCAAAAAAGAGATATTTTTGATGTATATCTTTTATTTCATTGAAACCATAAGCCTTAGGCTCGTTTTGCCTTTTCAAATCAGCAATAAGCCAAGCATAGTTCGATGATTAAATGACTCAAATAGTCACTTCCCACTTTTCTCTTTCAAAATTTTCCTACATTCATTCATTTTTCCCTTTCATTCTTCCATTATTTTTTATTTTTCTTATTTTTTTTCATAAAATGAAGAAGCAAAAAGAAGAAAAGGAAGAAAAGCAATCAAAATCAAAATGATTACTTATATATTTGATTTCAATTTTATAATTTTTATTTTTTACAACAAAAAATTTTTCTTTCATTTCTGAATCAGAGTTAAAAAAATGAAATAGAAAATGAATGAAGGAATGAAAAAAAATTCTTCAAAAAAGTTTAAAGAATAAAAACCAATTATTTGTATTGGTTAAAAAGTTTGAAAATACGATGACGTAGCGTTTTTCATTTTCACGTTATCAATTTATTACGTGGATGAAATTGATAAGGGAATGTTTAAAAATGATAAAATAATTTGTAAAAATTGCTGAAATGTTGAACAAAGATTTAAACATTTTTTGAGAAGAAAATTCCAATTTGCTCATTTATTTTCTCATTTTTTTTTTAGTTTTCACTGAAAATTTAAAAATTGTAAGATTATTTTTTTGATTATCAAACATAATTGTGAATTGAAGATTATGAAATATAATGGAAAGAAATTTTCCAGTTATTTTGGAAGAATTTAATTCAAAGAAAAAAGAAGGAAAAGTAGTAATTTATAAAATTTGTAATTTAAAATTAAAATGCAAACACTGAATGAGTAAATTTTTAAAATAATATTTTTAGCATTTTTTTTTTTATAATAACCTTCTTAGTGATTAAATAATTAGCATACAAGTAAATATTAGAGTTAATTACTTGGGTATAGAGACAAATTAAATAATACAGTGAAAAGAAATTAATACCTTTGTATCTTCCATATGATTTTGTCGTCGTTCCAGTTCCACTTCGAGCCTTTCAACTTGATTCTGTGCTTCATCTCTCTAAAATTTTTTAAAATTTAATTCAAAATATTAAATTAATAATGTTCTTAAAACTTTTTCGATAATAATTATAAATTTTAAATAATATTATCCCATTTTAAAATATTAATAAATAATATTTTATGAAATTTGATTCCATTTAAACAATGTTATTCCTTTTACTATCTCAGTTGAAATATAATGAAATTCTATTAAACCTTATTTAGCGCTTCTTCTTCATTTTTTCGTCTTTTTTCCAATTCTTTACGACGTCGAAGAAGTTCCGAACCAACAGCCGGACCCGTACATTCCGTACGAATGGATATCTCTTGCGCTTTCCGGTAGCCATCATCACGTGAACCAAGTAATGTTCGAGCTCGTTGCAACTCTTGTTGAGTGTCCTTCTGCAAAATGTGTACTGTTGTCGTTCCAACCAAATGCTGCGTAGATTTTTGTTCCCTTACTTAAATTATTGCTTCAGTAACGAAAAACTCTAAAGTTATACCTAAATGCAAATTCTATCGTCCATTTTTTTTTTTCAAATTAGTCCAAAATATTTGCAAGTTTATTCCAGTTGACCTTTTGACACTATCACTTTCTATTCTTTCATACCTTAAATTATAGGGACTATAATAATTATAAATTAGTTAATGTGATAAATAAATCTACTTACAACTTGTTTTGTTACTCGTAACCATTCATTTTTTAAACTTCTTCGTTGCCGTTCATGATCATCTCGTCTCAGTTCTAATGACTACAATTAGTAATTTAAAAATGAATGAATAATTTTACAAGTAAGATGAGAATTTAGAGAAAAACAGTAGGTGAAGAATTTATTGATTACTATCTGATAGATTATTAATTTGAACGCTTTTCAACAAAATATGACAAAATAGCATGAAAAAAAATATTCAAATAGATATGATAAATAATATATGGCATGAATTACCTTAATAAATCTATCTTGAATGTACTTTACAGCTTCCTGTGTTTGCTCACAAAATGTGATGTCATTTTCAAAACTATTTTCGAATACATCTTTTAACGGCAAATAATGCTATAAATAAAAATTTCTCGAAAAAAAAAAATTAGATTGATTAAAATTAAAAATAATGCGAAAAAAGTAAATAAAAGCATAGATATTTGAGGTAATAAAAGTAAGATTCAAATTTAATTTAAAATGTTCAATCAATTAGCTCCTTCAATATATCAATCAATTAACTGCGAATTCAGGTTGAATACAATTAATGAACAAAGATAATTGATAAGCTTTATCTTAATATTTGTTTTATTATTTCAACTCACAAAAAATTTTCAATTTACAAAAAATCTTTAAACTAAAATTAAGAAATCGATGACAAACTCACTTCACTGATGGCAGTTTTTGACTGATTCGCAAGATTTTGTACACGTTTTGCGTGTTCTAAGTCAAGTTGCACCCGACGTGACACATGATTTAACAAGTCTTTACAATATTTGGTCCATGCTGGAAACAATAATTGAAATTAAAATTTAAGAAATAACAAATAATATTTCATAATGCTGTAGAATTTTGCAATCAGTAATGCAAACTTAGTGTTTGGATGAAATTATGTGACACATTCAATTAAACAGTATCTTTTTAATTTCCAGTTCAAGTATTTAAGTAAAAAATATCTGACACAATCACTGAAATATTGATTTCTTAAATTGAGATTTTTCCCTAATTAGACAGGATTTTGAAACGGAAAAAAACAAGAAACGCTATTCACTTGGCATTTAATTTAATTCTAAATTTAAATATTTCAATTTGCCATTCCAATTATTTTTGCGATTCTTTGTTACTTGATAAATACCTCAGTTCTCACTTCTTTCATCACTGATTACTGATTATCTTTTCAAGTTTACAAATGAAAAAAAGAATCGATGATTTTCTATTTTATTTTTTTTGTTTTTAAATAATTCCTAAGCCACCATTTCAGTTGAAAATATTTTATGAAATTGATAAATTACCTTTAGCTCGTTCAAAAGCTAAATCAATGCCGTCGCTTCGATCAGCAACCATTCGATCCATTTCTTCCAAATTAATAAAACCTAAAATTTAATAATTATTCAATTTATCTGACTTTTTTTCCGTTATTAAATGATTTATTAAAGAAATTCTCTAATATTAATATAACTTTTATCACATTAAAGAAAAAAAAAGAATTAACCCAAAAAATTGAAACAAAATTTTATCAAAAAAAGATATTTTCATCATATTTACAATGAATAAATATAATAAATATTTGACTGCAAAGAGATTTAAAAAATGAGAAAAAAAAATTATTTTTTTATCAGTACTATTGATTCTATAGTACAATACTAAAATGATAATTTGAAGTGATCGATCACATTGAATGTCCGATGTTGACCTATTCTACCTGTCACTATCTGTTTGACCTCGAGAAGTTAAGTCTTATCTATTACAAAATATGTCTAAATGATCGGTAACATAATACACTACTGCTACTACTTCATCAAAATACTATTTATGTGAGTTGACATTTGGTTGACAAAATGGATGATAATACGATTAGCAGTAGCATTAGTAAATGGAACTAACTGATATCACAAATGTTGCTACTTCTCTCTAATTCCAGCATAGTAATCAAATACTCATATATATTAATGTCTATAATATCATCTTTCTCCTTTGCTAGATATCATCAATGTAACAGTGTCACCTGTCACCTGTCTCATTCTCCAATCTTTTCTCTCTCCCTCTTATGGCTAAAACTCTTCAGTCAATACTAATTCCAAATTTGAGCCTTTTCATTGTTTTCACTTTATAACAATCATTGATCTTTACAAATAAAAATGAATAAGCGACAAAATTTTACGAAAAATATTTAACAATGCGTTTCGACAATTACATTTTATATTATTAAAATGGTAAAACTTTTTTTTTTTTTTTGAAATGTTACTATTTGAAATGAACTGCTATTAATTACTTAGAGCTTTTTCAAAATATTTGCGATCGATATTTGAATTAAAATATGCTTAGATTTAAAATGTATTTTAGGAAAGATTAGAACTTATTATTATCTTATTAATAAATAATAGAGTAATCATTAAGATATAAATGTTTAAATAATGACTAACAGATGATTAAAAGATTATTTCATATGCTTATAAGATAATTTTAATGAAAAACAAATATATAATGATGACTGTTAATCTTAATTGTAATAAAGTTTGAAACTAAAATTTAAACTTTCATCATTATTTCAAATGAAAGTTGAGAAAACATTAAATTTTCATTGCCAAAATTTATAAATTTATGATAAGTAAAAAAAGAAAAAACCATATATATACATATATAATAATAAATAATTAAATAAGTAATTTGATAGTATAAATCACTAAAAATTGATCAAAACAAGCTGCGATTGAGTGAATAAATGATGAAATATGCTTGTGTTTTGTTTACTTTACATTACTTTATTTTACTTTCTTTTGTTCTCTGTTTTTTCTTTTCTTTCTATCCATGATTGATTATATGATAGGAATATTATAATAGATTTGTTGTTGTCATTTCAATTATGGATAAGTTTTTGTTTTGAAATGATTAGCTATTTTCAGATGGCAATCACAAATTTATAGAGAAACAAACATGAGCACATATTTGATGATAAATGAAAAAAAAAAAAAAAAAATTGAGGTGATATAATGGTGATGGGTTTACAAAGTTCAAAGGGAGAAAAGAAGAGAGGACAGGGAGAAGCAAAGAGAGAGAGAGGGAGAGAGAGAGAAGAGAAGAGAAAATTTGTACCATTTACATGAACTAACTTTTTCTTCCAACAATCATTCATCTATTCGAAAAATCATTCAAATGCACTTTTCAAACGAATCTTTGCTTTCTTTTTTTTTCTTATATTTTTTGTTTTGGCATAATTAGTATGTCATAAATATGAGAAAAAGTATATGTATGCATATGACATTATTGTTTACTAATTTCTATGATAATATTGATTATTTCATTTGTTATAGTGATATGATAATGGCAATAATGATAATAATCAAAAAGAGTTTAATAGTAAAAAAATATCACTTTTCTTTAAGTTTTAACTTATTATTTGTTCAAAATTTTCATCCAAATCTTCCAATTATTCAAATATTCAAATTCAGTTTACATTTTAGCTTATTTCATTTTTCAATTTTCTCTCATACATACATATTTCTATATTTCAGTTCATAATGATGAATGAATGAGTAATAAAATATTGAAATATTGAAAGAGATATTATTATCATTTATATATTAATAAAAACGCCAATCATTTATTGAAATCTTTTACAGTATGACTTTTTAACATTGAAAACAGAAAAACTGTAAAAAAAAAAATCGCTTGAAGAATTTCAATCAAAATATAAAATATTTGTTTCATAGATGAAATGAAAATATAATCGAAGCATAATGAGGCATATATCTCAAGAAATTTAATGAATTCCACTTAGGTTTCTTGGGAAGCTAATATTAGCATTATTATATTCCCAAACATATTTATGGTAAATTAATTGAAGTATTTGCACATTCTCATATATTTTAATTGATTTGAACAACTTGCTGCAACAATAATATTAATAATAAAGTTTCAGTGGGACGAGAGAAGCAGAATGGAAGATGGAATAAAAACAACAATAAAAATAATAATAAAGTTTCATTTTCATTTTTGTTTAACATAAATGCTTACAAAGCTTGAAACTTAAATGCTAATTTTAGCAAATAAACAATCTTAAAAAGCTAGAAGAGTCCTTATCAAAGTAATAATTTCTCTTTAAGGTAATCAAAGCTCTCTAATATTTTCATTAAGTGGACAATAATAAAAAAGAAAAAATAAATAAATAGATGACAAAATATTGGAGATAAATAAACGAAAAAGATACAAATCTTTAGAAAAAATTGCACAGAAATTTAAATTTAATTTAAAAAACAAAAACTATATAATGATTTACTTAATCAGTATGATAAGAAAAAGAAAAATTAGCCACATTTACTTACTTCATTTTAGACTTTCATAATTCTGTCTCTGCTTGCTTGTCCAAATTTGATTGATTCATTCTTGGCAGTGGTTGAAATTACTATTTCTACTACTGCTACTACTTCATAAAATTTCATTTTAAAAGATGTCAAAGGAGGAAAGAGACAGAAAAAGGAAGGAATTATAATAATATATACATATATGTATGTATTACATATGCATAATATATACATATAAGAATTAGAAAACAACCGTCCATCTCTCTCTCTCTCCTTCTCTCCCTCTCCCTCTCTCTCTCTCTCCCTTCTTCTATTATTGTTCTTATCAACGATAAGAAATCTCCGTCATATCAAACCCAATAAGACTTCAAAATATTTGCGCCATGAAACGAAACTGTCTGTTGTATCGTTGAAGCAATGGAAAGTTAAGGAGGACATTAACATAATACTGCCACATTAAACAATCAGTATTATTTAACAATAACAATAACAACAACAACAACAAGCAGAAACAATAATAATTAATGATAATGATAATTTTAGTTTATAATTTGCACAATTAATTAAGTAATTAAAATTATAAAGATGGAATATGTATATATATAGCAAAACTTTTTTTGATTTTTTTTTTTGTATGAAATCTAATTTATTTCTTTCTTTTTTTTTTTTTTTTTTTTCATTCTTCCTTTCGTTTGCAAAATTAATTTCTCCATTTAGCATAATGCGGTAAATATAATAATATAATATAAAATGAAATAATATTATTACAATAATTTTCTTTTCTTCCTTTTTTCTCTTTTTATTATATATCATTTCCGTAATATATTTGAAATGATTTTTCAATAAAAAAAAAAAGTTTATTTCATATCTTTTTATTGAAATATAATAGAATTAAATTGAATATATTTAATAGTTATTGTTATAGTGATTTTTCTTTCTCTCATAAAACATATTCAAACTTTTTCAATTTTCAGTTTAACTTTTTTCTTATTCTAATTTTTATATTTCACTTTTTTGAATAACTGAATCATTATCATTATCATCATCATCATTATCATCATCACTAGTATTATTATCATCATTATTATCATCGTCAGCATAAAAGATTGAATTATTAGTTAGAAAAAAAATGAAAAGAAAAAAAAAAACATCCATCTTTCTAGTCTTTTCTTAAATATGCTATGTATAATATTTACATCCTTGTCAAATATCTCAGTTTGAAAAAGTAGCCCAGAAAAAAAAAGAGTAAAAGTAAAAATAAAAAGTCCCAAAAGATTTACAACTATGTTCGCAAACACATTCTCATTTAACATTACCAACTTTTTTCTTCGCTTTCTCTCTTTTGGCTTTCTCATTCAAATTTACGAAATTCGATGATAAAGTAGGAAAAAATAGCGGAAGTAACAATTAAACACAGTAAAATTAGCAATGTAAATATAAGCTTTAAAAGTGAAATTAAATTAGTTTGAAATGAGAAAGAATGAAATGAATATTTTAAACGAAATGATAATAAATAGTAGACTGATAAATGCAAATATGATTAATTGAGCAAAATGATAATAATGAAATTAAATATTCAAAGGCTTCTCTTTCACTAGTCATTTGTATAGTTAAACTTTTTGAAAGTAAAATTAAGCAAAGCTCTATGATCTTATCACTTATTTATCATTTTATAAAGCAAAGAAAAAAAATGAAAATGAAATGTAAATAATCTAAAGTATCTCATACAAATATAAGCAAAGTTTTGAATAATAACTTTTATTATTTATTTAATGATGTGTCATTACGACAACAAATCATTTGTATTACTGCGAATAAAAAAAAGCTTACGCTTTAATAAAACAATAATAATTATATCATCATGATCGTATATATCATTAAATAAATTTCTTCTTTTTAGATAGCTTATTGAGAGCTAAATTAGCATTTTTTTTTTCGAATAAATAATTATTTATCGAAATATTTAAACAAACAAAAAAAAAAAAAAGAAAAAACTAAATTAAAAAAGGAATTGCAATAAAAATAATTTAAAAAAGTAAGGAAGTAAATAAAAATAAAAGCAAAATTATGAT